CCACTCCCCCTTTTGATCTGGCTGCAGCAGCACCGCCCCAATCGCCCGATCCGACGCATCTGTCTCCACACGTAGTGGTTGAGCAGAGTCGATGTGGATCAGTTGCTCCTCCAAAGCGAAAGCCCTCTTAAGCTTCTCAAACCCCTCTTGGGCCGCCTGCGTCCACTGAAACCTTTTATTGACACTGAGACAACCCGTTATGGGCGCCGTCAGTTTTGCGAAATCCTTGATGAATTTCCTGCAGAAATTGCTGAAACCCAGGAAACGCTGAACATCTTTCCTGGTCTTGGGACTCTCCCATTCCACCACCGCCTTCACTTTCTCCCGATCCATGGCCAAACCCTGGTCCGACAGCCGGTACCCCAGGAATTCGACTTCCTTTGTGTGGAACTGACATTTCTCCAGCTTTACCCACAAGCGATGCTCCTTAAATTTGCTCAGGACCTGACATACGTCCTTTACGTGTTGTTTCTCGTCTTCGGAGTACACTAGCAAGTCGTCCAAAAAGCAAACACAGTTCTGGTACAGCAAAGGTCCTAGTACGTGGTGCATGAAGGCTTGGAAACAGTGACTTCCGCACTCCAAACCGAAAGGCATGACGAGATACTCAAATGCCCCCAGCGGTGTGAACATGGTGGTCTTCCACTCATCCCCCTCTCGCACGCGGATGAGGTTGTATGCCCCCCGGAGGTCCAGCTTGGTGAAAATCTTCCCTTTGCGCACCCGGGCCAGAACATCATTGATCCTCGGCATTGGGAAAGCCACCGGTTCCGTCAGGCTGTTCAGGGTTCTAAAGTCCACTACAAGCCTCCTTTCTTTAGTCGATTTCTTGTCCACGAAGAAAACGGGGCTCCCCCCTGCCGCCTTGGACTCCCTGATGAACCCCCTTCTTAGATTTTTCTCAATAAAATCCCTTCTCAATAAAATCTCCCCCTCCGACATGGAATAGGTCTTTCCCACCGGCAACGTGGCCCCCGGGACCAGGTTGATCTGACAATCGTATGGTCGATGCCGCGGCAACGCGCCAGCCTCTTTCTTGCTGAACACCTCCTGTAGATCCCTGTAACACGACGGGATCTCGGTCATCCCCGCTCTGCATGCTGCTGCCCTCCTGCCCTCCTTTTGTTGAGGTTGCCCTTGAGCCAGGCAGTTCTCCATGCAGTGCGTCAAACCGAACGTCAGGGACCGTTGATGCCAGGAAACCACCGGATCGTGCAAAGCCAACCAGCTCATGCCCAATATGATAGGCGGACCCGCCAGTGTGGCCACGTGAAAGGCGATGACCTCGGAGTGGGTAGACACCCGCATCCGCATCAGAGGTGTTCGATGCATCACATCACCTCCCAGCAGTTCTCTTCCATCAATTGTGGTCACTCGCAGCGGAAAATCCAAAGGCCTCCGGTTCAGTTGGTGCTGCGCTGCAAACTCCTTGCTAAAAAAGGACGCTGAAGCACCAGAATCAACTAGCGCCAACTCCTCCACCGCCTGGCCATTTGGGAGTTCTAGGACCACCTTCAACACTATGCTTGCTTTGAGGTGCCCAAGCCGAGGACTTTCGGTGTTGCTCCTGCCTGGCTGTTGCCCCGGTCCACCACCAGCCAGGCTTTTTCGTTTCCCGAAGGCTGGGCTTCCTCTGCCTCTGCCTGTTGGGTGGCCCCCATTCCCTGACAGTTACGACGCTCTGGACACACTCTGGCAAAGTGCCCAGTCTTCTGACACACCAAACATCTTTTTGCCGCTTGCCAGTCTTTTTTCTCCTTCCCTCCCGACCGTTGGGCTTTCAAACTCTCCCGCACCCGGGCTGTGCCTATCTCCATGGGCTCCTGCTCTTGTTGACGTTCTGAGGCAGCTGCAGGCATTTCAAGAATGCGGTCACCGTGGAAACTCCGCTCTCTGCCTTGCTTCCTTTCCCACCATCTGGCTTCCTGTCTCAAACCCACCGCAAGAGCAGCCTTCGTTAATTCATCCATATTTTTAGGGCGGGTGCCCCTTGCAAGCTCGTCCTTAATTTCTGGGTTCAGTCCATTTTTAAACAAAGCTTGTACAGGGTCTGCCTCTAAATCCCAACCCAGTTTCTGCACGAGCATAGCGAATTCTGACCAGTAACTGCGTACCGTGGATTTGCCTTGTTTCAAAGCCAAAAGCTCCTCCTGCGTCTTGTCAATTAAACTTTGATCTGCATAGATAAAGTCTATAGCTTGCCAAAACTTGGCCACATTTCTGAGGGCTTCATTATTCGAGGCTATTAACGGCCGGATCCAACTTCTAGCCCCTCCCGCCAGGTGTCTAATTATGTGAGCAACTTTCTGAGCATCGTCCCCAAACGTAGCCGATTCAAGCTCTAAAAAATATCCCATCTCGGTTTTGAAATCCAAGTAACTTTCCGGGTCGCCATGGAACCTTTCCACCCACACTTGCTTGCCCCCATCTGCCGATAGCCCACCTATGGGTCCTCTCTGAGCAGCTCTGGCTTCTTCCAAACGGGCCTGCAAGTCGGATGATCTCTGTTCCAGAGCGACATTTCTCTTTCTCAGCTCCAAGACCTCCTTCTCCATTCTGAGGCTTATTCCTTATTCCACCAGCTTTTCAGCAGCAATTAGTGACACGGCATGCTGTGAGAGGTGTGTGCTGCCAAGCCAGCATAGGTAAAAACTCCGGGCTCGCTGCCACTTACAATCTCTTTGATTTATTTACAAAGTTCAAAAGAACATCTCCAGTGCTTCAAAGCATGTCCGACCCTGTCGGGAAAGATGCCGTGTCTGGTTTCTTTTTACTTTTTTTTGCCCAACATGCAAGTCTGCGGAAACCCCGCCTCTGATTTCCTCTGTTTACAGAATGACTAGTTCCGGGTTCAGCCTCTCCCCTGCCTGCCTCCTCTTCGCTGTCAGATGACAGACTACTACCGTATTTTTCGCTCTATAGGACGCACCAGACCATAGGACGCACATTGTTTTAGAGGGGGAGAACAAGAAAAAAAATTCTCCCCCTCTCTGCTCAGCGCCCCTTCAGCAAAGCAGCAGGAGAAACGGAGCCCCTTCCATTTCTCCTCCCGCCTGGCTGAAGGGGCGCTGCGCAGCTCTCCCTCTCTGCTGAAGCCAGGAGAGTCTTGCTCTCCTGGCTTCAGCAAAAGGAACCCAAAGCCTTTGGAGCGCAGCGCGAGTTCCCGTTGTGCTCCGGAGGCTTCAGGCGGCTATCCCTGAAGCCTGGAGAGCAAGAGGGGTCGGTGCGCACTGACCCCTCTCGCTCTCCAGGCTTCAGGCTTTGCGTTGCTATCGCTGAAGCCAAGGAGCCTGCATTCACTCCATAGGACGCACACACATTTCCCCTTAATTTTTGAAGGGGAAAAAGTGCGTCCTATAGAGCGAAAAATACGGTAATTATCTCTTTCGGCTCTCTATAAGTGCTGGTCTCTCCCCTTAGCTCTTTCCCCGTCTGCAACGCCCTGACACGCGCGGCTTAGGGAATTTTTCAAAAAAAGGTTTTTCCGCAAGTTCAGATGTCAATGGCTAATTATTATTCCGATGATAAAAAGCCTTCTGTTTCCACCGAAAAACCTCTCAGGGGAGCATTTGCAAGAGTTTGGCACCATATTTGAGTGAATTGCAGAATGTCAGATTTTTGCTGAAATTGTGACCGCGCAGCTTAGGGATATTTTCAAAAAAAGGTTTTTCCGCAAGTTCTGTCGTCGAGGGCTAATTCTTTTTCCGGTGATACAAAAATTTCTGTTTCCACCGAAAAACCTCTCAGGGGAGCATTTGCAACAGTTTGGCACTATTTCTGAGAGAATTGAAGAATGTCAGATTTTTGGTGTACGCGGCTTAGGGATTTTTTCAAAAATGTTTTTCCGAAAGTTCAGTTGTCGAGGGCTAATTCTTTTTCCGATGATAAATACCCTTCTGATTCCAACGAAAAACCTCTCAGGGGAGCATTTGCAACAGTTTGGCACCATTTTTGAGAGAATTGCAGAATGTCAGATTTTTGCTGAAATTGTGATCGTGCGGCTTAGGGATTTTCAGTCCTCGAGGGCTAATTCTTTTTACGATTATAAAAAGCCTTGTGTTTCCACCGAATAATCTCTCTGGGGAGCATTTGGAAGAGTTTAGCACCATTTCTGAGTAAATTGCAGAACGTCAGATTTCAGGGATAGCCGCCTGAAGCCTTTGGAGCGCAGCGGGAACTCGCGCTGCGCTCTGAAGGCTTCGGGTTCCTTTTGCTGAAGCCGGGAGAGCAAGACTCTCCTGGCTTCAGCAGAGAGGGAGAACTGTGCAGCACCCCTTCAGCAAAGCAGGAGGAGGAATGGAAGGGGCTCCGTTTCTCCTGCCGCTTCGCTGAAGGGGCGCTGAGCAGAGAGGGGGATAATTTTTTTTCCTTATTCTCCCCCTCTAAAACAAGGTGCGTCCTATGGTCGGGTGCGTCCTATAGAGCGAAAAATATGGTAAGAAGAAGAAGAAGAGTTTGGATTTGATATCCCGCTTTATCACTACCTGAAGGAGTCTCAAAGCGGCTAACACTCTCCTTTCCCTTCCTCCCCCACAACAAACACTCTGTGAGGTGAGTGGGGCTGAGAGACTTCAGAGAAGTGTGACTAGCCCAAGGTCACCCAGCAGCTGCATGTGGAGGAGCAGAGACGCGAACCCGGTTCCCCAGATTACGAGTCCACCGCTCTTAACCACTACACCACACTGGGTCTCACACTGGTAAGCTGCTGAAGCAAAATTCAAATGGTGTCACAAAAGCTCAGGCATGCCCGACTGAGGCCAGAACTCTGCTGATAGTTCTCCACGGTCACGTTAGCAGAGACTGCAATTCTTGCCAGACAACCCTGCCCTAAATCAATAACAAAGACTGCCCCCAACTCAAAATCACCGGAAAATTAATTGTTGGATGGAGCCTTGAATTTTTTGACTATGCGAGAGCGAGAGCGAGAGAGGAAGCAATCAAAATGCCACAAATAAAAGACATTATGATTAAATGAATGCAGCTGGCTCACACAAATAAATGCAACAAAATATATTCTTTTATTATTCTTAACCATTATATTTTTACACTACAACAAAGCAATATAATTTTTTTTGGTACAAAATTAATGTTACTGAACATACAATGCTTAAGAATGCCACACCAAACATTAATTTAGCTTTTTGCCTAATCCTCTCCAAAATTCCCTGCGAAGAATGATATATTCTCTCTGGCAATCCCAGTATTATGGTTATGAATGCTGTGAGACATGAACTATCGTTTTTGTGGAACTGTATAGCTCTGATAATTATGGCTGATTTTCTGAGCATATCCACGTTGCGGGGACCCACTGGGGCTCATCTTGCGCCCGGCGCACAGCAGACAGTAGCTGCATGCAAGCCTCCTGCAAATTGTCGTTCACAATCACGTGATCGAAGAACTGACCAAACTGGGCTTCCATTTTCTTAGCTGACTCTTCCATCTCCTGCAGATCTTCTTCCTATAGAGAGCAAAGCAACAAGAAGCTCAAGGAAGAACTTAGAGACATGGCGAATAATGGCTTATTTCAAGACCAACGGGGTGACTACTCTTAACATTTCTCAAGGTAAGATGTCAGTTAGAAAACTGCACAGTATTTTTTTTTTATAGGGCAGATCAGTGTACAGTGATACCTCAGGTTACATACGCTTCAGGTTACAGACACCACTAACACAGAAATATTACCTCGGGTTAAGAACTTTGCTTCAGGGTGAGAACAGAAATTGTGCTCCGGCGGCGTGGCAGCAGCAGGAGGCCCCATTAGCTAAAGTGGTGCTTCAGGTTAAGAACAGTTTCAGGTTAAGAACGGATCTCCGGAACGAATTAAGTACTTAACCTGAGGTACCACTGTATACTGTACCTGTGTAAAAATTGTAACTTGGTGTAAATAAAATCCATAAAAACTTCAACATGTATCCATAAAGAGATAAGAGTCCAGTTGTACTTCAAAATCATTCATGAACTACAATTTCCATTCTGCTTTTCAATATCAGCTGAATAGAGTGCTAATCTAATGCCCATTTTGATAGTTGTGTTCTTCTTGAGTCTAGTAATACAGAATAAGCATTTGTGCTACTACACAGTTTATAGCACCTCCACATGGGGCTGTCTACTTGGCTGCCGTGATTAGTGTGGTTGTGGAAACCCAGTCTGAAGACCTGCAAATCACACAAACCACAATTGCTGAATGAAATTCTGGAGCTGGCTTTCACAAATGGCACGTCCATACAGGTGCTGCGAGGTTGTAAGGCATTGGTAAAGGTAAAGGTAAAGGAACCCCTGACCGTTAGGTCCAGTCATGACAGACTCTGGGGTTGCGGCGCTCATCTCGCTTTACTGGCCATGGGAGCCGGCGTACAGCTTCCAGGTCATGTGGCCAGCATGACTAAGCCGCTTCTGGCGAACCAGAGCAGCACACGCAAACCCCGTTTACCTTTCCGCTGGAGCGGTACCTATTTATCTACTTGCACTTTGACGTGCTTTCGAACTGCTAGGTTGGCAGGAGCAGGGACTGAGCAATGGGAGCTCACATCGTCACGGGGATTCGAACCACCGACCTTCTGATGAGAAAGTCCTAGACTCTGTGGTTTAGACTCTATCCTAAACACTCTCCCTGCTGTTGTATTTGAACTAGACTCAAGGGGAAAAAAAGGAAGAACTGAATATTGGAGAAGGGAGACACAGAAATCAAGGTTCTCCTGCTGGGTAGGCTTCAAAGAGGGAGGCATAACCATATTTAAAGAGGCCAAATAAAACTATTAAATTATTATTATTATTATTATTATTATTATTATTATCATCCACCCATCTGACTGGGTTTTCTCAGCCACTCTGGGTGGCTCCCAACTAAATATTTAAAACACAATAAAACATAAACCTCTAAATGTCAGAATTCTCTTACTCCCACAATGTTGACCCAAAGAGGTTTTTTAAAAATGTGTGATGCGATAAATATGAGGCTTTTAAAAAGTTAAAGAGTACTAGTGTGTGTAACAGTGGACTTGGATTAATTGACTTCAGATCTGACTTCAAGCTTAATTGTCAGGGTAATTTTAGGGATTTCACTATTTCAGAGTCGCCCCCCCCCCAATATCATCCATAAAATTGAAATGATTATCTTCCTCGCAGCATGGATTTGAAGATATTTTGCGTACAAAGGCATATCAAGGAGGTGGTTGGGTTTCACGCTATATCACATCAATCCATCCCCACCTCTCTCCTCCCCTTCTCTCACCTTAAATTTCATATTCACATAGTAGTCTGTGATCATCCGAGCATTTTTCCGGGACTGCTTCATACAGCTCAAGCTTGATGGCTTAATAAATATGATGTAGGGCTTTAGTTCATGAGTACGAGCCAGTGGAATACTCTGCAAGAGAAAAATACAACACAAAAAACCCCACGGCCATTTCAACTTGATGCATTGCATTCAGACAAGATAAATGCATTTATCTTTTTCAGGTTTTATTCTGATTAAAAATAACTGTATATTTAAAAGACAGAGGCTACAATTCAAATATGCATTTGCACTGACTTCAACAGGACTGAATCTATCCTCTCTGCGGTTTACATATATTAAAGAACGCCAGCGACAAAAAAATAGTATTACTGACCATTCGTAGTCCAGGCACCCTTCGGTAGCAATGCCATATTAATTTTCAAACAGAATTAAATCATGATTTAAAAAAAGGTAAAGGTAAAGGGACCCCTGACCGTTAAGTCCAGGTTGCGGCGCTCATCTCGTTTTACTGGCCGAGGGAGCCGATGTTTGTCCGCAGTTTTTCCGGGTACCGACTTATATTATATAAGGTAAAGGGACCCCTGACCAGTAGGTCCAGTCGTGACCAACTCTGGGGTTGCGGCGCTCATCTCGCTTTATTGGCCGAGGGAGCTGGCGTACAGCTTCCGGGTCATGCGGCCAGCGTGACTAAGCTGCTTCTGGCGAACCAGAGCAGCGCACGAAACTTCCCGCTGGAGTGGTACCTATTTATCTACTTGCACTTTGATGTGCTTTCGAACTGCTAGGTTGGCAGGAGCAGGGACCGAGCAACGGGAGCTCACCCCGTCACGGGGATTCGAACCGCCGACCTTCTGATCGGCAAGTCCTAGGCTCTGTGGTTTAACCCACAGCGCCACCCGCGGCCCTAACATTATATATATTACATACATGGATATTATTCATCCCTAGCCTTGTCATATTTGTATTTTATTTGTGCTCCAGACCGCGTTTGTTTCAAATTTCATTTCAGATTCTCCCTAGCATCCAAATACAGAACCAAAGAGCTTTGCACATGACCTGTAGACAGTGACATTATTTTCTCCATGACTCACCTGAGGCTCCAAGTCCACTATACAGATCTTCCCTTCTTCAAGCACTGCACGTACGGCATCAATGCTCGTGCCGTAGAGATTCCCCTTGTACTCTCCATATTCCATCATTCTGCAAAGGCGATCAACAAGGGAGGAGGAGACGGGCAAGGTGAGAGGCGCCTGCTTCAAGCAAAAGGTATTTAAAACCTTCACACCCTGTGCTTCAGGTGAACAAAATGTGTTGGGGAGGGTAGCAAAAACATTTCCTTCCGGGGCCCCACCAGAACTTGTGTTTTGCTTTTGCTGCTGTATTCTGCAACATGTCACCGATGTCGCGATAGTGCACTGGCGGCGGCACATTCTCACGTCATTCTGTCCCAGAAACTCCAGCGGGTGCAGAATGCTGCAGCGAGGCTCCTCACGGGGTCTCTGCCATGGGAGCATATTCACCCAGTGCTTTTCCAGCTGCACTGGCTCCCGGTGGAGTACAGGGTCAGATTTAAGGTGCCGGTTTTGACCTTTAAAGCCCTTCACGGCCTAGGACCCTCGTACCTACGGGACCGCCTCTCCCGGTATGCCCCACGGAGAGCCTCAAGGTCCATAAATAGCAACACCCTAGTGGTCCCGGGCCCTAAGTGTTGTGTATTGAGTCAAAGGATTTTATATCTGTATTATTATTGTCTGTATTTGCATTAGGGTAAAGTAACTGCCTTTTGGTTCCAGAGGGTACAGCTACTATTGGTTCATTTAAGCTGCTGTATTTGGATCCTCTGTCTTATTGGTTCCCTCCAAAAGGCAGGACTGTGATTGCCTGATATTGTTCCCTCCAAAATGTATCCTTTCTTGCTAGTTCCCTGTCCCTATAAATGTAGCTTTCCTCTCCCCAGTCTTCAGTCTTGTTGCTTTAATAAAGAAGTGTTACTAGAGAACTGTCTCCAGCATGTTATATCAGGAGAGCTGAAACCACAAACCCCACGTCACAACAACTGGCGACGAAGGTGGGATCCGGAATGCTGAGGAGCGGTTAAACGCAGCCCTGCCTCAGAGTCCGGATTGCAGCTAAGAACAAGACTCACTGGCCAGCTGAGAAGACGACCCTGCCACAGGACAATGGAGAGTCCAAGGGTATTGGAGCCCTTCCAGCCATCAGAGCCCGACACGTGGGAAGACTACGTCGAACGCTTCGAGTTCTTCGCAGAGGCTCAAGGGATCACCGATGCCAGCAAAAGAAGGGCCACATTCCTGAGCTACTGTGGGCCTGAGACCTTCAAGCTGGCCAAGGCATTGCTTGCTCCAGCGAAGCTAAGTGAGACATCTCTCAAAGATATTCTTGCCTGCCTAACAAGCCACTTGGCGCCTACTGAGACCAAGATGGCTCGGCGGATGGAGTTTCATAAGAGGCAGCAGCATGCTGGGAGTCTGTATCTGCATTTCTGGCTGAACTGCGGAAGCTCGCTCAGCACTGCGACTTCCAAAATCTGGAAGAGACTCTCCTGGATCGGTTTATCGGTGGTCTGAGCAGCAAGAAGGCCAGAAGACGCATCGTGGCTAAAGAAGAGGTTACCCTTGCTTCAGCCTTGAAGGAGGCCACCGCCACGGAGAATTATGAAAGAGAGGAGCTTGATGCCAGTCGCAAGGCCCCTAAGCCACAGATAGAAGTTGCGCATGCCATGGACGAGCTAGAGGCTACTCCGAGCCAGAGCCCAGTCCGTGGGGTCGAGTCAGTGAGTCAGGCCTGCACAGTGCACAAAGATCACCGAGGCAGGTGCCCAGGTTGTGGCGGAAACCATGAGCGGAAGAGTTGTCGTTTCCGGGATGCTATGTGCCGGACGTGCGGGAAGACAGGTCACATCGCCAGGGTCTGTAGATCGGCGGCGTTGGGAGCGACAGGAGCACCTAGACCGGAGCATCGCAGACCGCCCGCAGCAACCCATTTTCTAAAGGACTGCCACTACGTTACGGAGATCAACGGGAGGGTCGTGCAGTTCCCAGCACAAGGCAAGGCACACGTCAAGGTGAAGATTGAGGGTCAGCAGTGCGACATGGAGGTGGACTCCGGATCTGGATTCACTATCGTGTCGGACCAGACCGCGAGGACATTCTTCCCCAGGGGTAAGTTGCCCCTCTGGAACCCTTCCCGGCAACCTTGCAGTCATACTCAGCGGGCCGCATCCATGTTATGGGAATGTGTGCCGTGAGAGTACAGTTCCGGGACAAACAGGCTGTACTCAAACTGGTGATTGCGAAGGGCAGTCGCCCCAGTCTCCTGGGCACTGACTGGTTCTCCGCCCTAGGACTGAGTATATCAGGGCTTAATTCAATCCAAACCTGCCCTGAGATGAGCGAGGCATTATGCAAAGAATTTGCTGGTCTCTTTAATGGAAAACTGGGTTGTTATAAAGGGCCCCCAGTTGACTTCGAGTTGGACCCTGGGGTGGCCCCAATCCGACTCAAACCAAGGCGAGTGCCATTTGCACTGCAACCCAAGATCGAAGCAGAGCTGGAGAAATTGGTCAAGCAGGGAGTTCTCTCACCCGTGGACTCTGCTAAGTGGGAGACTCCAATCGTCACGCCCCTTAAAGCAAATGGGGAAGTCAGGATCTGTGCAGATTACAAATGTACTATCAATAAGGCACTCAGGGAAACTCATACCCCATTCCAGTCGTATCACATCTGTTGGCTAAACTGGCTGGGGGCAAGGTGTTCGCCAAAATTGACCTGGCACAAGCTTACCAACAGCTGCCAGTAACCCCACAATCAGCGGAAGCACAGACTATTGTCACACATAAAGGGGCGTTCAGAGTTAACAGATTACAATTTGGAGTTTGTGTGGCCCCAGGGATTTTTCAAGGGCTCATGGAACACCTGTTAAGAGGTCTGCCGGGGGTCTTGCAATTTTTGATGACGTTTTGATTGCTGGAAAAGACCCACAGGAACTGGTTGCGCGTGTTCGTGCAGTGTTGCTCAAGTTCAAGGAGGTGGGGTTGCAACTGAAAAGGAAAAATGCAGTTTTGGGGTGCCAACTGTGGATTTCTTGGGGTTTAAAATTGATGCATCAGGCATCCACCCCACAGATGCTAAGATTAAGGCCATCATCGAGGCGCCACGACCACAGAACAAGACGGAGTTGCAGTCATTCCTGGGACTTATTAACTTTTATCATTCGTTCTTACCCCAGAAAGCTTCGGTAGCTGAACCATTACATAGACTGTTGCAGAAAAAGAATGTGTGGCGATGGGGGCAGGGGCAGCAGAAGGCTTTTGACTCCTTGCGAGGAATGCTGAGTAGCAGGAGTGTCCTTGCTCATTATGACGAGTCAAAGCCTCTGGTCCTGGCATGTGATGCCTCTCAATACGGCCTGGGGGCGGTGCTAAGTCATAGGGAACCGGATGGGTCGGAAAAGCCCATCTCTTTCTATTCCCGTACGTTGTCGCCCACGGAGCGCAACTATGCTCAAATTGACAAAGAGGCGCTTGCAATTGTGGCAGGAATCAAAAAGTTCCATGATTATGTGTACGGTCGCCATTTCTACATTGAAACGGACCACAAGCCACTGTTAGGGTTGTTCAACCCGAACAAACAAACGCCACAAATTCTCTCCCCCAGAATGTTACGTTGGTCTATATTCCTGAACGGGTTCCAGTACACCTTGACCCATGTGCCCGGGAAACGGTTGTGCCACGCGGATGCGCTGAGTCGATTGCCCCTTCCTGGCGGGAGCACTGAGGATCCTGCTCCAGCGGAGCACATAATGATGCTGGAAACACTTCCGGGGCTCCTGTAACGGCTACTGATATAGCTGAGAAAACGAGGAAAGATGCTGTTCTCTCCCGTGTGCTCACTTGGGTGGGGAGGGGGTGGCCAGGTGGTCCGCATGAAGACAAATTCAGGCCTTATGCGACTAGGCAGCACGAGTTGTCCATGCATAAGGGTTGTCTCCTGTGGGGAGATAGGGTGATCATCCCAGCACCACTGAGAAACAGGGTTCTTGAGACGCTTCACATGGGACACCCGGGAATGGTCAGGATGAAGTCGCTAGCCCGATGTTATGTGTGGTGGCCTGGAATGGACCAGAACATAGAACAATGGGTACGAACATGCAAGGCATGCCAAGAGGTGCGGCCAGAAGTGGCCAGAGCACCAGTCCACTGGTGGGAGCAGTCCAGATCTCCCTGGAGCCGGCTGCACTTAGATTTTGCTGGGCCATTCCAAGGAAAGGTCTTTTTGGTTATCGTTGATGCATATTCCAAATGGTTAGAAGTGGCGATGGTCCCTAGCATGGCATCAGCTGCCGTCATCAAGGTGTTGAGGCAGCTGTTTGCAACCCACGGGTTACCTGAGACCATTGTATCAGATAATGGGGCAGCTTTTGTATCCCAAGAATTCAGGGCATTCTTGGCTGATAACTTCATAAGAGGGGTCACATCCGCGCCCTTTCACCCATCCTCCAATGGGCAGGCTGAGCGCATGGTAAGAACAGCCAAAGAATCCATTGCGCGCTTAATGGAGGGTAACTGGTCAGCTCGCATCGCGCGAATGTTATTTTTGCAGCATGCGACGCCGTGTACCGCAACGGGCAAGTCGCCAGCTGAGCTGCTCTTGGGTAGGAGACTGGTAACGGTGCTGGATTATGTCCACCTGGATAAAATGCCAAACCATAATTCAAGAGCAACCCCCCAGGCTGAGACTGACACAACAAGGTATCTCGCCCCTGAAGATCTGGTCTGGGTGAGGAACTATTCACGAGGTTCGCGGTGGGTGGCTGGTGTGGTCACCCGGGCTAGTGGACCTGTGTCCTATTATGTGACCTTGGAAAATGGGCAAGTGTGGAAGAGACATATAGATCAGCTGAGGCGCCGGGCGCTCAGCAGGGAGGAGCCAGATAATTCATCCCTGGCTAACGACGCAGAGCTGCAAGACCAGAGTGAAAATGGCACAGAGGTGCAATCACCAGGGGCTTTAACAAATGAACCAGGGTCTGCTAGTCCTCACGATGACGAGGTACAGATAGGGGACCCTGAGATGTCGGGGACTCCATCTGTTCCTGACGAAACCCCTAGAGCAGCCCCTCTACCACAGGTAACACCCAATTCAGAACCTGCAACACCTGTTGTCAGGAGATCAAGTAGAAGTTGTAGGCCCCCACAGTACCTGAGAGATTACGTCTGCTGTGCTCACTAGGGGGGAAGGGGTGTTGTGTATTGAGTCAAAGGATTTTATATCTGTATTATTATTGTCTGTATTTGCATTAGGGTAAAGTAACTGCCTTTTGGTTCCAGAGGGTACAGCTACTATTGGTTCATTTAAGCTGCTGTATTTGGATCCTCTGTCTTATTGGTTCCCTCCAAAAGGCAGGACTGTGATTGCCTGATATTGTTCCCTCCAAAATGTATCCTTTCTTGCTAGTTCCCTGTCCCTATAAATGTAGCTTTCCTCTCCCCAGTCTTCAGTCTTGTTGCTTTAATAAAGAAGTGTTACTAGAGAACTGTCTCCAGCATGTTATATCAGGAGAGCTGAAACCACAAACCCCACGTCACAACACTAAGGACGTTAGATTAGCTTCAACCAGAGCCAGGGCCTTTTCAACGCTGGCTCCGGCCTGGTAGAACGCTCTGCCTCATGAGACCAGGGCCCTGCAGGATCTGACTTCTTTCCGCAGGGCCTGTAAGACAGAGTTGTTCCGCCTGGCCTTTGGCTTGGAGCCAGTTTGATTCCCTCCCCCTTTCTTTTTCCTTTTTCCTTTCTCCTCCTGTGATGAGGCTGCATTTTAATATTTTAATGTTTCAATATTTTAATGTTGTATTTTAATCTTGTTTTTAAGTTGCATTCATTCAACTTGTTTTTATTATTGCTTGTTAGCCGCCCTGAGCCCAGCCTTGGCTGGGGAGGGCGGGGTATAAATAAAATTATTATTATTATTATTATTATTATTATTATTATTATTATGTTCTGCATCGCTTCTCTAGTATTGCTGCACTGCGGCTGACTGGAGGGGAACTTTTGCACTGTAGCACAACAATAGCTGGACAACCTCCCCCCCCCCCGCCCCGTCCCTCTGGAACATTTGTGCTATAAAAAGTCAGAGGATATCAGCAGAAAGCTATTGGAAATGCACGGACTGGAAATTATCATGAGCTCTGTTATGTACTAAGCTTGGATCCTAGAACAATAAGCAGGTAGGATCCGAGAATGCAACAACCTGATTGGCCTGCAGGAGCAGCCCAATCAGACCCCAGGAAGGAAGCAGAATCAGCCAATCAGATGGGACTCATTGTGTAAATAATGTATATAAAGCCTGAGGTTTTGGGGGCAGCGGTTTCACTCACTGTTTTATGAGCTGCAGTAAAGAGCATGAAATCACTATGCAATTCCGTGTATATTTCAAGTTCAAATAAAAGGAACATCTGGAGCGGCTCTCCTGTATCTTACCTCGCACTGCACTCCATTGCTTTAAGCCGGGGTTTCCCAAACTTGGGTCCTCAGCTGCTTTGGGGCTACAGATCCCATCATCCCTGACCACAGGGTCCTGCTAGCTAGGGATGATGGGTGTTGTATTCCAAAAACAGCTAGAGACTCAAGTTTGGGAAACGCTGCTTTAAGACTTGCCAATGTCCTCTTGTGCTTAGTTTGGCCCTGGAGAGCTTGAGAAGTATTTATAAAGCAGTACAGTGGTACCTCGGGTTACATACGCTTCAGGTTACATACGCTTCAGGTTACAGACTCCACTAACCCAGAAATAGTACCTCGGGTTAAGAACTTTGCTTCAGGATGAGAACAGAAATTGTGCTCCGGTGGCGCAGCAGCAGCAGGAGGAGGCCCCATTAGCTAAAGTGGTGCTTCAGGTTAAGAACAGTTTCAGGTTAAGAACGGATCTCCGGAACGAATTAAGTTCTTAACCCGAGGTACCACTGTACTTCACTCCACTGACTGTTAGTCCTGGTTCTCGACCACATGATTTTGAAACATAAGGAGAAAGGGCAAGAAATGTAAATCTAAGGATTACCTGTGACCGTATACCATATTTTCAAAGGTTTCCTTCAACACATAATGGTACTCTCGGCCATTTTCTTCATAGCTCTTTTGAGCACGAGTTGTGTCTGTTTAAAAAGGGGGAAAAAATGGCAGCGCTGTTATAAACCTGTTAATTCCCCGGTTAATAATTACAGTGGTACCTCGGTTTTCAAACAGCTTAGTTCACGGACAACTTGGAACCCAAAGGTTGCAAAACCAGAAGTAGGTGTTCCGGTTTTTGAACTTTATTTTCGGAAGTTGAACGTGCTCCATTTTGAGTCCCCCTGTTTTTCCTGTTGTGCTGCTAATCCCTCCCCCCACTGTAATTCAAGCCTTCCGTTTCTGATTGCAGTGTTCTGAGGTGATAGATATTTGGAGTGTATATTTGGTGCTTTTATTTTTGCTATTTATTTTGCGTTTTTTGTTTTGAGGCTTTTTCAGTTAATTTGTTTTTGTGACTGTGTGGATCCCAGTTCAGCTACTGATTGATTGATTGATTGATTGATTGATTGTGTGACTGTGGAAATGGATAAAAGTCCCCCACCCAAACAATGACTATCATCAGTGCAGGTAAGAAATTTCTTAAATTTTTATTTTTATCATCTACAATACTGTTTTATTTATTTTATAGTACAGTAAATTGATAATTGCTTTCATTTTATGGATCAATGGTCTCATTATACAGTAAAATTCATGTCAAATTGCTGTTTTAAGGGTTGTTTTTAAAAGTCTGGAATGGATTAATCCATTTTGCATGACTTTCTATGGGAAAGCGAGCCTTGGTTTTGGAACGCTTTGGTTTTGGAACAGGCTTCTGGAACGCATTAAGTTTGAGAACCAAGGTACCAGTGTACTTGGATGAAACCTTTTGGCAAAGCTTCCCCTCTCCTCCTACTGCTAGAATTAAGGATACATGAAAAATGTCACGTACGTGGCACGGCACTTTGAAAGTGATGAGGGTTGATACCAATAAGCCGCCGCCGTAGCTCATTCACTCCCACACCTGAAGGACCTGTTTCAAGAAAGGAAACAGGTAAGTGCCAAATGAATGCATCATGTCTCCAGTACAATGCACCCTATCTGTAACAGAAGAAGAGTAGTTTCACATGACCAGTAATGGTCATCACAATTCCTCAAAGTTAGATAAAGAGTAGAAAAACAGATTTCTTTGTAGAGGTGGTAGTGAGCACCTGCTTTTCTGAAGAGATGCCAATGCAGGAATTACAGGTGTACTGCCGGGACCACATAACACCGGTCCTGAGAGATCTGCATTGGCTCCCCGTACGTTTCCGAGCACAATTCAAAGTGTTGGTGCTGACCTTTAAAGCCCTAAACCGCCTCGGCCCAGTATACCTGAAGCGTCTCCACCCCCATTGTTCAGCCCAGACACTGAGATCCAGCTCCAAGGGCTTTCTGGCAGTTCCCTCATTGAGAGAAGTGAGGTTACAGGGAACCAGACAGAGGGCCTTCTCGGTAGTAAGGAAATAAGCAGCTATCTTCTCTTTAAAAGACATCTGAAGGCAGCCCTGTTTAGGGAAGTTTTTAATATTTAATGCTGTATTGTTTTTAACACTTGATTGGGAGCCGCCCAGAGTGGCTGGGGAAACTCAGCCAGATGGGCGGGGTATAAATAAATTATTATTATTATTATTATTATTATTATTATTATTATTACCTCATTTTATTGCACTTTGCACGATTGCGCTTCATATATACATTGCTCCTTACAAGGACATGGGTTAAGTTGCAAGCAGCCTGGCTGCTTCCAGGAGAAGGAAGCTCCAATGCTCCTCTTGTGGCCACAGGACTAGGGCTAGAGCTGGATCCCAACCCACCCCCCACAGCCAGGGGGGCCTGGCTTAATAAGACTACAGTAGAAAGGTAAAGGTAAAGGGACCCCTGACCATTAGGTCCAGTCGTGGCCGACTCTGGGGTTGCAGCGCTCATCTCGCTTTATTGGCCGAGGGAGCCGGCGTACAGCTTCCGGGTCATGTGGCCAGCATGACTAAGCCGCTTCTGGCGAACCAGAGCAGTGCACGGAAACACCGTTTACCTTCCCGCTGGAGCGGTACCTGTTTATCTACTTGCACTTTGACGTGCTTTCGAACTGCTAGGTTGGCAGGAGCAGGGACCGAGCAACGGGAGCTCACCCTGTCAAACCGCCGACCTTCTGATTGTTAAGTCCTAGGCTCTGTGGTTTAACCCACAGCGCCACCCGCGTCCCTTAAGACTACCGTATAGTGTAAACATAAATTTTACATGCACTGGGAAACAAAAAAAAGTGACTTGCTTTATTGCAATATTTGTTTTATTGCAGTGGTCTGGAACTGAACTCGCGATATCGCTAAGGTACGCCTGTACTTTCTCTGTACAAATTCAAGGGAAGTTATGAGGTGAGGTGAGTCCCACTGATATAGTGAAGGACATGCGCCTGATGTGCAGATCTGAGGCAGCTACCACCAGGTATGCTCAGGAGTTTGCTAATACAGCTGTTGCAGATTTAGCTGTGGCTAGTGGCTCGACACAGATCTTGGAACCCGAAGTCTTGAAAGGGGTACAGGGTTTGTCCTCGAAGGACAGGAAACCACGCCCAAAGGCTGTGTGTGTGTGTCAACACCAATTCCTCAGAGAGGAACGAGGCTAGGGTTCAAGGTCCCAACAAAGCCTGGTGTGAAACTTCTTGATAGTCAGGAGAGCTATGATACCAAGACTAGTCAGATGTGCAAGATGGTAAAGGCCCAAGGCCAATCCAGTTGCAGGTAGTTCCAAGAGTGGAACGGGTGATACAGGGGTATACTGTGTGTATGACATCTGTATGGTTGTTGCAGTTACATTGATGACTACAACACAGTTCATGAATCGGGGGAGGATGTTGGAGATTCATTCCCTGTGTCTGCAGTCATGAGATTGTTGTCTATCACATGACGGTGTATGTTTTCATTCCACAGTGTGGGAAGTGACGGAGACAGGATGTTTGGTATTTGTGATGGCCTGGGAATCCGATTCAGAGGCTGAACCGGAGGAACCCCAGCCTGCACAGGAGTCCCCGCCTCCAGGGCCGGCTGAGCTGGGGCGGGGCCTTGGATCTGAAGCGCCTGCACCTGTGCCGGATCCTCAGGAGCAGACACCAGGTGATTCCACTCTAGCTCCGGAGGTGATTGAGGACACAGTGCCTACAGGTGCGCCTCTCCCGGCCCTGCCAGAGGAAGGTGAGTCTCCCCCTGGGTCCAGTAACTCCCCAGCCTCTCCTGAGCTGCAGAGGCTCAGGGCAGAGAGGCGGAGGGAACTGGTTTCTCCCAGGAGGAGTGTTCGCCTTAAGGCCGGGAGAGGTGGGTCTCCTGGGGGCCGGGACCGCCCCTGGCCTCAGAGAAGATAAAGGCCAGTCAGCCCGGTCCCAGGTTGTGGGAGCACCGTTGTTGAATACCTGCTCCTGCCCGGACCCAGACCTGTCCTTCCAGTGTTCCCATACCCGCCCGGCTTCCTGCTTCGGACCCTGCCTCGCTCTTTGTGAACTGTTTCCAGACTTGTTGACCTCGCCAACGGTAACCTTCCCCCCGGGACCAGCACAGCATTACTGTGTTCTGTGAAGTGGGACTATTGTCCTTTCTTTCTTTCTTTCTCTCTTTGCTGTCTGATGAGAAAGAGGAAGGAGCTAAGTCAGAATGCTCCGAGTGTATTATATGTAAATAAACGTCGATTAGCCAAAATGCTGTGCTACTGAGTTCTGTTACACAAACTGTGAATACTCTATGGACCCCTAAGCGTGCTAACGCCTTTTGGTATCAGCCGCAGAAGAAAGATTTTGAAGCTCCCGAACAACCGACCAGGTGGAAGAGAACATGCCAGTCAGGCATGTGTCTCTACCAGGGTCCTACACAAGAGTAGGACGATCCTAACAGTAACTAGGTAAGTTGTAGGCAACTTGTTGCAACTCACCTACTAGCACAATTAATCTGTTTCGGTCTCCAGGGTGCCTCTGGTACCTCACCACTTCTTCATAAGGTGCTGCTGCGGCACTGTAGCAGCCGCTGGGGCACCGGGTGTAGCATGGCAGGTGGCTGTTACGGCATTTCCTGCGGCACAGGCGCATACTTCTCCGGAAACCGGCTGAGAATGGAGAATGGAGCACTGGTCACGGAAGGAATGGGATGGGCACACTTGATCGGTTAGCAGGGCCTGCCTGCAATATTTCTGGCGCCTCAGATGGCCCCCCCACCCCATCACATCATAACCTGAAACTCCCCATCCTAGCAGACTGATAGACCATTATTGTGTCTGGCCTCTCAGGTCCAAGACAGAGCTGCTCTCCTCCCACATTATTGTGTCTGGCCTCTCAGGTCCAAGACAGAGCTGCTCTCCTCCCACATTATTGTGTCTGGCCTCTCAAGTCCAAGAAAGAGCTGTTCTCCCCCCACATTTCTACAACTCATAGAATTGTAGCATTGGAAAAGACACCCCCCCCGGAGTAATCTCGTTCCTCCCCCTGCAATGCAGGGATCTCGGCTAAAGCATCCACTGGTTCGAGTCCTACCCTCCAGAGCAGAAGAAAGCAAGTTTGCTCCATCTTCAATGTTTAGATATTTGAAGATCGCTTGTGACAAGCTCCCCATTTAAATACCTCTGGATGCAAACAGGATCCGTTGCGGAGCCCCGTTCACACCCTGAAGCGAACGCAACCCGCACGCACGGGTCGCAATTTGCTGCTGCCGCACATGCGCGTGACGTCGTTTTGAGTGTCTGCACATGCACGAGAGGCGAAACCCAGAAGTAACACACTCCGTTACTTCCGGGTCGCCGCGGAGCACAAACCGAAAATACTCATCCTGAAGCTTCTTCAACCTGAGGTAGGACTGTACTTAAATACAGTCATACCTCGTGTTGCATGAGGTTCATGCTGTCTCTTTTCGGCTTGCGAACATGGCAAACCCGGAAGTGTATACTTCCGGGTTTCACCACGTGCGTGTGCGCAGAAGCGTTCTGCGCGCTTTGCACATGCGCAGAAGCGCTCTATCGTGCTGTGTGCGTGCGCAGAAGCGGCGCTCTAGTTACGGACTTTTCGGTGTGAGAACGGCACCCCAGAAAGGATCAAGTCCGTAACTAGAGGTACCACTGTATAGAAATACTTTAAAATTTAAATATTTGAATTTAAATTCCCTGCATGCCGTTTGGTGAGCCTTGGAAGCTGATGGCAGTTTCTGTGAAAATAACATTTTCTGGAATTGACTGTAGTCCATCTCAATGGCTACTCCATTCCAAGAGCAGCTAGCCAAAGGCCTCTGAACAGTTGACGAGCTGGCCATGGAAGTGATGCTTAGTCCCTATTTTGTCTGCAGAAGGGATGAGGAGCCAGTGGGTTTCCAGATGTTGTTGGGCTCTCATCATTCCTGACCATTTGGCCATGGTGGCTGGGGTGGGGAAGAGATGGAGTCTCAACCACATCGGGAGGGCTAAAAAAATTTCATCTCTGACCTGCAACTTCTGATATTCAGAGCTATGCTCTCCCTGAAGGCACGGGTTCTTAGATCTGATGGCCAATATCCATGGGTCTAGTTCTCACTGAGGTGGTAAAAATTGTGCACCACTTCCAACTGTAGCTATAATAATAATAATAATAATAATAATAATAATAATAATAACCCCACCCATCTGGCTGGGTTTCCCCAGCCACTCTGGGCGGCTTCCACAGAGACCAAAAATACACTAAAATGTCACACATTAAAAACTTCCCTGAACAGGGCTGCCTTAAGATGTCTTCTGATTGTCAGGTAGTTGTTTATTTCCTTGACATCTGGTGGGAGGGCGTTCCACGGGGGGGGGGGTGCCACTACTGAGAAGGCCCTCTGTCTGGTTCCCTGTAGCTTTGCTTCTCACAATGAGGGAACCGCCAGAAGGCCCTTGGCGCTGGACCTCAGCATCTGGGCAGAACGATGGGGGTGGAGACACTCCTTCAGGTATACTGGGCCGAGACCGTTTAGGGCTTTAAAGGTCAACACCAACACTTTGAATTGTGCTCGGAAATGTACTGCGAGCCAATGTAGGTCTTTGAAGATCGGTGTTATGTGGTCTCGGCGGCCGCTCCCAGTCACCAGTCTAGCTGCCACATTCTGGATTAGTTGTATTTTCCGGGTCACCTTCAAAGGTAGCCCCACATAGAGCGCATTGCAGTAGTCCAAGCGGGAAATAACTAGAGCATGCACCACTCTGGTGAGACAGTCTGCGGGCAGGTATGTCAACATTTAATGCAATTCTCAGGATGGTTTAGATTAGAATGAAATCACAGGAATTAGTGGGTCTTTCTGAAAAGCTAAGCAATTTGGAGTCTCTGAAGTTGGTGGAAATTTGTCCGTTTTTATCAGGCAGAGGGAACCACGAGAGCTATAAACCTATTGGAGAGGCGGCTTAGCAGGGAAGAATACCTTCAGTATACCTGAAGGAGCATCTCCACCTCCATCGTTCAACCTGAGGTCCAGCGCTGAGGGCCTTCTGGCGGTTCCCTCACTGGAAGAAGCCAAGTTACAGGGAAACAGGCAGAAGGCCTTCTCGGTAGTGGCACCCGCCCTGTGGAATGCCCTCCCATCAGATGTCAAGGAAATAAACAACTATCTGACATTTAGAAGACATGTGAAGGCAGCCCTGTTTAGGGAAGTTTTTAATGACTGATGTTTTAATGTATTTTTAATCTTTTGTTGGAAGCTGCCCAGAGTGGCTGGGGAAACCCAGCCAGATGGATGGGGTAGAAATAATAAAATTCTTATTATTATTATTACAACTACTACTACTAGAACTACAAAACAGAACTGCACAGAAGAGTGGCTGGTTAGAGGCTTAAAATGAAGCAGTGGACTTGGATTAACTGACTTCAGATCTTACTTCAAGCTTAATGGTCAGGATAATATTAGAAGAGTTTGGACTTGATATCCCGCCTTTCACTCCCCTTAAGGTGTCTCAAAGCGGCTAACATTTTCCTTTCCCTTCCTCCCCCACAACAAACACTCTGTGAGGTGAGTGGGGCTGAGAGACTTCAGAGAAGTGTGACTGGCCCAAGGTCACCCAGCAGCTGCATGTGGAGGAGCGGGGAAGTGAACCCAGTTCACCAGATTACGAGTCCACTGCTCTTCACCACTGCACCACGCTGGCTCTCTAGGGATATTAGGGATTTCACTAAAATTGAAATGATCATCTCCCTCGCAGCAAAGAGGGAGCAAGTAAAGGAACATTCAGGAAGAAAGCACAAGGTGAATACACCTCAAACACAACGACAAGGAACTACTTTCACAGGCAGAAACAGCAAACAGCAATTCTCCAGTCTCTCAATACAACCACGTACTAATGAAGACCCGCTTGCCAGATCCACTGAATTCTTCCTCTTCTGCAATGTGAAAAAAGCAACATTTTTTTTAAAGTCAGACAAATAATGAAAAGCCAGACCGATTATCAAACTTCAGGATTTTACCTGTTTTCATACAAAAGATGCAGCTAGTATTGTTTTAATGCCTAAGGGTGCAACCAAAAAGATGTAAGAGACCAGATTTACTACACCCAAAATACCGTAGAAAAAGCTATACTTTAAAAACGACAACGCAACAGCAGCAGCCCTTCACAACAGAACGTTTTAAGCTCTTGTTTCTTATATGCCTAAGTTGCTGTCTCACGTCAGTTTTAAGAAATAGCCCTCTCTCGATTTGTGCTTCGCTTGCTAAAGGTAAAGGGACCCCTGACCATTAGGTCCAGTCGTGACCGACTCTGGGGTTGCGGCGCTCATCTCGCTTTATTGGCTGAGGGAGCCGGCGTACAGCTTCCGGGTCATGTGGCCAGCATGGCTAAGCCGTTTCTGGCAAACCAGAGCAGCGCACAGAAACGCCGTTTACCTTTCCACTGGAGCGGTACCTATTTATCTACTTGCACTTTGACGTGCTTTCGAACTGCTAGCTTGGCAGGAGCAGGGACTGAGCAATGGGAGCTCACCCTGTTGCGGGGATTTGAACCGCCAACCTTCTGATCGGCAAGTCCTAGGCTCTGTGGTTTAACCCACAGTGCCACCTGCGTCCTTAGATGTTCAGAGGTACTACATCTCTAAATAGGTAAAGGTAACTGTCAGGGAACTGACATCGGAGCTAGAGGCAGAGGGAAGGCTCTCAAATGATGCTGGAGAAGGGCCCAGCAGGGAGAGAGGCAGCTCCGCAGATGGGGAAGCAAATCAGCGCTACACCAGGGATAAGGAGGGGCTGATGGGGAATCGGCGAGAGGGCTCCAGGACTCTTCACCGGACACCAGCGGGAGAGCACTGGTCCCCCGCTACCCACGCCCACCCTGCCCAGAAGACTTCCGCGCAGAGAGAGTAGGAGGAGACTGGGTGTCAAACAACTTTTATGTTGGAAAAGATTTAAGAAACGCCCACTGACCAGATTCTGCTAGCGACTGAGGCAGCCACGAAGTGAAGGGCTGCCCAGACTGAAAGGTTTACCAAGGCAACAAAGCCTGGAGAGGCGGCAACTTACGCACGAGCAACCCATACTCATTATAGTAACTGAACGGTTAAGTCCTGCCGTGGCCGACTCTGGAGTTGCGGCGCTCATCTCGCTTTATTGGCCCAGGGAGCCGGCATACAGCTTCCGGGTCATGTGGCCAGCATGACTAAGCCGCTTCTGGTGAACCAGAGCAGCGCACGGAAACACCGTTTACCTTCCCGCCAGAGCAGTACCTATTTATCTACTTGCACTTTGACGTGCTTTCGAACTGCTAGGTTGGCAGGAGCAGGGACTGAGCAATGGGAGCTCACCCCGTTGCGGGGCTTCGAACCGCCGACCTTCTTCGCTTGCTAGTTGATGGTAAATCAAAAAAAGTGCTTTCCAAATTGTCAGTTAGGTTGGCCTAAGTAGAAGAAAGCACACAAGGGTGGAGAATTGTTATGAAATTGGCTTGCCCAGCCTATTTGTGGGCCCAGTGGCCAAATAATGGCAGCTGAATGTGGCAACAGAAGCCATGTGGCTTCTGATTCTGTTTTGAGACTGCCTACTCTTGATCGATATTGCTCAGTTTTATGATCAATTTTTATTGCTTTGGTTTTTTGCCCACTGCTTAGAAATCACAATACTAAAGCAATATCTAACTAGCTAAAATAAATATATTTTTAAATAAACCTCTTTCTTTTTTTTAACAGGAGGCACCAGTCATCTTCAACATGACACCTGAGATGCGTGTGTTTTCAATACCCACCCTACTCCCCTGACTGCAGTTTGTGCTCTTTTTCATTCTGAACTTTAATTATATATTTTATTGCATAAAATCAAAACCCCTCAAAGCAGTTTTTAAAAAGAACAAAGCAATAAAATTATTAGTAAAAACAGTTAATTAAAACTACTATTTAAAACTGTAAATGGTTGTTAGTGCCCTGGGACCTGCTGGTGAATATTGCCCTGCTGAGCAATAATAAAACTAAATATTAATAATGACATCTTCTCTTTCTAAGGACTCAGGCTGCATAAGTTGCCCTGAAATATCCTTCCAGGTAAGAAAGAAAGAAATATGGGACCATTTTTTACGTGTTAAAAACTGGCTGAGGACTGTATTTATTTTCTGACCACACATGAAATATGCCACGGAAGCACTCGGGTGCAAAAATAAGCAGCTAATATATTTGTCCACCGTCCTAACATGCTAACCAAATAGTCAAAGCACGTGTGCGCGCGCACACACACACACACACACACACACAAACACACACCACAAAACCTTTCCTCATATTTCCAAAGAGGTTCTGTAGAACCTTAACTTACATAAGGGTTGGTTAGTGCTTAGTTCATACAAATGTGTTATCATTTGGTTAACATACATTTGCTAAGTGTGCATCCATGTTCCTGCTCGGGTCCATCCCATAATTTCTCTGCATATATACCTGACATGACTAGAAGGAGGCAATTCAATATATAAGTCTCTGACATCTCTAAGCCATAAAGAAATGACCAACAACCTACTTTGGGGAATCTGGAGGGAAAGGGGGGGGAATTCAAAGTTACCTTCTTTAAGCTCCTCTGGCATTGTTGCATAAAAAAATAAAAACAGGAGGGCATATTAAAAAATCAGGTCTGTGAAATTCACATCCAAAGCAGTATAGTGGAACATGTAGATAATTCAAGTATAACTAGAGCTACTTTATACAAAAGCAAGAATTTCTTACTAGTACTTTCAAAATATCTAGCAACCAATCACATCCACCATCTTTCTCCAGGGACTGCAGACTTTGCAACCTGCTTCAGTTCCCCCTCAGTGTGAACACTTCACATCCCAGCTCTTCACAGGCGACTTATCAATGCTTCTTAACAGATGTCCTCTGTCTCAAATCACATCTCACCATTTTGAAAAATCCCTATGACTTCTAAAATTTGGGTGCTATTTTGAGGTGGGATTCCATCCCATACCAGTTCAGGTTTTGCGACTGCAGTTGGCCGAGAGGTCTTGCACAATAAACTCGCTTCCTTACTTTTTGCAGTAAGGAAAGTGATGGAGAATGGCGAGAAAGATGCTTGATGTAACATCATCTAACCTCCCCACGAAGAAATCAGGATGAATGCTCAGTGAACAGGTTTGTCTGGAAGCGTCCTTCACCTCTTAGGCTATGGACATGCCAAAGCTTTAAAGCATATTTGAAACACGTTTCCCCCCTCAAAGAATTCTGGGTAATGTAGTTTAAAGGTAAAGGTAAAGGGTAAAGGGACCCCTGACCATTAGGTCCAGTCGTGACCGACTCTGGGGTTGCGGTGCTCATCTCGCTCTATAGGCCGAGGGAGCTGGTGTTTGTCAGCAGACAGCTTCCGGGTCATGTGGCCAGCATGACTAAGCCACTTCTGGTGAACCAGAGCAGCGCACGGAAATGCCATTTACCTTCCCGCCGGAGCGGTACCTATTTATCTACTTGCACTTTGACGTGCTTTCAAAACTGCTAGGTTGGCAGGAGCAGGGACTGAACAACGGGAGCTCACCCCGTCGCGGGGATTCGAACCGCCAACCTTCTGATCGGCAAGTCCTAGGCTCTGTGGTTTAACCCACAGCGCCACCCGCGTCCCGTACTGTAGTTTACCCCTCACAAAATTGCAATTCCCAGCAAGCCTTAACAAACTACAGTGCCCAGAATTGAGGGAAAGAATGTGCTTTTAAGGTATTGTGTGTACAGAGTTCTTTCCACAAGTTGCCTTAAAACTTATGAAAATCAGTCTCCCAGCTTTATCAGTTATGGTCTCCACACAGCTTTGTGGATTGCAGTGTACTGAAGTCACTGCAGATGCACTGGAAAACTACAAGCATACATTCTGATTTGTTCTAACAATCTGAACCATGTAAAAAAACAAAACAGGACCACCGCTCAAGATTTGCTTGTTAAGGAAGCATGATCTCACTGCTGGGTGTTCTCAGTTGCTTTAAGCCCGATCTGCTCAGTTTACAGACAGATAAGCTTCACATAAACCTGCCCTACTTTTGTATATAATGTGCAAATTCATCCTAGTATCCAAGTGTCAAAAGGGATCCTCCTCCATCATCAGGAGTAATAAGGAGGCCATGAAGTAGATTAGCTCTTCAATCACACTTATATAATGTAATCTCATTATCTTCCAGCTGTCCTCTCGTAACACGTTCGTGGTTTGGCAATTTTCACCGTATGTATGGGAGTCATTCAAAACTGAACGAACGCGGAGAGGATAGCCCAGCTGGTCTCAAATGTGTTTTCATTTTGGTGATTAATATCTCCAGATCTGGCTCAGAAAACCCTGAGACGGCAAACGGCTTTCCAAACGCACACGTGGATCCCACAGTACACTTTTAAAATGAAACCGATCACCTCCATCACATGCTTATTATCATTAGGAAAAGTATAGTCAGCAACACAAAATTGCCAAAAGAAGTCTACTTACCAGACTCAAAAGTCTCCTCGTCTTTTAAGTCACCCAGGGAGCAAAAATAGCAAATACATTTCAGTATTATCCTCATCTAAGATAATTAAAACTCACCCCATCAAAAAGGTCTTCGCAACCCCACAGCAACAAGACACACTTAGTTTCTCATTTCCGCCTCTGATCCGTGCTTAGGGGCCAAAGTGCACATTACAGGACAGAGCCATAATTGGATCTTATTTTTAGTTAAAAGCAACTGCGCTGTGGGGATGGGCACCAAATTGGATTGCAGCAGCGGCACCGAGGGGACAGGGCACTTAAACCTTTTGCCCCACACTTATTTCAATCCAAACTGCATCCCCAGCACAGCTGTTACAGCCCGAGTAAAGGAGGGAAAAAAGAAGAGATCCAGAATATTTTGATTCAGTGTTGGATAACGTCATTCAATGCAACATACAAAGCCCTCCAAGGTTTTATATCTAGAGAGACAATGAATATGAAATGGCTTTGTAAAATTGGTGGTGGCTTTGATATTAAGAGGAATGTTATGTACTGAAGTTCTCACCCTGGGCCAGCAGGGGGATACTGTAGATAGTTATGCAAATAAGGGATCGAAAGTGACGTTCAGTGATTGGATAGTTTTAGAAAATTGTTACAGTTACATTGTACTGGAGCTCTATATAAGCAGGCTGACTGAACCCTTCAGTTCAGTTCTGTCCTGGCCTGTGAATAAGCAAGAGTTGTTTGAAGAATTGCTGTGTTGTCTGATATGTTCACCCACAACTTAACAAGGAATGCTCTGATTTCACACTCATTCAACAATCTGAACTAGAAGCATTCCCCACTGAATTAGGAATAACAGACTCAGCATATTAGATCAGAGGTACAGTCCCCACTGTCCATGCTCATGCAAGTTTGGCCAGTTTCAGAGAGTCTGCTTGAACTCATCCTTAGCTCAAAGGATTGTTCCCAGAGTTCCCTTTCACAAACGGAAGGGACAGGAGTTCATGAGAAAGGCAGGTGACTTTCATCAAATCCTCCTTTCCACTGCAGTCATTCATGCTGTCTCCCTTACTCTTCCAACCCTGCAGAGAAGCTTTTCAAGATGCACAAGGAATCGGATGAAATTTTCTTCTAGAGACAGCATCTCAGGAGCAGAACTCCTCTTGTTGAAACTCTACATCCAGCCCATATTATCCCTTCTCCATTTATGAGCAAGCAGGTCAGAAGATGCAATTTAGCATGAGGTCCCCCCGCTCAAAAGACTGTTTCGTTTTTGCATTTTTCCATATTTAGTAATGTAAGTCACACCAACCCACATTCTGCTTATCCAGGTACTGTACTCTTAGATTTGCCACTCTCCATGTTTTAGGCATGGCAGGAGAAGGCATCCTTTAGATAGAGCGTCTGCAAGGTACCGTATTTTTCGCCCTATAAGACGCACTTTTCCCCCTCCAAAAATGAAGGGGAAATGTGTGTGCGTCCTATGGGGCGAATGCAGGCTTTCGCTGAAGCCTGGAGAGTGAGAGGGGTCGATGCGCACCAACCCCTCTCGCCTTCCAGGCTTCAGGAAGCTATCCGCAAGCCTTGGGAGCCTGCGGGATTCCTGTCGGGCTCCCAAGGCTTGCGGACAGCAGCCTGCATCCCGAAGCCTGGGGCGCGCTGAGCAGTGTGCCCCGGCTTCGGGCAGATATCCGCAAGCCTAGGGAGCCCGGCGGGAAGTCGCACCGGTCTCCCCAGGCTTGCGGATAGCAGCCTGTTCTGGGGGCTGGGGTCGGGGGAAGCTCGGGCTTCCCCCGCCCCAGCCCCGCGCCTGGGGGGGAAATAAATTTTTTTTTCTTTATTTCCCCCCCAAAAAACTAGGTGCGCCCTATGGGCCGGTGCGCCCTATGGGGCGAAAAATACGATATGTGCCTCCGCTATAACAAAAATGACTACCATGTGCCTCCTTAGATCTGCAGAGGAACAGGGAAACACTAATCCTTCAGCCCATTTGAATTCCTTGCTGTACAAATAATATCCATAAGCTCAAAAAACGGCTTGGTAGGGAGGAAAGCTTTTCAGCTTGTGAGACTTGTGAAACAGTCACAAGAGAGGCTTAAACTGCGTAATCAAGCGTTCCTTACAAAAGTTATACTTCTCCTGCTGGTTATCTTTATTATGAGCATCAGCTGATAAAACCAGAATGATAACACGTTAAAAAAATTAAAACACACACTTTATTTTGCATGTTCCATCTGAGATAATTTAATAGAACATTTCACTTATACCCAGGTTTGTGGTCCCTTTTGCACAACAACAACCACCCACCCAAACCCAATGTCAATTACCTGTTTCTACACATTTCTCATCAATCTGCATGTCTTCTTCTGTTTGTTGTATGGAAAAAATGGCAAGCAGAAACAAAAACAGGCCATGAGTATGTTTGCTTTTAACCTCACACAATGACAGAAACAAGCACTAATCCAACCAGAGATCCAATTTCTATCAATTTTCTCTGGCGTTTCAGTATTACACCACGGTGCAATGTAGGGGTTGGGAACATTAACAGGTATGTCTAAATTCAGGTAAATAGCCATGTTGGTCTGATGCAGTCGAAATAAATTAAAAAATTAAAAAATTGTCCAGTAGCACCTTAGAGACCAACTAAGTTTGTTCTGGATATAAGCTTTCGTGTACATGCACACTTCTTCAGATATTAGGTACGTCTAATTTTCTTTTAGACTGAGGCTACATTTCACTAGGGATGGAAAAACCAGTCCATTTCAGTTTTCTCAGTTGCTCACCATTAAATTGGAATTTAAACTGAGTCTTAAATTCACTTCCCTGTTTTTCTGTAGAAGTTTGCCCTTTTTTTTAAAATCCGCATGAAAATCTTCCAGCATTTCACTGCAAATTTCTCCGAACAAACACGTTTTCGTACGCAGCTTTTACTAAATGTGTTCATTTTTGCAAGCAATTTCTCCTAACAGAATGCATTTTAGTGTGTCATTTTTCACTAATATATTCATTTTTTAATGCACATGTTCCCCTAATGTCTGCAGCTTTGTAAGCATTGTTTGGTTGGACAACTACCCTGCAAAATTCAGATAAGCGCAAATACTGAAGGGTGGTTGTGATTCAGTTCTCAGGTTGCTTCCAAAAGTGCAGATTTAATCTGGCTTTAAACGTGAGGAGGAGGAGAAGGAGGACCACAAAATGAAACAAGGCTGGCTTGACACATTTCAAAGTAAATGTGCACCATACCTTCCAACATTTCTCCGGTGAATATAGTGACATCCAATTCCATAATAATAATTTTATTATTTGTACCCCAGCCACTCTGGACAGCTTGCAACACACAGATATATAAATAATAAAACATTAAACATTTAAAAACAGGGCTGCCTTCCGATGTCTTCTAAAAGTTGTATAGTTACATCTCCTTGGCTCCAGGGTCGCATAACTCAACACTTCTCTGATGAAAATAGGGACGTCCTAAGGAAAAGTGGGACATTCTGGGATCAAATCAGAAACCGGGACGACTTCTGTAAATCCGGGACTGTCGCTGGAAAATAGGGACACTTGGAAGGTCTGTGTACATTACCATCTAATGATCTCTCCTCCATCAGACCATTCAGTCTAGAGATGAAAATTACCTAACTGCACCACTGCCTGGCATATCTAAATGGAAATATATGACATTCAGACGCCTGTGCTTACCTTCTTCCACAGTACTTACTACTCACAGAAAATCCATGGAGGAAATTAAAAAGAAAGTAAACAGGAGAGTTAAGGAGACTGCCAGAACTTTTGCTCTACACACACACACACACACACACACACGGCTTCCAACAGATGAAAATATACCAGGAAGAACCATAGCAATTGCTTTGCAAGCAGAAGTTCGCTGGTTCAGTCTTCCATAGCTAGGATTTCCCTGTCTGAAACTCCAGAAAGCTGCACCCAGTTCGACTTCCAAAACGTTTGGAAACCAAGGTGCGGCTTCCGATTGGCTGCAGGAAAGTCCTGCAGCCTATCAGAAGCCCCATCAGACGTTTGGGTTCCATTCGCAAACTGGAACAGTCACTTCCGGGTTTGCGGCGCTCGGGAGCCAAAACGTTTGAGTCGCAAGGCATTCATCAACCAAGGTACGGCTGTATTGAGCTAGATGCACCCTATGGGTTTTGTCGCTGCCCCTCAATGTATGGTGGGGTCTGATTTGTGCTCTAGTCAATGGTGGGAGAAAACTCAGCAGTGGCCAGAGGACTGGAGAAGATCAGTCTACATCCCAATCCCAAAGAAGGGCAGTGCCAAAGAATGCTCCAACTACCGCACAATTCCACTCATTTCACACGCTAGCAAGGTTATGCTTAAAATTCTACAGTGGTGCCCCGCAAGACGAATGCCTCGCAAGACGGAAAACCCGCTAGACGAAAGGGTTTTCCGTTTTGGAGGTGCTTCGCAAAACGAATTTCCTATGGGCTTGCTTCGCAAGACGAAAATGTCTTGCGAGTTCCTGCGGGGGTTTTTTCCTCCCCCCCCCCTTTTTCCCAAGCCGCTAAGCCGCTTAACAGCTGATCCACTAAGCCGCTTAACAGCTGATCCGTTAAGCCACTAAGCCGCTTATCAGCTGATCCGCTAAGCCGCTTATCAGCTGATCCGCTAAGCCCGCTAAGCCGCTAATAGCGCTAATCCGCTAAACCGCTAATGGGCTTGCTTCGCAAGACAAAAAAACCGCAAGACGAAGAGACTCGCGGAACGGATTCTTTTCGTCTTGCGAGGCACCACTGTACAAGGAAGGCTCAAGCAGTATGTGGACTGAGAACTCCCAGAAGTGCAAGCTGGATTTAGAAGAGGCAGAGGAACCACATTGCAAACATGCGCTGGATTATGGAGAAAGCTAGAGAGTTCCAGAAAGACATCTACTTCTGACCAAACTGCGGGAGGCAGTGGAAGACAGAAGTGCCTGGCGTGCTCTGGTCCAGGGGGTCACGAAGAGTCGGACACGACTAAACAACTAAACAACAACAACAATGGTAGGAGACCATACAGCAAATGAAGTATAAGTATCAGAGAAGCTTCCCCACCCGCTATTCACAGCCAGAGGATCTTTCTACTCACGTATGGTTGATTTGAGGCAGGTGTGGGGTTGCAAGGGCTGAGACCACCAGAACTCTCGCTGCTTCCTTAAAAAGAGAATGAATGCAGTTTCCATGGGTCCCACTTCAGACGGGGCATTCTTATTCCCTGTGCTCCAGAATGATAATAAGATGGAAAACTAGCCTCTTCCACCCTATGTGTCAAAGAAGCCCAAAGCAACAGGAAAGGAAACCAAATGAAGAACCTACGTGCTTTTTGCCTACACATCCTCATATGCTGGAATACAACCGCATTTCTTGTTTATACTGTTCCAGTGTTATAGGATCTAACACTAAATAGCAAAAAAAAGGGACGTGGGTGGCACTGTGGATTAAACCACAGAGCCTAGGGCTTGCTGATCAAAAGGTCGGTGGTTCGAATCCCTGCGACGGGGTGAGCTCCTGTTGCTCGGTCCCTGCTCCTGCCAACCTAGCAGTTTGAAAGCACGTCAAAGTGCAAGTAGATAAATAGGTACCACTCTGGCGGGAAGGTAAACGGCGTTTCAGTGCGCTGCTCTGGTTCACTAGAAGCGGCTTAGTCATGCTAGCCACATGACCCGGAAGCTGTACGCCGGCTCCCTCGGCCAATAAAGCGAGATGAGTGCCACAACCCCAGAGTCGGTCACGACTGGACCTAATGGTCAGGGGTCCCTTTACCTTTACCTAGGGCTAGGTAGACTCTGGTTCAAATCCCCACTCAGCCACAAAGCCACCTTCTTTTCAGCTGCCATTGGTTTCTCCTACCTCTTCAGAAGGTGGTTCGAGGGGATGAGTCCAGCACAGGCACTGAGGTCAGAGACTTTCCTTGCCTGCCACCACAGGGCATCGTTCTGGTCCACAATCTGAAGAATGTCTCCCTTTTTAAACGGCAGTCCTGCGTCAGCACACGGAATAGCGGGGTCCTGAAGGGGCCAGTAATCTGCCATCGCTCGCACATAGAGCTGATACAATAAAGAGAAGGCTTATTGTAAATATTTACATCCCATCTGTCTGTGAACTAGGTTTAAGGCTGCTGTGTGTAAGGGAAGAACCCAACAGGCATGGCTAAAACATGATATGATAAAACATTAACAATGTAAACAGGATCAGGGTGGAATCTGGTGTTTCAAATTTCAGCAGCGCCCTGTGCGAGGTCAAAATTCAGTACCCAGTGCGGCAGAACCGGCTATGCTGCCCTAAATCCACCTTTGACAGTAGGGAGAGCATGAAATAAATAATCTTACAGGCCAAAGACCTGTCTGAAAGGAAGACCTGAAAATCGGCAATGGACAAGCCTCTCCAGGGACAGAATTCTGCAGTATGCGACAGCCACAGAAAATGCCTTTTTTCCTCATGCCTACCAAATGTAACTCAGAAACTGGCAGGACACACCAGAGCTTTGCTCCTGAATATCATAAACTGTCAGGTTCATATAGAAGCCAGTGGGCCTTCAAGACTTTGTATACTTCTGGATGCACTGTAACATGTCTCTATAAACAGCACAGATTTGACAGCCCTTAGATCATGTGTAGGCAAACTAAGGCCCGGGGGCTGGATCCGGCCCAATTGCCTTCTAAATCTGGCCCACGGACGGTCCGGGAATCAGTGTGTTTTTACATGAGTAGAATGTGTCCTTTTATTTAAAATGCATCTCTGGGTTATTTGTGGGACATAGGAATTCATTCATTTTTTTATTTCAAAATATAGTCCGGCCCCCACAAGGTCTGAGGGACAATGGACCAGCCCCCTGCTGAAAAGGTTTGCTGACCCCTGCCTTAGATGGAGTAAATTATGACATCATCCTTTTGAATACTAGCTGCTGGGAACAGGATAGCATGATTGCCCCCAGGTCTTGTTTGTGGGCTTTTCAGGAATGGGAGTTGAACTGACAGTACCAATTCTCCTTTTGGGATTAACTGGATTAGCCACACTTACTTTGATTAACTCTCTGCAGCCACAGAGACCTGGAGAAATAAACACATCTTACCGTCGTTTGATTGCTGACTGGCCGATCAGAAACTGGAATCAGCTTGAACATAATAGTTCCCTGCGACAGTGCCTGCAAAAACGCCAAATGCATAGTATTTCAGCACCCAAACCAACAGATTAGCAGTTCTAGATTTTTAAAAAGACACTCCTGTGAAGGCAGGATTAATAAAGTTCACAGCGACGCCATTTTAAGTGTGTAATTCTTGGTTATCGGGGCTAATAAGGCTTTGAGCAGCAGAGATTTCCCCAGGAAGAACTGAGGCAGCTGCCACCTGACTCCTGATGATCGTCTTCCAAAGCAACTACTCTATTCCAAACTTAAAAATGGAAAGCGTAATGCTGGTGGTCAACAAAAGAGGTTTAAAGACTGTCTCAAGGCAAATCTAAAAACATGTAGTATAAACACTGACAACTGGGAAACACTGGCCTGCGAGCGCTCCAGTTGGAGAACAGCTTTTACCAAAGGTGTCATGGGCTTTGAAGGCACTCAAACTCAGAACGCAAGGGAGAAACGGGCTAAGAGGAAGGCACGCTTGGCAAACCCTCACCGTGATCAACTCCTGCCTGGAAACCAATGTTCCCACAGAGTAAAGACGTGTGGATCCAGAATTGGCCTCCACAGTCACTTAAAGAATCATTGTTAAAACCGTGTTTATGGAAGACTCTTACTCGGCTATGAGTGATCGCCAAAGAAGAAGAGAAGAAAGAAGAAGATGATACCTGAATTTGCTTATGCTGGCCTGCTTTCCGTTTTGTAGTGTGTCCATTGAATTGCAAGCCAGTATTTTAAACTGCAAACCATTTTGAGCAGATAAGCAGTATTCAAATAAAATGTTTAAAGTATCCCCAAGGCCTCTGACATTTATGCAATTTGTTTGCTAGGTGACATTTCTGGAGATTTTATTAACACATCACCAAAGAACCCAGGAAGAATGCTATTGATTATGCATGGTGGTGGTGGTGGTGAACAGTTCAGTTTTTAATAGGTTCATCTGAATTAACTTGTGTGGGCTTGCCAATGGGGACCAATAAACATTTTGTTTGCATAGAAAGCTGTCTTTGTGGTTTTTGGGTGTTCGGTTTAATTATTACATTTTAATTATTACAAGTTAATAATTGTAAAAATCAACCAGATGTCCAGGTATTCGGGTTAAGTGCTGTCCTTGAAAACTGTGTTGAAAACAACAGACACCCTGGCACCAGAAATCCAATTTAACACACATAGCAGAGTGAAAATCAGTTGTGTCTGGCTTGTGTCAGTGGATTTTTAATCACACTGCATGTGCTGATTGGCTTACCAATGCCAGCATTTATGTGGTATCAACACAGCTGGATTTTTTTTGTGAATGACCACTGCTAATACCGCAATCATTGACTGGATTTTTCTGCATTTCCTTTCCTTTATGTATTCCTGCTGACAATCCCCCCCCCCCGGCATCATGTGTGTGTGTGTTCATGTGTATATAATACAGTATGTCCTGAAATTCAGCATAACTTGCATGAACCTTTAAGGTGTCACAAGACCAGGTCTGGTGTTTGCTTTTCCCCGTGAACTGATCTGATTTGATATTCCCAGACCTGCTTGCAGATCAAAATGCAAGTATTGGCCGGATGATGCACCTTTCTAGATTTTTTTGATGCAGTTCCATCCCCCAAAATATTAACAGCAAAAGTATGTTATGTTTAAAGAAATGCACTCAAATGCATATTTTAGAGAAAACGTCAATGAAATTTGCATGTTTTTATGGGAAGATGGTATAAAAATTGCAAACCGTTTCCCTGCAAATCTTCCATGCTCCCTTTTTGCAAAGTTAAAAGAAGAAAAGGAGGGAAGGAATGGGTCTACAGGTGAGTGCCAAAGATGCAGGGATGGATGGACCAACTTAACACCTTCTGATGTTCTCATTGGGAGGTATTAAAAATGTAAATATCATACCAGAATGTGAATTACTTGCTCTGGCTCCAAGCCTTCCACTGGAACTCCATTCACCTCGACCAGTTTGTCTCCAGCGTATAACAGCCCTATGATAGAAAAGAGGGCATTGAGAGATCTGCCAGAAAATAGGAGGGACAAAAATATTCTGCCCTTCTGAGGGATGCCTGCATTCTAGCCAGAATTCTAGACAAGGGGAATCAATGATCATATGCGAGGCAATATTGGCAGAGAAATCAATTTACAGAACCTAACACATGCACACACAAAAATCACCCCCAAACCAGCATTCCTTCCTTGCTGTGTATTTTAGAATTCATCTTACCACTTCTATCTGCCAATCCACCATGGATTACTCTCGCTACAGTAATATCTCCTGTTAGCTCATGGCGTTTAATAGTGGCACCCTAGGGTGGAAAAGAGAGAAAGAGAAAGAGAGAGAGAGAGAGAGAGAGAGAATATCACTGAACAAGTGAATGAAATAGAAACAAAGAATTCAGCAAGTATTTAAATATTATTGCAAATGGTGAGAGATTGTTAGAAACATTAAGGCTGGAGTCCTCATTCCATGCACACACACTCCTTCTATAGATATCAGATGTTGCTAACAGCTGGCATTCTTTTTACCTATATATCATGAAACAATTTTAATTACCTTACACTAGGTAAAGGTAAAGGGACCCCTGACCATTAGGTCCAGTCGTGGCCAACTCGGGTTGTGGCGCTCATCTCGCTTTATTGGCCCAGGGAGCCGGCGTACAGCTTCCGGGTCATGTGGCCAGCATGAGTAAGCCGTTTCTGGCGAACCAGAGCAGCGCACGGAAACGCCGTTTACCTTCCCGCCGGAGTGGTACCTATTTATCTACTTGCACTTTGACGTGCTTTCGAACTGCTAGGTTGGCAGGAGCAGGGACCGAGCAACGGGAGCTCACCCCGTCGCGGGGATTCGAACTGCCGACCTTCTGATCGGCAAGTCCTAGGCTCTGTGGTTTAACCCACAGTGCCACCTGTGTCCCTACACTACATAAGCAAAATAATACGCTTAACTGCACTAGAGGGGTTTTTGTAAGGGAAAAATATGCAATAGTCACAGTTGGATTTCCTCAATGTCTCCACCTCTTACATATAACCTTCTGTAACATTTCTAACCATATCGCTTTTCTTCTCTAGCTTACTTTACCCCCGAAGCAGCCTTTTAATAAGCCTACACAGGTTGCTAGCACCCGCTGGGGCTCTCTCTCCTGCAGCAGCCCATTGCATTTCTAAGTTGGGTGAGGAGCAGCAGGAATCTCTCCTCAGGCATCCTGTTTGACTTCTACGTGGAATTCCTTGCCCACCTATGACTACCAGGCTAGTGCTTCACGACAAGGCCGCCCTCAAAGCTCAGCAGATGTAACAACTTCCTAACAGATCCGCTCCACTTCCCAGTGGGGAGGAGTTGCGGTGGACCACGTGGCCACCCACTCCCCACCGGGGGACTCTGTCCCCCGTTGCCTGGGGGATCCCGGTCACGTCAGAGCCCGGCCAGCCAACCCGCTGGCTGGGGGGGCATGGCAGGGGCCGTTTAAACGGAGGAGCGAACCAGAGGACTTCCTCTTGGCTCGCTTCCTCAGTCACCCGCCCTCCCTCCCTTTCTTACAGGTTAGGCAATGACCTTGCTATGGACTTCGGTTGGTCGCCTTGGTTGTCTGAGGGGCCTGGTAGGATTTTTTTCCACTTGGCAAATTGGAACTGGCCACTTGCTTTTCGCCTACCTCGTAGCAATCGTCACAACTTTGTTAGGGTTGCGGTTAGGCATTGTTTGACCTTGTGTGGGGGAGGGGAGGTGTGGCCATCACCTGCCCCTCCATGCTTAAGGGTATCCCGTTAAGGGAATCCGGGGGTGTTGTTCTAGTCTGAAGCCTGGCTGGCGGGCTAAGGCCTTGACACGACCCCGACGGGAACACCAGGGGGAGCTTGAGTTGGTTCGCATCGACAGGACTCCCCCTACCGGTGGCTTACCCTTACTGGGGACTTCCTGCACAATGGGCAGGAGTCAGATATAGTCAGGTCCGATCAATACCTAAGCCAATACCGCTCACATTCTGTAATTTCAATAAAGTTGTGGCCAAAAATTTGCCCAATAACATAAACCTAATATCCATGTCCTTGTGTGAGTTATTTGCAACGAGGGGGTGGCTGCGAGGTCTTGACATGCAATAGAGGGAAATACGCACCTCTCTGCATCTGAAAGCAAAGCAAATAATTCACATTACTCTGATCACTGCGGCGCTGCCTAAGCTCTCTTAAGCGCTACGTTGGGGAAGGAAGACTCTTACACGGTGAAATCTGTTCTTCATGAAAACCACCTCATGGGCATATCCTACTCCTTTCTCATATTTTTAAAGCTCGTGTTAAAACTCTTCATTTGTGAAGCTGTCCTAATCTGAAAAAAAAGTTGCTTAAGCTGGCGGCACAAGTTTAGAATCAAATGTCCAGCTTACAAGGGGCTGCTTGTTTTTCACCAGGCAGACTATTCTCATCGCCTCCTCATTTTCAGGGATGTTATCTGGCAGAGGTGGGAGGATTGGTTCATAGTCCTTCTGGGCCACCGTATCATGAGCAGACAGAAAGGCCTGTGAGGAGGAGGAGGAGGAGGAGGAGGAGGAGGAGGAGGAGGAGGAGAAGAAGAAGAAGAAGAAGAAGAAGGGGCAAGCAATGTTTAGCATCATCTTTGCATCCAGATACTGTCATTTGTTTCTTTCTAATCCAGAATACGGCAGCTAGACTGGTGACTGGGAGCGGCCGCCAAGACCACATAACACCGGTCTTGAAAGACCTACACTGGCTCCCAGTACGTTTCCGAGCACAATTCAAAGTGTTGGTGCTGACCTTTAAAGCCCTAAACGGCCTCGGTCCAGCATACCTGAAGGAACGTCTCCACCTCCATCGTTCTGCCCGGACACTGAGGTCCAGCACCGAGGGCCTTCTGGCGGTTCCCTCATTGCAAGAAGCCAAGTTACAGGGAACCAGGCAGAGGGCCTTCTCGGTAGTGGCACCCACCCTGTAGAACGCCCTCCCATCAGATGTCAAAGAGAAAAATACCTACCAAACTTTTAGAAGACATCTGAAGACAGCCCTGTTTAGGGAAGCTTTTAATGCTTAATAGGTTATTGTATTTTAGTGTTTTGTTGGAAGCCGAGAGTGGCTGGGGAAACCCAGCCAGATGGGCGGGGTATAAATAATAAATTTATTATTATTATTATTATTATTATTATTATTATTATTATTTCCATTCTGCCCAAAAGCTGATGCGCCAGAGGTGATCCTCACCTGGTATATGAATCTTGTCTTCATACAACATTCCTCCCAGTTGTCATTCTTTTACAAAAGGAGAACTAACAGATAATGAATCAATGGACTATTTGTGAGGGATCTGAAGTGAGGCCTCCCAGTTTTAGCATGCTATCTGCTTGCCAAATATCAGATATGGTATTTTTTGGGTTGTTGGGAGAAGAGTGATGGAGTTTCCATATTCGCTGAGTATGCTGCATATTAACAACCCTACCACGTTCTACTCCTAAAGGTAAAAGTAAAGGGACCCCTGACCATTAGGTCCAGTTGTGACCGGCTCTGGGGTTGCGGTGCTCATCTCACTTTATTGGTCGAGGGAGCCGGCGTACAGCTTCTGGGTCATGTGGCCAGCATGACTAAGCCGCTTCCGCCGAACCAGAGCAGCGCACGGAAACGCCATTTACCTTCACGCCGGAGCGGTACCTATTTATCTACTTGCACTTTGACGTGCTTTCGAACTGCTAGGTTGGCAGGAGCAGGGACTGAGCAACGAGAGCTCACCCCGTCGCAGGGATTCGAACCACCAACCTTCTGATCGGCAAGTCCTAGGCTTTGTGGTTTAACCCACAGCGCCACCCGCGTCCCTCTACTCCTAAACTTTCTCCTTTAATGCTGAGTAATTTCATGGTCGGTACTCGCCTTGAAGTGTGGTCCTCGAAGAAGTCGCCGTAGCTCTTTAACCTCCGGAGACTGTTGGACTCCCCGCAACAGCTCCACCACCTGAAGGTGACACAAAGAAGACTAATTTTGTTATGTACTGAAGTTCTCACCCTGGGCCAGCAGGGGGATACTGTAGATAGTTTTCACTCAGGTCCACATATGCAAATAAGGGATTGAAAGTGACGTTCAGTGATTGGATAGTTACAGAAAATGGTTACTGTTGCGTTCTAGTGGAGTTCTATATAAGCAGGCTGGCTGAACCCTTCAGTTCAGTTCAGTTCTGGCCTGTGAATAAACAAGAGCTGTTTGAAGAATCGCTGTGTCGTCTGATACGTTCACCCACAACCTAACAAATTTCATCTATAGAGCACCATCTTTTTGTTAGCAGCTGAATGGTGAGGCACATATTTGATCACCGATACAGAGAAAAACCAAATCACACGCTATCACGCTACTCCTCTGGAGATCATTAACTTGGAACGGAAAGCCCAGGCCCATCAAGCGGTTGGGTTATTTTCTGTTCCAGTGACTTGAGTCTGAATCTGATCTTGCAATCTCACCTCGTGGGTCAGCGGTCGTGCCTGTGGTGTGAGTGGAACTGGTCTTCTTTTGATATACAGATGAAGACATTCATAAACCTAGGAGTAGAAGTGCTCAAGGTGAAATATACCATTGCCACAACATAGTAATATGGAACAAATCTCCTAACATTGCTCACATGCCCCTGATTTTCCTCTGTCACCAAAGGGTGCATCTTGGTTAGGTCTGGGTTGTAGCCAAATTGTCCATAGATTTTACCAGAGGCTTGTGTCCTCTTTTAGAACTCCAACACTTACCTGTATACTCATATACTGCTTACAGTGCCAATATTATTATGAAATTTCCTGAAACTATCAAATAGGATGTGGGTTAGAGTGGCTGGGGGAACCCAGCCAGGTGGGCGGAGTATAAGTAATAAATTAATTCTTTATTTATTTATTTATTTATTTATAATTATAATTATATCTTAATACTCTCATGTTTAAATGGGAAACATCTGGGTTTGGGAAATGTTTGCAGACAGGAAGCTGGAAGGTTGATTGCCTGAACTGGTTCGATCATTTTGATAAGGCTTAAGGATCCTTCTGTATTTTATATGAGGGAAAAAGTGCCGTATTTTTCCGTGTATAAGACGCCTCCATGTATAAGACGCCCCCTATTTTTAGGGACTCCAATTTAATAAAATAGGGTGGAGAGTGCCCCGTGTATAAGGCGACCCACAGTCTTTCACATACAGTGGTACCTTGGGTTACATACGCTTCAGGTTACATATGCTTCAGGTTAAAGACTCCACTAACCCAGGAATATTACCTCGGGTTAAGAACTTTGCTTCAGGATGAGAACAGAAATCGTGCTCTGGCGGCGCGGCAGCAGCAGGAGGCCCCATTAGCAAAAGTGGTGCTTCAGGTTAAGAACAGTTTCAGGTTAAGTACAGACCTCCAGAGCGAATTAAGTACTTAACCCGAGGTACCACTGTAATTTTAAAGTAAAAAACCCGTACTCTAATACACAGAAAAGTATGGTAATTTATACTTGCATCTACAGAATGGATCTGCAATGATTATTGATCATTGGCGGGGGGGCTGTATTATCTCTTCATCCGTTGATTTACCATATTTTTTGCTCTAGAAGACTCACGTTTTCCCTCCTAAAAAGTAAGGGGAAATGTGTGTGCGTCTTATGGAGCGAATGCAGGCTGCGCAGCTATCCCAGAAGCCAGAACAGCAAGAGGGATTGCTGCTTTCACTGCGCAGCGATCCCTCTTGCTGTTCTGGGTTCTGAGATTCAGAATATTTTTTTTCTTGTTTTCCTCCTCCAAAAACTAGGTGCGTCTTGGCGTCTGGTGCATCTTATAGAGCGACTAGTACGGTAATCACCCCAGCCCCTACATTGGAAAGAAATGGGTAGCTCTGAAAATTTCTATATACTAACAGCTGCCAAATGACTTTGCTCGCACTGGAAGAGATCTTACCTTCAGGAGAGCCTGCAGCCACGGAGATCTCAGCAGGTCATACAAGACACCAACTCCATTGACATCTCTCTTATAGAACAGACTCAGTTCATGCAGGACCAGAGACAGAACATGCGATAAACCTAGCCCACAGACAACATACATGATTATTGATGGCATCATTTCCACACCCAAGTTACAGCTGCAATCGAACCCCCATTGTAAATCAGGTTTATTATCAAAATTTACAGACTTTCGGTTGGTGCTGACCTTTAAAGCCCTAAACGGCCTCGGTCCTGTATACCTGAAGGAGCGTCTCCAACCCCATCGTTCAGCCCGGACACTGAGGTCCAGCGCCGAGGGCCTTCTGGCGGTTCCCTCGCTGCGAGAAGCCAAGTTACAGGGAACCAGGCAGAGGGCCTTCTCGGTAGTGGCACCCGCCCTGTGGAACGCCCTCCCACCAGATTTCAAAGAGAACAACAACTACCAGACTTTTAGAAGACATCTGAAGACAGCCCTGTTTAGGGAAGCTTTTAATATTTAACGCTGTACTGTTTTTAACACTTGATTGGGAGCCGCTCAGAGTGGCTGGGGAAACTCAGCCAGATGGGCGGGGTATAAATAAATTTATTATTATTATTATTATTATTATTATTATGGATGTTTCCAATGATCAAATCAAACAAAAGCAATTGAAATAGCTCAACACAGTGGATGCTTCAAGTGGTTTCTCCAAATTGAGCTGAAAATGCAACTTATTGGTTGCGTGTTTCTTGTCTTCCTAGGTAATAAAAGCTTAGAGCTTTGCCTAAAGGCAAGAGCCAAAAGATTCTCGTTCTGTAGCTCTTCAACAGAGGGGCAGAGCCAGTGACCAACAAGGGGAGAAGAATGTCATCATTAGACTGCTTTGCTAATGCTGTCTGTCTTGAAACCCGAGACTGTGTAATATAAAAGGGTGTTCTTTGGACTTGGCAGGGGCACCTTAGATCCAGGTTTTCATGATTTGTTAATAAGATAGCATTTCAATTTTATAAACATTTTAGTAGTGGATTTGTCACATTGCCTTTAATTTCTGAAGGCATCCTTATTAGTTGTTAACTTTCAAAAAAAGGGTAAGATGATGAAACACCTAAGTAGTTAGGGACTTTGTCCCTCTATGCCTAAATCTAAACAAAGCAGAATTTGTTCTCTTCTCATTTCTCAGCTGTTATCATCAACATAATTTCTCTTTAAATGTTTAGATATTTTATACCTCGAAGGACAGCTTCATAGAATAAAACAATCCTCTAAAATAAGCAACAGCCATAAAACCACTACATCAGATTAAAATCCAATGGTGCCATAGCTGTCAATTTACAGATTTGAAAATAAGGGACCAGCAGCCTCGAAAATAAGGGATCAGCAGCCAAAATAAGGGATTTTCCGGGCACAGGTATGTTCAACTTCTGAGCCCCTCTGAGCCAAAGGCAGAAAGCCCAGCCAGCAGCCAAACAAAGCCTCAAGTGGTGGTTCCCAGCACAGCAACCCAGCAGCAGCAACCCGGCAAAGGGGATGCAGCAAGGAAAACCACCGTCACCTTTCCGCTGGGAAGCGCTGAGCAAAGGCGAGTCCCCAGGCAACGCGGCCGATTTGATCGGCACAAGGCATGCAAGCTCCATCCCCCAGTCGTTGTTAGACTCCTTATTGGGTGAGCAACGCAGCCAAGCAACACAGTTGGAGCCTCCCTCCCCCATGGCTGGCAGGGAGGGAGGGAGAGGAGCTGCTTCCTTTGAAACCCGGGAAATTTAAGGGACATCATCAATCTGGGACACGGTGCTGGGATAAGGGAGTTTCCTGCCAAATAAGGGACGGTTGACAGCTACGAATGGTGCAGCAGTATAAATACCTAAAGTACGTTGGCTGAAATACCAATGTAAAAGAAACTGCATTATTCCCATTGGGATATCAGTCTCAGAGAATGGTCCAAAGGCATATAATGAATTTATCTTGTTGACACTAAGCCGATTTGATCAGACCAGTGGCTGAATGGGAGACTGCCTAGGAACTCTCCTTTGGGTTTTGAGCTCAGTCTCAAGTCTAGCCATTAGGCCTTTTGAAACAGATGTAAGCATTTCAATTAAAATAGGTACCGTATTTTTTGCTCTATAAGACTCACTTTTTCCCTCCTAAAAAGTAAAGGGAAATGTGTGTGTGTCTTATGGAGCAAATGCAGGCTGCGCAGCTATCCCAGAAGCCAGAACAGCAAGAGGGATTGCTGCTTTCACTGCTCAGCGATCCCTCTTGCTCTTCTGCCTTCTGAGATTCAGAATTTGTTCCCCATTGTTTTCCTCCTCCAAAAACTAGGTGTGTCTTATGGTCTGGTGCGTCTTCTAGAGCGAAAAATACGATATTTTCAAACAGACAACAGGCTTTCTAGTTTGTACACCTGGACAGCTCTGGTATGGTCGTCTGCAGTTGCGCAGATTTAAGTGAAAAGAAGAGGAATACATATCTACTATGACATTCATCTATTTTTTTTATTTAAAAAAGAGAATAAACCAATGGGTCGCACCATTTTCATGGCTACGCAGCAGGGCAGCTTTCTCCATCTTCTCCCTCATCCTTGGAGTTTCTGCACGTTTCTCTGAGTGGATCATCTGAGCTGTATAAAATCAGAAGCCGAACTGGAAAACAAAGCAAAAGAAATAGGTTATATAGTTAAATTTGAGTTTTTAATAGCACTTGAGAATGAAGACTGCGGGGGAATTGAGGTGGATGCAAAATACCTTCTTTGAAGTTTAACTGTTAGATGTGTAAAATTTTGGAACCCTCTGTCTGGAATAACAACACGAAGAAAATACCATAGGTCTCAGTACAGACTGGGATGCATTTACGACAAAAGTATTTTCAAACGTCATTAATGAAGCAAATAATAAAAGTTTGCTGTTGTACCCGGTGCTTTTTTTCTAAAGAAATGTTTAGGGGTGCTCTCATTTTGACTCAAGAAAATCTCCATTTTATAGTTCAAATCAGGGGAAATAAATACAGTAAATGGACAAAAGTACAAAGATTCACAAAATGTTTAAGGGTATGCATACCCATGTGTCCCCCCAGAAAAAAGCACTGGTTGTACCTTTATACGGGCTATGTTACATTTAAGGAATTATCAGATTGTTTTCATCTTGACATGGGGCTCAAACCAATTAAAAACCCAATATTTATTTAGTGCTATACAGTACTTGCGACTAGTTTCACACACACACACACAAGAGTTACACACTTTTGAGATTTTTTAAAAGTTTGCCTTGTTTGTAAAGAGGTAAAGGACCCCTGACAGTTCAGTCCAGTCGCGAACGACTCTGGGGTTGCGACGTTCATCTCACTTTACTGGCTGAGAGAGCCGATGTTTGTCCGCAGACAGTTTTTCCAGGTCATGTGGCCAGCATGACTAAGCCGCTTCTGGTGAAACCAGAGCAGTGCACGGAAATGCCGTTTACCTTCCCGCCGGAGTGGTACCTATTTATCTACTTGCACTTTGATGTGCTTTTGAACTGCTCGGTTGGCAGGAGCATGGACCGAGCAATGGGAGCTCACCCCATCGCGGGGATTTGAACCGCCGACCTTCCAATCGGCAAGCCCTAGGCTCAGTGGTTTAGACCACAGCGCCACCCGCGTCCCACCTTGTTTGTACTAAGACAGAAAAGGACATAGACGCAGAGAAGGGCAAGCAGTGTCTATTTTCACTCTTGAAAAGGTACCAGGTCAAACAGAAATTGCAACGCATGTACAAGTTGGAACACAAGAAACTACTGTATTTTTGCTCTATAAGACGCACTTTTTCCCTCCTAAAAGGTAAGGGGAAATGTGTTTGCGTCCTATGGAGCGAATGCAGGCTGCGCGGCTATCCCAGAAGCCAGAACAGTAAGAGGGATTGCTACTTTCACTGTGCAGCGATCCCTCTTGCTGTTCTGGCTTCGGGGATTCAGATTTTTTCCCCCTTGTTTTCCTCCTCCTAAAACTGGGTGCGTCTTATGGTCTGGTGAGTCTTATAGAGCGAAAAATATGGTACATTGTGCAGCAAACAAATATTGGTGTTTCAAGACTCCGAAGAAGCACAATATCCCAGAAACACAGCCTTACATTGTGGGTTTTCTAGAACCCCCACAATGTGACTAATGTGCCTTTGCCATGTTAAAAGCAACAGCAACTAAAGGAAAGCTCATCATGACCATGTTACAGAATGCGTGGTTAATATCAACTCAAAAACCTATAACAAGGACTTGTGTTACAGAACATATAATGTGAAAACAGCAACTACAGAAAAGAGGAGGCTACATTGCTCACTGTTTCCAAAAGGCAAGTGTCAAGTTGCATGCAAACTTAATCTATTTCAAGGAATGGGTAAAAGGAGGAGAGAATATATTTCTCCAGTATAGAGAAATCAGTCCCTAATTTGCTGTGAAAATGCTGCTAGACTGGTGTCAGAAGAGGTTTCTGGAAGGGGTAAACAAACGGATAAAATAAGCAGCCATTAAAGGGGGGTGGGGATAAACTGAGGTTGGCATCCTCTCAACCTTTCCCAGCACAGATGATTTTGGACAGCTTGTGGTTCTGAAAGTACCGTATAAAGTCTTCAAAAAAATAGTAATTATCCAGGTCATAGCTGTCAACTTACAGATTTGAAAATAAGGGACCAGCAGCCTCGAAAATAAGGGATCAGCAGCCAAAATAAGGGATCAACAATTACTTTGATAAAATACATATTTTGTTGCATGCAAATGGCTTTAGATACCTATTAGGTCCATAAATTACCATATAGCATATATTCAACACAAAAAACCAGCAACAATTTGTTGTTGACAAAGCACAACTGGACATAGAAAGGGCCCCATTACCTTCAGTAGCTTATTTAAGGGACATCATCAATAAGGGACAGCAGTGGGACATGGCGCTGGGATAAGGGACTGTCCCGCCAAATAAGGGACACTTGACAGCTATGATCCAGGTTCTTTGGAGGCAAGTGCAGCAAGACTCCTGGTCCTTTTGTGAAACTTCTCACTATCTGAGCTTGCAAGGAATTGCTCAGTTCCTAGTTAAAAGCTGTCGTTGACCAGCTGAATTGCTTGAGGTAGAATTCTTCCCACTCACTCAGACAACACCATCACTGTAGAAATATATATATACAGCCAGTTGTGTCACAACAATCACTCTCCTAGCTCCCCTAAAAAGGGGGGGGGGGGTTGCAAGCAATGTAACGTTATACCAACCTGGAAGAGAATACGCTGTATAATTTCTTATCTTCGGGTTTATCCACACAAGACAGCAGCCATTTTACATGGCTTTGTTCTGCAGCTGCATTACCCCAATCTTCTTATCAGAGGCAAAGGAATTACTGTCACTTTTACTGCCCTTCTTAGGACCTATATTTAGAACTCGCTTCCTTTCTTCTGCCGTTCTGGGTACTCCACCGTCATTAAAAGATAGCTAAGGAGAACAGAGAGAGATGGGAGGAAGATGCGAGAGGCAGGCGCAGTTGGGAGCGCGTGGAAAGCTGTATCCCTGTGTCTGAAAAGTTAATACCATAAGATGGCAAATCGCTGCAGATAGGAGATAAGGATAGAAAGGGGAGGGAGTGTGAGAGGGGAGAGAGGGAGGGGAAAGAGGAATGTCTCGATAATGCAAACATGTGCCAAAGGGAGAAGAGGTGGGGGAGACAACAAGCAGGGTGGAATTTTGTACTTTGTGGCTGGTTCTTGGGGTGAGGCAGGAGTGATGGAATGGCACTGTTGCTTTGGTTCCATATTATCTTTTAAAAGCAGCAGCAGCAGCAGCAGCGACTGCTTTTCCCCCCTAAAAGAAATGTTTAGGGGTACAGTGGTACCTGGGTTACATACGCTTCAGGTTACATACTCTTCAGGTTACAGACTCCGCTAACCTAGAAACAGCGCTTCAGGTTAAGAACTTTGCTTCAGGATGAGAACAGAAATCGTGCGGCGGCAGTGGGAGGCCCCATTAGCTAAAGTGGTGCTTCAGGTTAAGAACAGTTTCAGCTTAAGTACGGACCTCCAGAACGAATTAAGTACTTAACCCGAGGTACCACTGTATTCTCATTTTGACTCAAGAAAACCACCATTTTATAGTTCAAATCGGGGAAATTGAATACAGTAAACGGACAAAAGTACAAAGATTCACAAAATGTTTAGGGGTATGCGCCCCCCCGGGGGAAAAAAGCACGGCTAATAATAACTACAACAATGATAATAATCCCACACACCTAAATAGCAAATGTTGGTTGTGAAATTTCTCTCTAACATGGCGAGAGTGTGAGTTTTAGTAGGTTCCTGGCTGTTTTTTTTTATAAAAAAAACCCAAAACTGCAAGATTTTTAAAAGTAAAGGCTGCAGACACTCCAGAGCTATCCCCTCCAACATTTCTCAAATGAAAATAGGGACGTCCCGTACCATAATGATAATTTTACTATTTATACCCCCCACACATCTTACTGGGTTGCAGCAGCTACTCTGGGCAGCTTCCAACAGATATAAAAACATAACAAAACATTAATCATTTAAAAAAAACCCACCCTTCCCTGAACAAGATTGCCTTCAGACTGCTCAGGAATCGAATAACTCCATACCCTCCAACATTTCTCCAATGAAAATAGGGGAAAGTGAGACATTCTGGGATCAAATCAGAAACCGGGACGGCTTCTCTAAATCAGGGATGTCTCTGGAAAATAGGGGCACTTAGAGGGTCTGAAATTCCCAGCAGCCTTAACAAACTAGTTTCCAGAATTATTGGGGAGGGCATCACATGCATTGAATGTATGGTGTCTATGCCGCTGTAGTCATTGGTTTAACAGCTATATATTATTTGCACTTTTGTAAACGAACACAGTTATGCCTGCCTCTGATTACTATTTCCTTCCAGGTTTTCTTCCCACAAACCTGCACTAAAACACCTTCAGCAGTAGCTATTCATTTAGGTCTCCATCTATTTCCTGATTTCCTCATACAGTAGCTTCAGTTGCTGGTATGTCAATTCGGGGTAAATCCACATACACTCCTTTGACAACTCTATTTGCTAAGCAGAAGTAATCTGCCTATTTATCGCCAGCATTCAAACAAAGGAGTTATATAAATCAGATCAGAACCATCCATTTCCTAAAAATAACAAAGCATATGGGACATCCAGAGTCAAGAAAGCTGGATAAAAATTGCAATGAATAAATCATTCGGAATAGGAGGAAAGCCCTTGTTGTTTTTAATAAATACAGCCTTTCTCAACCTTGGGTCGTCTAATTTTTAGATTACCTAATTTCTGAATTTCTATCCTGCCTGACAAAACTAACTGGTCTGTGCTAGGTTATCATTTGATTAGGCAGGGATAGAAACAAACGAATACTATACTTTCCATAGCTATACAGGTAACAGAGGTGACAATTTGAATAAAATACGGGAGGGGGCAGATAGGCCCTGCTCCACATAATCAATCACAAGACCAGGCACACACACACAATTTGAATGGTAATGCCCATAAATATGGGGGGACAATCCCTTAAAATATTTTATTGGGGGGACAGAGGGACCTCAGCCCCTAGGAGTTGGCTCCTATGACAGGTAGAAATGGAATCATGCAGGAAATAACTAGGTTTAGATCATTCAGTATTTGACAAGCCAAACAGAGGGGGTTTCTTGTTTTGTTTTCAACGGTAAAATACTGTTCAATGAATTTCAAACACCTAGCAATCTGTATATAATATAATCTGCTTACACATTTTTAATGCTGTTTATCCAATACAGTGATTCCAGAAAACATCCCTTGAAAATTCATAGCCTTGGTAAGAGTTCTTTATGGCTTGGGGAGAAATCAGCAATCAACTAAACAATGAAACATACTAATTACCGTATTTTTTGCTCTCATTTTTTCCCTCCTAAAAAGTAAGGGGAAATGTGTGTGCGTCTTATGGAGCGAATGCAGGCTGCGCAACTATCCCAGAAGCCAGAACAGCACAGCGATCCCTCTTGCTGTTCTGGCTTCTGAGATTCAGAATAATTTTTTTCTTGTTTTCCTCCTCCAAAAACTAGGTGCGTCTTATGGTCTGGTGCGTCTTATAGAGCAAAAAATACGGTACATAAAGAGGAATGCAGTTTTAGGACTCAGTACTCAAATTTCCTTGGCACGCAGAACTTCAGAGGACTAGGTATATCAGTTCCAAAGTTGAGCCCTAAAACCAGCGTGCATAAAACTCATCCAAGCTTATCCTCTCACACTCCTGTATCACGGAGAAGTGGAACGCATGTGCGCCCTTCTGCATAAGAGAGCCTGTGGTTCATGCATGTGCGCTGCCGCCACCCAGCTTAATGACCCCTCTGTGCTTTTCTCACCTTTCTAATCTGACTCCTCACCTCCTCCCAGGAAAGATGCTGCAGCAGAGCTTAGACCCTTAGCTCCACCCCACGTCACAGTTGTGTGTCTAAGTAATCCGACTGACACAACCCAGTCTGGGGAAGAAGGCAATCTGCCAGCATCTAGATCTGTCTCGCATGCTCAAGGTCACCCAGCATCCTATTTGGGGACTCCAGAAAGATGAAAAGTATGCCTTCCAAACCCAGATCATTAATGTGCCTTCCAGTATGGGACTGTTTATCTTATATACCGTATTTTTTGCTCTATAAGACGCACTTTTTCCCCTCCAAAAATTATGGGGAAATGTGTGTGCGTCTTATGGAGCAAATGCAGGCTCCATGGCTTCAGCGAAAGCAACGCGAAGCCTCCGAAGCGCAGTGGGAACACTCCCGCCGTGCTCCGGAGGCTTTGCGTTGCTTTCGCTGAAGCCAGGAGAGCAAGAGGGATCGGTGCGCACCGATCCCTCTTGCTCTCCTGGCTTCCCTGGAGAGGCACTGCGCAGCTCTCCCTCTCTGCGCAGCGTCCCTTCAGCAAAGCGGGAGGAGAAATGGAAGGGGCTTTGTTTCTGCTGCTGCTTCGCTGAAGGGGCCCTGCTCAGAGAGGGAGAGATTTTTTGTTGTTGTTCTCCCCCTCTAAAACTAGGTGCGTCCTATGGTCAGGTGCGTCCTATGGAGCGAAAAATGCGGTATATGCAGATCGTTCAGGTGTCCTCTTTTCCAGGGACAGTCGCAGATTTACAGAACCCATCCTGGTTCCTGATTTGATCCCAGAATGTCCTGCTTTTCCTTAGGACAGGCATGTCCAAAGTCCGTTTCGGGGGTCTAATCCGGTCCGCCGTGACAGCGGCGCCCCCAACATTTACTGTATTTTTTGCCCTATAAGATGCACTTCCCCCCTCCTAAAAATTAAGGGGAAATGTGTGTGTGTGTTATGGAGCAAATGCAGGCTGCGCAGCTATCGCTGAAGCCAGGAAAGCAAGAGGGACTGGTGCACACCGATCCCTCTTGCTCTCCTGGCTTCAGGGATAGCTGTGCCAAGCCTGCAAAAGGCTTGGCACGGCTATCCCAGAAGCCAGAACAGCGATCCCTCTTGCTGTTCTGACTTTGGGTGGAGAGGCGCTGCACAGCTTTCCATCTCTGCGCAGCACCCCTTCAGCAAAGCGGGAAGAGAAAAGTAGCCCCTTCCATTTCTCCTCCCACTTTGCTGGAGAGGCACTGTGCAGAGAGGGAGAGAATGTTTTTTTTCTTGTTCTCCTCCTCTAAAACTAGGTGCGTCTTATGGTCCGGCGAGTCTTATAGAGCGAAAAGTACGGTACTTCGGCCCCCGTGGCAGTATATGTCCTGGGGTAAAATCCTAAAAAAAGATCAGCAACTTCAATCCTAAAAAAAGTTCAACAACCTCGGTCGGCCCTCATGCACGTTCACTTCATCAAATCTGGACCTCTTTGGAAAAAATTTGGGCACCCCTGCCTTAGGACATCCCTATTTTCATCAGGAAAATGTTGGAGGGTATGGAGTTATGCAACCACTGAGCCAAGGAGAAAAGTAACTAGCCTTTAGAAGACACCTGAAGGCAGCCTTGTACAGGGAAGTTTTTTTAAAAAAAAAGTTTGATGTTTTATTATATTTTTATATATATTGAAAGCCCCCAGAGTGGCTAGGGCAACCCAGTCATATGGGTGGGGGATAAATAGTAAATAAAAAATAAAATGACAATCTGACATCCCTATTGTCATCAACAAAATTTTGGAGGGTGTGATTTATGTGGTTGCTAACAGGAAGCAGAATCTTGTATCTTGTTGAGTTCACTTTCCTATGGAGAAACACAGGGTGGGAACTAATACAACTTCAGGGGGAAAGTACTGTTGCCAAAACAAATATACTTTCTTACGTAGAAAGATTGCCATGACAGTCCTAAAAATGTTTCAAAGTTCTTCAGGTGCTATTTATCAGGCCTACCACGTACTTGAGATTTTGACTGTACAAAACTGAATCTTAAAAGTGCGGGTAGTCCAATTATATATTAAGAAAGAACACCCATATGAAACTTCAATGCATGTATGTACACAGTCTAGTTCAGTTAAGCAGGCCTTAGGTTTACACCCTCTCCTGTCCTTTCCACGGTGTGAGGAGATTAGAAGCATCTGCTTTCTATTTTTCAATAAGTATAGTTTATTGTTATATTTGAAAAGGACATCATCAAACCATGACCCTGGCTTATTTCAACAAATCATAGCTATGTAGAAGGGAGTCTGAAGCTGGCTGCGATTTGTACATATATGCCATAAAACATATTTTGTTGCATTGTGCAAAATATGAGCAAGCCAGGGCTGAACTGATACTACCCTTGATGATACCTTTCCCAGGAAAATCAGAGGCTCACTATGTCAGGTTCCTATTGGAAGACCGGACAAATGCTAGAACAGTAGCAGTGGCAAAGTTTTTATCGGTGGTTGCAAGAACAAATGATCCCTATATTTTGAACAAAATGCTTGTTTGACCTGGAGGTGGGCTGTATGAATTGTGTATTGCTTTATAATGATTTGTTGGGTCTCTGGACCGTAATAAAGATTGATTGATTGATTGATTGATTGATTGACGTATATGCCCAAATAAATAGATATGAAACAAAAATGCCTGGTAGTTTGCAGTGCCAAGTAGATAGGAAAAAACATGCTCAGGTATCAACAACGCAATACAGTACCTGAAGCTATCAGCACATCATGCTACAGACAAATAGTTTTCCTTATGCGCACATTTCTAAGAAGAACACTTGACGGTGTCATGAAACAAGGAAGAGGGACAAAGTAAGCCTCTAACCCCAACACACAAAAGAAAATTATATTTTGCAAAGGAAACCAAGCCTTATTAAATGTAGATAATTTGTGAATCTGCTTCCCATCGTTATAAATGGGAGGAGAGACATGTGTACATTTCACAAATGACACAGAAGTGGAAACATATTGCACACTTCAAAATCTGAATGAACCTTAACGAAAATTTGTATAAATTAATATTCAGGTAGGACTTTAAACTACGGAGATTAAGCTGAATGTTTACCACTAAAACAGACAAACGCCGGAGACATGATTCCACCTGCGCTGATTTGTTTCATCTGGGCTTGTCCCATAATCTGAAAGACTTGGATTTCAATAGTATACAAAACCAAATTGATTCCTGGTTATGAGTTATCGATGGAACCCTTAATAATTATTCAAAGACATTTGAAGGACATAGTAACGCCCAATGACAGGGAAATGACTGTACGTTCACTGACAGTCACCCAGTTACAAATGGAAAAGGATTAACTCCCCTTTTCTATCTAAAGGAGTTCAACTCCTTTGAAAATTACATCCCTATGATCGTCCTTTATTTTTAAGGATTCTAGACCCCCCTTTTTTTTAATCTAGCAGGAGGATTAGTTGAACTATGGACCTGATTCGTTTATCATCAATTCTCACAAGGAAAAAACCCCACTTACCAGGTATTGAACTGCAATTCAATTTCACAGCTACTGCGATGAAATTCTTCTACAAGATGTCTTGCCAATTCTGAAAGGGACCAGAAGTTCCCATCAGAATTTACAACAGTCCAATCTCCTAGAATTGCCTAGAAGGAATTGCCTAGAAGGAAAACATTGGCTGGATATTAGTAACTTAAGTCACCTCACTGCTCTAGCTAATCTAGGGACATCCTTTCCTTTTTAATCCGCAGAAACGTAACCAGGACGACTCTTTTTATCATGGAGACAACAAAGCTTCTTAACTGTTTTCTCACTGAAAACTTGGCTTGAAACATTATTATTTTTGTCTAATTATATTGTATTTCTTCATTTGCAAACCCATTCTAGCACATGGATAGATCTGATCGCCTGTGTTTGTTTGTTTTTCCAAATCAGTAGCATGAGGCAATGAATAAAGATATTTATATTTAGGTAGCTGTCCTTTGGCAATACACCCATATAGGTGAATAGAAGATATTCAAGTTCAGAGTCCAAAGAAAGTAAGGCAATCCATTTCTTTGTTAAACAGCAGCAACATTAAAACTGCTACAGAGCTTTCAAACGCAGCTCAGGTTACTGGAACAAATCTATGCCCGTTTAATTATGGGATTCTCTTTAGCTAATCATTACCTCATAATGAAACGGCCTAGGAATAATCCAACTCAAGACACGCAAGGGGCTTCTAGGAATTACTGATCGAAAGACAATTAAAGCATAGCATTCCACAAAGGAATTATGAAAAGCAGGGTAAAAATATTTTAGGGTTTGGGCATTTCAAGATGCAATAGCTATACTCCCTCCTTTTATACTTAGGACAGTGCTAAATGCCCATTTCCAGATTGTAAAACATCTCTGTGTATGGCATGTCTGGTGTATCACTTGAAATAGAAGCTTCAACCAATGTTTCAAATTTTGTGCGTTTCCAAGACTTTTTAAGTAGCTGGTTAGGATCTCGCTCAGAAGGTTTGAGACAGAGAAATAATCCTGAAAAAACAATTTGAGAAAAATGAAAACAAAATGTCAAAATTATGCTTTATCTCTCTCATGAGAGATTTCTTGGTATAATTTTGACATTTTGAGTTTTTCTCAAATTAATTATTCAAGATCGTTTCTCTGTCTCAAGCCTTCTGGATAAGCTTTCCAGCTATTTAAAAAGTCTTGGAAATGCACAAGGAGAACCCAACTCCTCTCTCATTTGAGCCAGAGATTTAACCTGGTTGTTAGAAATCCAGTCCATAAATCTCAATGCCAACTGGAGAATCAACTTACAGTACCATTTTTATTAAATTGTGGGTGGAATAAAATGGAGGTAATGGGGGAAGTTGATGGGAACCAATAACTTTTAAGTATGTATGGTACCTTCCACAGAGCTGTAACTCACAATTTTTTAACAGAAAAACCACCTTGGAGGGATTAGCGAATAGCACCCAAATGGAATTTGAATTAATTGCCACAAAAGAAATCACAGAATTATTCTTTATTATGAAAATTGCTCCATTTACAGCCACTGATCCCACCATATATTTTTTTTAAATAAAGGAGCTACACAAAAGCCATGATTCAGATTTCCAGAAGTTATCGGCATTGTCTGTATTAACTTGTTAATTCAACTAGAATATTTTTCATATCTCCCACATCTGTGACAGACATAGTGAAGGACAGCACCTGTTTTATCCAAGATGTCAGCTAACATTATCCACATACACCAAAGGAAAAGTCACAAGAACAAGGGCATGAATGTTTTGTGGCTCTCTTCTTTAAACAATACTTCAACAAAAAAATAACATTTGAACAAAAAAAAAAGTGTTTCCTTCCAGGTACTCTAGGTCCCTGCATACTAAGCCAACATCTCAGGCATGACCAAGCATATACTTATTCCGACAGACCACATTGCTAGCCTTCTGCAATCTGTGTAATGAAACTGCTCCAGTCACATGAATTGTACATTCAGTACATCTTAAGTCTTGGATTGCCAGTCTTGGATTGCCATGGATCAGAAGTAGGAAAGCCATGAGTTCTGTAGACAGATCTTAGTGGATACGCAGACCCAGGGAGTTTAACTTAGAAAGACACTGTGTGGTTCCATAGTGCACTTCAATCCTCAGGAAGCTCAGACAGTCTCTTCAGAATAACAAGCAACATATTTCCGGACTATGCTTTTATATGAATTCCATGTAGATGCCACACTACCCATTGCTTTTGTGAAGAGATGGGAAAAAACACTTCGCCACTTTGAAGGGCAAATATTTTTTCTCCGAGAGCTGCCTTGAAAACCTTATTTTTGCTTCTTATAGATTTTCTTTTCCTCCACTGATATTGGCCTCTGCTTTTTCTCTTTTTTAAAGGCCTCAGAACTGCATCCACCGCATAAAGATTCTCAGTCCATCGTAAGTGCATTTCTGTGAAGAAGACTAAAGCTGTGTTCATCGGTGTCTTCTATATTTAGGTGAATTGTTTAGGTGAGCTTCTCGTGTTGAATCTGGTAATAACATGCCTGCAAATAAGGTTTTTTAAAAAAATGACAATTAGCATTCTTTTATGTGGGTTGGATTATGTGGGTTGAGCTACTTTATTATTTTTATTTAACAGGATTTATATACATCTTAATCATCAAAACCTTTAAGGTGTTTACATGAAATACAATATTACCAATAAAATCAGTTATCAGCAAGTTAGCACAGCTTTGTGGTTTTCAGATTTCCTAGTTAGCAGCTACTGCTGATTACAAAGATTAAGGACTAAAGGTAAGAACGTTGTATTTGCAATCAAAGCAGGTGAGAGATCCGATTGATAGTTCAAACAAGTCTAAATATAAATGGTGTATACAGAAAATAAATAAATAAACAATATCTTAAATAAGGATATTATTTATAGGCTTGCCTTCAGAGTAGTGAACATAATGCCTTGCTCCCCATGTTGGAGATATGGATCCATGAGGTCCTCAATCAAATGCACTTCAGAACCCAAATTCCTGATCCTGCCACAAAAAGGGAACAGCTGTTTAAATCAACCAGCCACTATTTTACAAGACTTCACCAAGAGTACAGAGTGCACACCTAAAGTAAAGGTAAAGGGACCCCTGACCATTAGGTCCAGTCGTGGCCGACTCTGGAGTTGCGGCGTTCATCTCGCTTTATTGGCCGAGGGAGCCGGCATACAGCTTTTGGGTCATGTGGCCAGCATGACTAAGCCGCTTCTGGCGAACCAGAGCAGCGCACAGAAACGCCATTTACCTTCCCGCCGGAGCGGTACCTATTTATCTACTTGCACTTTGACGTGCTTTCGAACTGCTAGGTTGGCAGGAGCAGGGACCGAGCGACGGGAGCTCACCCCGTCGCGGGGATTCGAACCGCCGACTTTCTGATTGGCAAGTCCTAGGCTCCGTGGTTTAACCCACAGTGCCACCCACGTCCCATACGCCACCCACCTATCACCACTGAAATACAAAAGGCAGGGTAACAAGATAGCTATTCCCCAGAGCAAAGGTATATCCCCCCTCATGTAACAGATGAAGAAGTATTGTGCTACTGCCACTGGATCAGAGCCAACAGTGGTGTTATCTCAGCCCCATGTAATCAATAAAATGTGAGTGGGACACATTGATTTAGTCCACTTAGATCCAGAACTTTGTTTAATTAAGCATTTCACCTATCTTGGCTCAGTTGCCAGAGCATGAGATTCTTAATCTCAGGGTCATGAGTCAGAGCCCGACTTTGGGCAAAAGATTCCTGCAGTACAGGGGTTTGGACTAGATGTCCCTCGTGGTCCCTTCCAATTCTACAATTCTATGAGTATTCATTGCAATTGCAAATGACAAGATTCACTGCATTTGCAAAAATTAAACAGTTGCCCACCTGGCTCGTAGCACCACATACAGAAAAACAGGAAACAAATCATCCATCGACCAAAGGAAATCCTCATGAAGACTCTCAAGGACGCTCTGTGAGATCTCCTCAAAAGTCTGCTGGATCACCTTCAGTTTGTCAGCAGGTGTAAAAGTTGTACTATTAGGAAGACATTTTTTTTAAAAAGGCAAAATTAAAGCATTTGTGATGCTGGCAAGGCAAATTCTTGAAAGATTTCAATAAGGCAGTAAAATAGTTGCGAGTGAATTCAGTTTTACCCCATTCTCTAAGAAGAAAATCAAACACACAACCCAAGTTTCCACTTTGAAGAAAACAGTAGTTTCTGATACCTTGATGCAGACAAAGGATTTACCTATACAGAGATGAAGCGGTCAAAAAGCCAATACAAGAGAACTGCACCTTTTAATTTGGCACATAAATGAAAGCAAGAAATAGGCTGAAGAACAAAACTCTGGTGCTTTTCATATGCTTTGGACTACAACTCCCATCAACCTTATCCGTAGTGGCCAATGATCAGGGATGTTGGAAGTGGCAGTCCAAAATATCCAGAGGGCTCCAGTTGGAGAAGGCTGCTCTACACAGTGACACATTAAATTGTGATACATTATATGCTTCGAGCTCACTCGGCAGCAAGTCTCTCTGTGTACAATGGGGCTTAAAGGTAAAGGTAAAGGGACCCCTGACCGTTAGGTCCAGTCGTGGCCGACTCTGGGGTTGCGGCGCTCATCTCGCTTTATTGGCCGAGGGAGCCGGCATGCAGCTTCCAGGTCATGTGGCCAGCATGACTAAGCCGCTTCTGGCGAACCAGAGCAGCGCACGGAAACACCGTTTACCTTCCTGCCGGAGCGGTACCTATTTATCTACTTGCACTTTGACGTGCTTTCGAACAGGAGCAGGGACTGAGCAACGGGAGCTCACCCCGTCGTGGGGATTCAAACTGCCGACCTTCTGATCGGCAAGTCCTAGGCTCTGTGGTTTAACCCACAGCGCCACCCGCGTCCCTCACAATGGGGCTTGCTTCCAACAAATGTGTTACCACCAAAGCCTAAGACCAGAATCCTCAGATTACCAAGTGGAAGTAGTGCTACTGACTAGGACTAAAAGACAGGGCAATAAAGAGTCAATGTTCAAGATTACCTGATCTGCTGTAAGCACTCCACTGCTGAAGCAAAACAGGCATCTTTTGTATTTGGCAATACCTAAGCATAAGAATGAAAACCTATGATTATGATTTCTAACAGCGTATTGGATAGAATAATTCATCACACCAATTTCAGAAGTAATCAGAGATGCTGGATTAAGACCGCAATAAATCTTAACTTCTAGAGCACCACAATAGTTCAGTTTCTGCATGACTTCCAGTTTAGAGAAGGCTACTTCAAATGGGGGGGGGGGGACTATATTTTCAACAGTGCACATCAGGGCTGTGAGCTTTATGCTTTAGTTTGTCTTACATTTAGGGATGCTTGAGGAATTTGATTTCTGTGAACTGCAGTGCAAACAGACCCGATCCTCACCTCCCAGATTAATGTTCCGATTAGAATGTTATTATATGTGACATAAGTAAAGTTTCAATTCTGAACACCTCTGAATTTAGCTACTCAATTCTTGGTTTCGGGGGGAGGGGAGTGTTTTCACATGCATAAAAAGGGTAAAGGGACCCCTGACTATTAGGTCCAGTCGTGGCCGACTCTGGGGTTGCGGCGCTCATCTCGCTTTATTGGCCGAGGGAGCCGGCGTACAGCTTCCGGGTCATGTGTTCAGCATGACTAAGCCGCTTCTGGCAAACCAGAGCAGCGCACGGAAACGCCGTTTACCTTCCCGCCAGAGTGGTACCTATTTATCTACTTGCACTTTGATGTGCTTTCAAACTGTTAGGTGGGCAGGAGCAGGGACTGACCAATGGGAGCTCACCCCATCACGGGGATTCAAACCGCCGACCTTCTGATCGGCAAGTCTTAGGCTCTGTGGTTTAACCCACAGTGCCACCTGCGTCCCAGTTTCACATGCATAGGTTAGGATAAAATAGATTTTAGCCATGGGTACATTGTGAGAATTTTTAAATTTTTATTTTATGATAAAATATGTACTGTATTCAAACGGATTGTTTGTGGGGGGTTTTAAAAATTTGCGTAACGTGAAAACAAGACAGAACAGACTTATGAATGAACACATGCAAAATTGACAGGGAGTTTGATTGCTCTGCTCATCCTTACTTCTATATCGTCACTATATTAAAAAGAGAATTAAAGCTGTGATTCTGTCATGTGTAAATTTGATCAATTAAAATGAAAGAAGAGGGTCAACTTGAACAATTATCTAGTTAGTGATAGACATCTGCGCTTGAGCAATGCAACTCTCAAAATCCTTCAGTGAATATTATCATCTTACAAAATACTTTGGGTCCCCACTTTATGAGAACCAAGCCAAGACATAACTGTGGCTGGGAATATCAAGTTGGTGACATGCTGCTGCCCTGTTCTTTCTGAGCCATGTCCAAAAATCTCAGCTTCATCATGGTTGCACACTTGTGCTCTATAGATGCTAGCAGTCAGGATGGGCACAAAATGATATCATCAGGCTGTGCTGGCACAAAGGCGCCTAGTCTGCAAAATGCGAAGTTTTCTCACTTTTCCCCTGATTAGCAACAACACCGTGGCCTGCCTCTGGCGTGCAGAATGTACCAACTGGACACCTGCACTTTATAAATTCCATATGGAAGGATTATTGCTTTTGCTTTAATAGAAAAAGTGCAACATAACCACATGCAGAATATGAACATCTAAAAGGAAACCACAGAAAGCCTCCACCCAAATCAATGAATAATTAGATTGTACTGTATCTTTTAATGAAGCAATGATTTGGAGATCATTTTAAAAAATCACTTGTGAAATAACGACAGGAAAGATAACGATAAATATTACATGTCCTTGGAGCCATGCATCTAGAAGAACTGTACACTGTAAACTGTAAAAACGATTGGACATATAAATGTCAAGTGCTAACCAAAACAGCAATGTATTAAAACTGACACACACAGTGACTGCAGTCTAGCTTTATTTCAAAGGCTATCAAAGATATGCAGTTAAGAGAACTCCAGATGAAATATAACATACCTTTCTATTTTCACCAAGAATGCAGGTTTTCGTTGGCCAAAATTTCCTGAAAGAAGTACCATGAGTATAGTTAATTATTTTCCAGTCATGGAAGAAAGGATGTTAAACAAAAGAATTTGTTTTCTAACACACTTCCTTACAAATATATAACTGAGGTTTCAGGTTCTTAGCATAGTGGAATTTCCTCATATATCTGGATCAGTCAAATGAGGGGATCAAAGCAAAAACTTTCTGGCTCATCTTAATGCAAGCTTCCTGGACCTGGTGCCCTCCAGATGCCATTGGATTGGAACTTCCACTGATGCTGCTGGGAGTTGCTGTCTGAAACATCTGGGAGGACACCAGGTTGGGGAAGGCTGGCTTAAGAGCAAAGATGAGTTATGTGAAGAATGCAAATTTCTTTGTGGCTTGGCCATATGAAAACCAGCGGAGCAAGGAAATCTCAGCCTTCTGCCCAAAAGACTTTGGAGAGCTCTAAATCTCCTTTATAAAGGTAAAGGGACCCCTGACCATTAAGTCCAGTCGTGACCGACTCTGGGGTTGCGGCGCTCATCTCGCTTTATTGGCCGAGGGAGCCGGCATACAGGTTCCGGGTCATGTGGCCAGCATGACTAAGCTGCTTCTGGCAAACCAGGCGGAACAACTCTGTCTTACAGGCCCTGCAGAAAGAAATCAGATCCTGTAGGGCCCTGGTCTCATGAGACAGAGCGTTCCACCAGGCGAGAGCCAGTGTTGAAAAAGCCCTGGCTCTGGTTGAGGCTAATCTAACTGTACTCTAATATTGTAGAGTAAATGTTCTTCTTTTCTATAAGATGGGTAAGGTAAAGGTAAAGGGACCCCTGACCATTAGGTCCAGTCGTGACCAACTCTGGGGTTGCGGCGCTCATCTCGCTTTATTGGCTGAGGGAGCCGGCATACAGCTTCCGGGTCATGTGGCCAGCATGACTAAGCTGCTTCTGGCAAACCAGAGCAGCGCATGGAAACGCCGTTTACCTTCCCGCCGGAGCGGTACCTATTTATCTACTTGCACTTTGAGGTGCTTTCGAACTACTAGGCTGGCAGGAGCAGGGACCGAGCAACGGAAGCTCACCCCGTCGCGGGTATTCAAACCGCCAACCTTCTGATCGGCAAGTCCTAGGCTCTGTGGTTTAACCCACAGCGCCACCCGTGTCCAAAATCTCCTTTATGAGAGGTGACAATTAATCCCCCGACAGTAACAAACAGGAAATAAGTACAGCGGTACCTCGGGTTACATACGCTTCAGGTTACAGACTCCACTAACCCAGAAATAGTACCTCGGGTTAAGAACTTTGCTTCAGGATGAGAACAGAAATCGTGCTCCGGCAGCAGCAGGAGGCCCCATTAGCTAAAGTGGTGCTTCAGGTTAAGAACAGTTTCAGGTTAAGAACGGACCTCCAGAACTAATTAAGTACTTAACCCGAGGTACCACTGTACTGCATTCTCTAGCCAGGAGAAACTGAAGCATGCTTACATTTGCACCCCCAAAAAGCTCAACAGAGCCATGTCTGGTTGTTTGTTCAGACGCAGGACACACTCCCAGTAAACATCTTCCTCTCGCTCATTGTCTAAGGCGTACAGCATGAATAAAGGAGGGTAGAGTCGCGGTAGCAACACAGGAAGCAGCAACCCAGAGCTTGTGACCACATAGCTGAAAAACACAAAATGAAGGAAGAGCTTTGGATGAACGAGGGGCAGCTCACAGAAATCTTTATTATATGGCTCGGCTCTCCTCAACCTGTCCTATCTTCTTTTTCCTTTTTTTAAAATACTTTTATTTTGCTTTAAACAAATTGTTGGGGTTCCAAGGGGTTGCTCGAGAGCAAGCAGGCAAATGCCTCCCTCTTCGGCTGTGAAGCCTCGCTTTTGATGCCAAAATAAACTCTCCCGTGGCTGGCTCATTCCTGGCAGAATCCGTGAGTCCTTAAACCTTCCCCAGCAGAGTAGTTTCTTGACACCCAGTCTGCACCTCCCCGCTCGGCGCGGAAGGCTACTGGGCAAGGAGGGTGTGGGTAATGGAGGACCTCTCTCCTCCCTGCCCAGGCAAGGTGTCCTGGCACCGCCTCGCCTCCTCCGAGCCCTGAAGCTCCTCTCCACTGGAGGCGTGGTTACCCTCCTCCGTGGAGGAGGAGCTGCTTCCCACGATCTTTGGGGGCTCTCTGTAATCCATCCGGCTTTTCCCCTCTCCCCCCTGAGCCGATGGCAGTTCCCTGACACAAATACATATAAATATAGACAACCAAAATTACAAAAGAAGATTTTTTAGTAATAATAATAATAATAATGAAAAAAGCTAAAAATCTACAAAAAATATCAAAGTACATGGCGTAAAACATAAGCCATTATGGGAAAGAAAAAAGAAAAAGGAAAGAAGAAGAAGAAGAATGAGGGGGGGAAAGAAAAAGAAATAAAAAAGGGAAAAAAAGGAAAAAAGAAGGGGGGGAAAGAGAGGAAGATGAGCCAAAACAAGAAGGCTCATCTATTGTACACTTCCGTCAAGGTCACAACAGATCATTTATTCTTATCAATTCTCTCTATCTGCATTCCAACGAATCCCTCATCTTGGTATCAGGGAACATTTGTCTATGCGGTATCATTCTAAACATAACCAGGTCTTTCTTGTTGAACCCTCGTCCCCTAGATAATTACCAACCTGTCCTATCAACAACACATGTTGAAGAAGAAAGGCAACCAGTCCAAGGAAAGGTGGGTGGGTGTGATAGGAAATTCACTCCCCAAACTCTGCTCCTTTTTCCACAAAGAGCAATCCCCTGTTCAGGTCTTAAGCTCCTGAGCAGCTTAAATGTCTGTCCTTGTTGGATGACATCACAGCCCCTAAATATGGAACAATTGTGTTCCATATTTGTATGTGAGGAACAACTGACACTATGAGGTGTGCACATGTACACACTGAGCTCAGGAATATCACCACAGCAAAGGGAGGACTAGTCTCGCCCCAGCCACTGATCAGAGAAGGAGCAGATATGGAGAGCTTCCTCCCCGATCCTACCACCCCTTGTCAAGCATTCTAAACAGATTTTTATCTACATACCCTGGTTCCGGAGATTCTGGCCTGGAGTCATTTTTCCCACTACAGAATGATCTCCTTCCTTTGGTCTCAGTCACCAAAAGTGGGATTGAACTGCCTTCTTCAGGAAGATCAGGGAACAGGAACCTTAAAATCAAAACACGTGTAAAATTAACCACAACTCACCAAACTGTGTCAAAAATTCTTAACAAGGTTTGCAACCATTTTTTCAAATATAATTCTCTTCAAATAATTCTCTTCGTTTTTCTTTCTTGCAGGGGAACCTAGCAACAATTCAACAGCTGCTGGATGATCAGCTTTTCTGCACAAATGCATTTCTTTATGCATGTTTGTTAAAAGAGAAAGGTGGAAGTATAAAGGTTTTACACTAAATGAGAGACAAAGTTCACTGGTTTTTTTCTTACCTGACTAGCTGGAAGATGCGTTTGAGGTAGGATTTAATTTCCCTGACTGCTTCCTGCAACAGCCGCCGATTAGCTCCCACGCCTACATATGTCATTCGATATACAGCAACTAGGGTCTCAACAAGTTTCCCCAAAGGATGCAGGGGAGTATCACACGCCTAAAAAGAAAAGGGTCAGAGAATTAGGCGGCTACATAAAGAAGCAGAGTCTTGATTGCAACACTCATATTTATTTAAGGCTCTTTGTTTAAAGCAATGGCTGTTCAAACAATATACATAACCTACCCATCTTATGGGACGCGGGTGGCGCTGTGGGTTAAACCACAGAGCCTAGGACTTGCCGATCAGAAGGTCGGCGGTTCGAATCCCCGCGACGGGGTGAGCTCCCATTGCTCGGTCCCTGCTCCTGCCCACCTGGCAGTTCAAAAGCACATTGAAGTGCAAGTAGATAAATAGGTACCGCTCCGGCGGGAAGGTAAACGGCGTTTCCGTGCGCTGCTCTGATTCACCAGAAGCGGCTTAGTCATGCTGGCCACAGGACCCGGAAGCTGTACGCCGGCTCCCTCGGCCAATAAAGCGAGATGAGCACCGCAACCCCAGAGTTGGTCACGACTGGACCTAACGGTCAGGGGTCCCTTTACCTTTACCTTACCCATCTTATAGAAAAGAAGAACATTTACTCTACAATATTAGAGTACAGTTAGATTAGCCTCAACCAGAGCCAGGGCTTTTTCAACACTGGCTCTCGCCTGGTGGAACGCTCTGTCTCATGAGACCAGGGCCCTACAGGATCTGATTTCTTTCTGCAGGGCCTGTAAGACAGAGTTGTTCCGCCTGGCCTTTGGCTTGGAGTCAATTTGATTCCCTCGCCCTCTATCTTTTCCCCTTTCTCCTCCTGTGATGAGGCTGCATTTTAATGTTTCAATGTTTCAATGTATTTTAATCTTGTTTTTAAGTTGTATTCATTCAACTTGTTTTTATTATTGCTTGTTAGCTGCCCTGAGCCCGGCCTTAGCTGGGGAGGGCGGGGTATAAATAAATTTTATTTTATTATTATTATTATTACAATATCAATGCTCTAGTCTAGTACATGGGTAGGCAAACTAAGGCCGGGGGGCCGGATCCGGCCCAATCTCCTTCTAAATCTGGCCCGCAGACGGTCCGGGAATCAGCGTGTTTTTATATGAGTAGAATGTGTCTTTTTATTTAAAATGCATCTCTGGATTATTTGTGGGGCCTGCCTGGTGTTTTTACATGCACAGAATGTGTGCTTTTATTTAAAATGCATCTCTGGGTTATTTGAGGGCATAGGAATTTGTTCATTATTTTTCTTTAAAATATAGTCCGGCCCCTCACAAGGTCTGAGGGACAGTGGACCGGCCCCCGGCTGAAAAAGTTTGCTGACCTCTGCTCTAGTATCATCTGGAAATTATACCAAAGACTGCAATCTGTAGGAGTTTATAGCAGACCTGGGGGGAGAACTGGAAATAGTGCTCTTATAAATTTATTATTTGTGGAAAAAATCCTCACTTTATAGTAGGAATGCATGCAGGTCCCGTTTACTGAACACAGTGTGTTCCCTGCTTGTGTCGCAGCTTATAGATAAGAACTTATTTAACAACAGTCACAATACCTTTATGAGATATTTCTTAATGTTGTCGTATTTTTCGAGTGTGAAGGCACCAACGTGTTTTGGAATGAACTCCAAGCTCTCCAAAGTTTGCGCATGAGATCTACTTAACAGTTCTGGGCTGCAACAATGGAAGCGATATAGTTATAAGCTATATAGGAAACACACATGGGTCAAGTAGCTACAAACCAACCAACTGTAAAGAGCTAAATAATAAGTAAGCCTAAAAACACACATGAGAAAAGAAAAATAATTACAAATCCTGAAAACCAGAGATACTGAAAAATGCAATAAATTATACTAGCTCTTTCTGTCATCTTAATATTACAGTACCCATTAAATTTGCCACACTCATTCCTTCCTCTCTGTCCAATAACTACACTATTGTTTCCTAATATCCCACAAGGTACAGATTTTCTTAAGTGTACAAAAATAATACTTTTCTGCTTCTGTCACAGGGCTGCTCATGTGGATATCACCCTTCCCTATTTAAAGTATGCCACTGTATAATGTACTTGCCCTTAATTCTTGCCAATTGGAATAGCTCTTTCTAGCCATTTGTTCTAACCTGCTGAAAACCTTCATATCTGCTCTGAAACATTTCCTCCTTTTTTACATCCATCTTCTCTCTTAAGAATTTTTTCCTATAATTTACTAATTTAAAAATAATCCTGGGCAGTATGTGATCAACTATGCTAACTAAAGGCTCTTGCCACCACACTAACATTCTGTCAGTACCTAATAGATTCATAAAACACTAGAATTGCTGAAGTTTCCACACACAAAATGGCAGATTTTTTACATGTACACTTTTTTTAAATGTACACAAATGCTGTGATACTACATATATTACAATATATATCCATAGCAAACTTCCAGTAAGCCGTTTTTAAAAATCTTAATGTAAATTTAAAATGATGGCCGAACTTCACTTGATATTTTTTTCTGCTGTTTCCTGAAGTACAAGTGTCCCTCACCACTAACCTGTCTTTGTGTTGACGCCGATTGGTTGTCAGGGCAACAGCAATGTTATCCCAAGCTTTCCACCTGTCCCCTTGGCCTGGTTGCTCACAGCCTAGCTGATGCCAGCATTCCTCAAACACCGCCTTCCATTTTTCATCAGCAGGAACAGCAAGGTTTCCAAGCTTCCGCCTGGGGACATTTTAACCACAAGAATCGCAATTCTCAATGAAACGCCTTAAGAGATGTGCGGACCAGAAATTTCTCCTAAGAGCATGCAGATCTAGAACATTATGGGGTGGAGCAGGGCAGAAACATCCCCCCCCCCCACTCTTCAACATCTCAAGCTTGCTGTTAATTAATAAGACACATTAGCTAATGTTGGACCGTCTGACAATTGCTGAAATGGTTTTTATTGTCCATCACTTGGGGGCGTTTCATGGGAGATGATTCATAAATGAATTGTTATTTATTATATCAATAACCAGGACAGTTAATAGTGCCCAAGCTGAAAAGATGAGGTGGTAAGGATCAAAGGATTGTGGGATGAAGACCAGAAGCATTATTTTAATAATAACTTACGGTAACTTCAAGGCCTTTGCTTAAAAGCAGAGAATCTGATTCTCTCTGTGCTGCATTAGACAAGTGAGCAGCATTAACTATTTCTTAGAAAAAAATCAAGCAATAAATTCTGAACTTAAGACAGCCAACAATCCTTGCTTCAGAGGCACCTGCATACATTTATTCATAGACCCCCTAGTGAGGTAAAAAGCAGCTCCCTAAGAAGTTTGCTAAGTTTGGCAGGAAAGCCTGACTCACAGTCAGATTTGAGCATCAGTGATGTCAAAAGTAATTAACAGCATCATAAATAAAAGCCAAAGCGGGCGAGGCGGGGAGAAATAAAGTCTTATGCTGTCCATAAATATAAAATAGACATACATTTTGTTTAACAATTTAAAAACAGCCACAGCTATGTATAATGGGTACTGTATGACTTAAAACTGACAGCCACACCAGTGTTCTTCAGAGATGACAATCATGTACTGTTGCACAAGTCTGACAGGCACCTATTCCCCAACAGCATCTCTCCGATGACTTATAAAAATGCCTGAAAACATCCATTATGAATCAAAATGGGCTGTGCAGTCCAACCACTGCACAGATGCATTTCCAGTTGTGTTTATGTAAAGGTAAACGTAAAGGGACCCCTGACGATTAGGTCCAGTCGTGACTGACTCTGGGATTGCAGTGCTCATCTCGCTTTATTGGCCGAGGGAGCTGGCGTACAGCTTCCGGGTCATGTGGCCAGCATGACTAAACCGCTTCTGGCAAACCAGAGCAGCGCACAGAAACGCCGTTTACCTTCCCGCCAGAGCGGTACCTATTTATCTACTTGCACTTTGACGTGCTTTCGGACTGCTAGGTTGGCAGGAGCAGGGACTGAACAACGGGAGCTCACCCCGCTGCAGGGATTCGAACCGCCGACCTTCTGATCGGCAAGTCCTAGGCTCTGTGGTTTAACCCACAGCGCCACCCATGTCCCTTTCTGTTTATGTATATATATATACATAAAAAGGTAAAGTTAAGTTCAGTCGTGGACGACTCTGGAGTTGCAGCGCTCATCTTGCTTTACAGGCCGAGGGATACGCAGTTTATCTGCAGACAGTTTTCCCAGGTCATGTGGCCAGTATGACTAAGCCGCTTCTGGCGCAACGGAACACCGAAACCATAGCAGGGCACGGAAATGCCGTTTAGCTTCCTGCCAGAGCGGTACCTATTTACCTACAGTGGTACCTCGGGTTACATATGCTCCAGGTTACAGACTCCGCTAACCCAGAAATAGTACCTTGGGTTAAGAACTTTGCTTCAGGATGAGAACAGATATCGCACGGCGGCGGGAGGCCCCATTAGCTAAAGTGGTGCTTCAGGTTAAGAACAGTTTCAGGTTAAGAACGGACCTCCGGAACGAATTAAGTACATAACCAGAGGTACCACTGTACTTGCACTTTTTGGTGTGCCTAGGTTGGCAGGAGCTGGGACCAAGCAATGGGAGCTCACCCTGTTGTGGGGATTTGATCTGCCGACCTTCCGATCGGCAAGCCCAAGAGGCTCAGTGGTTTAGACCACAGCGCCACCTGCGTCCCACGTTCTGTTTATAGGAACCTCTATTTCTACTGCCTGTGTAAGGGTAGAGGCCCTCACTCTTTAAGTGCCAGTGACCAATTGCAGCCCCCAAAATACAGCTGCTACGTTTTCACTTTCATCACACTGGTCACCAGCTGCTCAGATATCATATGACTTACAGAACTTTCACCACTTTTAGCCTTTTCTAAAGAACAAGCATTGTATCTCTTGACCCCATTGTCTTCCAAGCACCTCAGACAAAACCTGTAGTGTTCCACTCAAATCTGAAATCCGCATGAGGACTTGGCAATGATGCTGTACTATTACCATTGCCTAACCAAGCAGAGGAGCTGGAAATAAACAACTAGAGTTGGGCAAACAAGGCTGTGATCTGCAACCTACTTTGCATTCAAATCAGTGCTAGGGCTCAGGTACCATGGCTAGCTACAGACAAAGACACGATACAGTCTAAACAGAAGCCAACTCCCATTCACTCACAGGGTTTTGGGTCGGTCCTTCTCATGATCGTACAAACTGGGTTTGAAGTAGGTTCCAGCAATCTTTATCCCAGATCCCCACTCGCCACTGAAAATACCTTCAATATTGTCTCCATTTGGCAAAGTCAGTCTTCCCTTTGAAGAAGGGATGGAGGGGAGGGGAGAGAAGAGAGTAAAAAAAGAATGAAATGACTCATTTTGAAAAACTGCTCTACTCAAAAAAAAGCAATCCCCCAAAATATGATTTACTAACCTTTCCATTAAGAGTCCAATTATCTGAAAACTCTCCTTCATACACTGTGTCATCTTCAGAAAGCAAGACACCAGTCCCCTACATAAAGCAGTATCATAATCATTACAAGCCCTGTTCTGAATAGCTCACATAAACACAGAGTAGTATTAGGGAAGAAAAATGCAGGAAGATGTATATTTTTACAGTAGCCGCAACACAAAGATACAGAACAGTCAATGTGCTGGATCCAAACTTGTCCTTAGCGGGAAGGGCAGAGATCCAGTGGAGACTCACAATGGAAAAAGGTGGAGGAGGGAAGAAGGCAATTTTCACCTATTCCTTTTTCCTTCTGCCCTGTCCTCCTCAGTCCCCCAACCCTCCAGAGCAGATTTTCATTGGAGTATAGGGGGTTGCAGGAAGAGGAGGGGTAACTAGCAAAAATTGCCTCCTCTGCTCTTCTACCATTGGGAGCACCCCAAGAGAGGAACTGCTCACAGGTAGTCTGGATCCAATCTGGCATAAACGCTACTTTGAAAAAAGGGAGTGAATTTTTATTTTTATACGTTGAGCACCAAAAAACAGAGTAAGGTTAGGGACTGCTGGGAATGCTCCTTCAACCATAAGACACTGGTTTGTACAGTACTCACCATCATTTTATTGCTGCTAAAGGCTCCTTCATAATACAGTCCAAACTGTGTAACCACAACACCATTGCCCTGGCCAAGGTCATCTTGCCACATTCCCATATATTTTTCTCCCCTGAAGAGAGAGACAAGAAGGGATTAAGGGCCAAAGCGATCTAAATTTTAAGAAATAAGGCTCACCATACCATCTCCTGTTCTGTGAGACTCTGACAACTAAACAACAGACATACTACCCTACCAGCTGAGAAGCCTTTTTGGCAATTATTAGGGTCACATCAAAGCTCTATAATGGGGTTGGGGGGAGGGCACAAACTACTGTACATCTTAACTGCAGTTTATGTATCATTTTCGTATGTTTGCCATTATTATTTTTAATTGTATGTTATCACACTTTTCAGTATTTCCAAAGAGGACTTATATTAAGGTTTATGAAACATGAACGCTGAGCTAAAATATAAATTAGTAAGTTCAAAGGCAGGTGAGAGATAATTGAGATAATTTATTACGGTCAAAGACCAGCTCACATAACATAACACAATAAAAACAGCGCTCATAAAGATAAAATATACAATCGGAGCAGATTGCAGCAATAGCTCATGAGTTAAAGCAATAGCTCATGAGTTAAACAAAGGCAGGTGATTGATTGCTGGCATACAAGTTTTAGATTGCATTCCATGTCATCTTGTTAGTGATTTTATTCAAGTAAACTAGAGGGATAAGCAACTACTTAGCATAGGTTTTTAGAATGCTCAGAATCTATTTACCTTGTGATATCGTCAAATACTCCATATCCAGTCTTCTTATCCATGACCCACTGGCCAATGAACATACTGGGAGAGGTAGATGTCAGTTTCCCACTGCGCAGGAGACCATGCCCATGACGCATGTTATCCTGAAAGCTCCCTTCATACACTTCTCCAGTGGCATAGCTGAAATAAAAGAGTGTTATCTCTCTCCCCCTCTGCACACAGAAAACAACATTTTTGGCAGGAATGTGAAAACAGGACAATTATTTCCAGTGATGAGTTTTGGGGGAGGGTGGGGAATGGAGATGTGCCATATTGTGGATTATGTAGTTCTGTGCAAAAAGAGCATGAACAGATATGGTATCACATCTATGCACAGACTGTTGTGTGAAGCAACATGGGCACATGTATATTTCACTGCATGGACACAAGGCAAAATGCAACTTCCCAGGAGGTGTTCACACAACGAAATGTGTTCGTGAGTGAAAACTGCTACACATGGCGATCTTCATAGGGGTTTCATGCTGTTCCTACCTGGAAAGGTTTTGCATAGAAAGAATTGGTTTGTGTGTGTGTGTTACGTGGCCCTTTGAAGTGCATTGTGGGTTAAATGCTGCTCTCTTTTGGACTACACACGATGACCTTTAAAACAATCCACATGTTGTTTTGTATACTACCTGTAGATGCCTTGTCCACACATTTTGCCCTCCTTCCAATATCCAACATAGCGGTCACACTTGTTCAGTATTTTGCTTGGTATTTTGTATTCACCGTGCCTGCCAATATGAAAACAACAACAACAGTCCTGAGCAACTAGAAAGCAAGAATATAATACAAAGAGCAGCAATCCCATACACATCTACTTGGCAGTAAGACCCATTGAACATTGTAAGATTTACTTCTGAGTAAAATGTACAGTCATACCTTGGGTTACAGATGCTTCAGGTTGCGTGTTTTTGGGTTGTGCACTGCGCCAAACCCAGAAGTACCGGAACGAGTTACTTCCGGGTTTCGGAGCTTGCGCATGCGCAGAAGCGCTAAATTGCGCTTTGTGCATGCACAGAAGCGCCGAATCGCAAACCCGCGGGTGTGCAGACACAGCGCTGTGGGTTGCAAACGTGCCTCCCACACGGATCATGTTTGCAACCCGAGCGTCCACTGTACTGAATAATACTAAAAATGTACTATGTGTCTGTGAACTATGTGTAAAAGAGTGACGGTTAATGAATTATATGATAGGCAATTATAAAACACCTATATATCACTTTTCTATACATGTATAACTGAAATGGTAGCTAGATAAATTTAAGCACACGTAATAGATTCAGCCAACAATTCCAAGCATGCAGTTCAAATTGTGACTGCTTTATTTTTGACACTGCATTGACTTGAGAGAACAAGTTTAGCTCTCCAGAATTTCATACAAATTTTGAATTGAAGGTAAAGTGATGAAAATCACTTGAGAAACAGCACTGGTATTTTCACCTGTCAAATAGAAGGCTAAATAGAAGTTTTAGGAAAGTGTCTTACAGACAAATCCCTAACACACTGTTTAAAAAAGCACACTACTACATAATAGAATTCTTCAGTTTAACACCATGGCTGTCTCAGACCCAACCCCAAACCCCTCCGCCCGCCCCCCGCCCAGCAGTGCACAGCTACAATCTTTCATGTTCAGGAGCTTCAGCTGCAAAGGATTACTATAATGCAATAGTTGCACAAGCACTCTATGGATGTACATTTATTTTAGCACCATCCAGATTTCTAACATGCACACAAATCTGGCAAGGTGTTTGAACAGTTGAACAGAAAAAAGGACACAGGGGGTGAAGGAGAGAGTTCAATTTTACATTGCAAGCTGCTTGTTACAGTGATTAAAAATGAAACCCTGAGTACCTGAGACTTACTCCCAGGTAAGCATGGGTTGCATCCAAGTTGCCCTTTGAGCAGATCCATTGAAATTAATGGATATACGTTAGTCATGCCCACTACATTTCAATGGTTCTACTATGAGTAAGAACCACACTGGATATAACCCAATATATGATGTGACAACTTGAGTTAGTTTCACAAAACTCCTAAAAACTATTTTGACAGCCAAATAAATCCATCAGCCAAAGGGAGGTTATCTAACACCTTGCTGGTGGTAAGAAATTTTAAAGTAATAAACAGACTTCTCTTTCTCCAACCCCAAATTTGGTTTAACTCTTTGTACCTACCCATCTTCCAAGCCACTTCTGAACATGCCAGAATACATTCTTCCATCTGCCCATTTCAAAACTCCCCTGAAATATACAGAGTGCCATAATTAGACCAGTTCCTCATTTGAATTAGCATAACACGTTTTATGCAAGACTATTACATTGTTCAAAGGACTACTGCATTTTTTTCTGGCTAGGTTTTAGAGCTCAGGGTTAAGTGGCCATAGAGTAGGAGGCTTTTCATTTATTGTACTTGGCTTTATTCAGATTTAAACACTTTTTTACATGCCTTTCTTCACTTGTTACCTAGCTTTAAGCAAAAAGAAAGAGAAGAAGATGTAAAAGAAGAGAACAGGGGGAAACTTCAGGTGCTTGAAATGATTTATTCCAAGTCCAATATGTTAAAGAAAAAATCCTTCCTTGCGAGGCATGTTTTTAGCAGCAATTTTCACCATTTTCACCAAATGCAAGCGATGCTGTAGCAACAGATGTCAGCACATTTTCCATGCAATTAGTGAAAATCTCTCTCTTTTTTGGCCTGTTATTATTGGTGCTTTTCTGCTTGGTTTTAAGTAAACAGGACAGCCTCTTAACTAGCGAACATGTACATAAAAACATTTGCACAGTTTCACCTGCCGTGTGGTTTCCCAGAAAGCCATCGACCATTGTAAGTGGCGTCCTTAAGCCGAGGATCTTTGTAAAAGGTGTATTTGGCACTCCGTGAGATAGGGGGCTCTTGCCTCTGAATGTTTCCGCTAACTCCATAAGGAGGCAAGTCAGTCGTCCCTTTTAAGGCCTGATCCACTGCTTGGCTTATCGCTCTCAGCCATTTAGTCTGAAACAATTACAGTAAAAGTATTCAAGGTTTCGCCTACCCTTTGTGTTCCTCCTCTCTATTCATAACTACTTTTATGGGAATACTGAAGGAATCTCTTGGAATTAGCCTGATAAGACTTATTGGTGCCACAGAATCAATAAATGATAAAAATCATGGAACTGCAAAAGTTCATCTGCTCTAGCAATCTTAACCTTTTCAGACTTGGGGCCCCATTTACCTTCTGCCTGGAACAAAGGGTCAGTTTTTAATACACCACCATATTATGGTCATCATTCTCTACGTCACTTAACAACAAACTAAACTTAAATTTAAAAATAATAATTGGCAATGAATGCACTGCCATGAACCATCTATGGGCCAACTATGGATCACAAGTCACTATTTGAAGACCAGTGATCTAGTCCAAGTCTCCTTCTAAACCAAGATACTACATACTCAGCTACAGCAATGTGGACCATACTTGCATGTCTTCTATACCATGGGCCTACGAGCAAACAATGTTAGTTTTGCTCCTCCCATTTGCACAGACAGGAAACAGACCACAACTCCTGTCTTAGCGTTACATTTGATCCATGGATGATTTCACTCCCAACAAACCATGATCAGTACAAGCCAAGAACAAACCTCGGCTTACAGATTGTGTTGCAAAATGAACCACCATCCCTGATTTGGATGCAACACTAAATTGTGGCTTGTTTCATCCACATGCAACCAGCAAGGAGGTGAACAACTCAGATAGGCATGTTTGCGGTATACCATTAACTATGGTTTGCCGTGCTGTGCAAGCAGGGTCATTTTATGTTGATTTCCCTTAGCTTACAGAGTGAAATAAGCAGAGAAAATAAGCTTACAAAGTACCGTATTTTTCGCACTATAGGACGCACCAGAGCATAGGACGCACCGGACCATAGGAGGGGGAGAACAGGGGGAAAATTGTTCTTCTTGTTCTCCCCCTCTAAAACAAGGTGCGTTCAAGGTGCATTCACCCGAGCTTGTGGGGCTGGCGGTGGGGGGGGGGGGAGCGCTGCTCTGTCTCCGTCTCGCTGTTCTGGCTTGGGAACAGCCTTCCTTTGCGCGCAGCCATCCCCGAGCTAGAACAGCGAGACGGAGTGCTCCGCAGCGCTCCGTCTCCCTGTTCTGGCTTTGGGCTTAGCCGTGCAGCCTGCATTCACTCTATAGGACGCACACACATTTCCCCTTAATTTTTGGAGGGGAAAAAGTGCGTCCTATAGAGCGAAAATTACGGTACTCTATGTTCAAAGTAGCTAAGGCACTTAAGATGGCTCTCACAAGTAAGCCAAGCCCACATTCCTTGTGGGGAAGTAATGGAGGAAGACCACAACTCATGCATCAGGTATAATCTCTTGCATCTCCAAACAGGACTGGGAATTATGCTGCCTGAAGCCCTAAGAAATGCTGCTGGTCAGTGTACACAATAGAGTTAAACGGACCAATGGTTTGACTTGGTATAAGGCAGCTTCCTGTGTTCCTGCTGTTAACCTACCTGGCAAAGTGGTGCAAACAGGGGAGGAGAGGACAGAATGCAGTCTCTGTGCCTGCTTACCTTTTCCTGCGGTGTTGATGAAACAAGAATGAACTGTTCTTCTGGTGTAGTGACTCTCAAACCATTCCTAGTATGAAGACCAAAAAAAGAGAAAGGTTCATGTAAAAAGAACATAAGAAAATAAAAAATAAAAAATAATTGAACAGATAACTGTAGCTAGCACAGGCAAAAATTAATACCAAAGCAAAGGGGCAGAGTCGCATTCTATTTTCTGTCCTTTTCCTTCTAGCCTCTGGCTTAAAGAAATGTTCCCCCTTCCCTAAATTCATGAGAAATGGAGAATCTCCATTTGCAACAGTAAAGTGCCACGTAATCTAACACCTTCCATCCTATTTCAGTCTCTTATCACTAGCGATTATAAGGAAGACTGTACTCTGTACCAAAATAAAATGAAGTAGTTCCAAGTTATGCAAGTTACCATATTTTTCGCCCCATAGGACGCACTGGCCCATAGGATGCACCAAGTTTTTTGGGGGGGAAATAAAGGGAAAAAAAATTATTCCCCCCCCCCAGGTGCTTGTGGGGCCAGCAGCGGGGAGAAGCGCTCTTCTCCCTGCAGCCCGCCTTCAGACCAGGTCCGGGGACAGCGGGAAGACACTCTGCGCCTCCCCGCTGTTCCCGGAGCTTGCGGGGCTGGCGGCGGGGAGAAGCACGCGTCTCCCGCCGTCAGCCTCCAAACCACATCGGGAGACAGCGGGATGGCGGTGTTCCGCCACCCCGCTGTCCCCCGACCTTGTGGGGCTGGCGCTGGGGCTCTCCTGAAGCCTGGAGAGCGAGGGGTCGGTGCGCACCGGCCCCTCTCGCTCTCCAGGCTTCAGAGAAAGCCTGCATTCACCCCATAGGACGCACACACATTTCCCCTTCATTTTTGGAGGGGAAAAAGTGCGTCCTATAGGGCGAAAAATACGGTAAGTAAAGTATTTATGCTTATCTGGCATCTTTTACTTTACCTATGCCAGATCCTCAAACCACTAGATTTATTCAGCCATCCTTTTGTTTCGTAAGAAATTACCAAGCTGCCAAGCCTACACAGTAATACCTCTGCGAACATCCGCCTTGTCTAGCGTCCATTCCGGCGAATGTCCACAGCAAACCTGGAAGTACCGGAACGGGTTATTTCCAGGTTTGCTGCTCGCACATACGCAGAAGCACAAACCGCTCCACATGTGTGCGCAGACATGGCGCTTTGCCCTGCATCCTTTTTGGCTAGCGGCCGGGGTTCCGGAACGGATCCCGGCTGCAAAGCAAGGTACGACTGTACTCACATCCATATGGTCTAGAAATGCTGCTTCAAGCTAAGAAAAAAGGTTGTAGGAAGCTGAACTCTGCACCAATATCACATTGCATAAATATTCTTACCTGTCTAAACACAAGAAATGCCACGGCATTCTTCCTTACAAAAGTGACACTGGAATACTTCTTAGGGGTTTAGTCTAGTTTTAAATGTATTGACTGTTTTATGTTTTTAATTATCTTATATGTAAAATGCCTTGAGGTGGTAATCTAGCAGGCAATTAATAAATCAAAAATGATGAGGATGAGAATAATAATAATAATTACAGATTAGACTGCACTGGTTTGGATGATTTCATCATATCTGCATTTACAAGACTTAATGTCCAGCCAATACTGAATAAGTTAATTTTTCATGTTTATACTTCTGCTCTCTAGGTCTTTGGGGGAGTGTCATGTGACAAAGACACATGAGAGCAGAAGCAGCAAAGCAGGCTGGGAAGTGCTGGGACTGCACAATCATTTGGGCCTACTAAAGTTATTCTGGCCTAACTGCTAACTGTTGAGTCACTCTGGCGTGTGACTTCGTAGCCAGTTTCTCTTTTGTGCTCTCTGTAAGATGTCAGTGAGTGTCTGTCTGCTTCAGTTGGGAGCAGTATGTAATCTCAGTCAAACTGTTTGGAACCATGTTGTTTATGAAGAAGTTTATTTTAACTCAGTAAAGCTTTTATTCTTTGAAACTCTGCATTATTAATTAACGCTGCGCGTCAAATACATGCTTAAAATGAGCAACATGTACACCTGTGATAACTTTATCTCACTAACCACAAGCATGATAATCACATTATTGTGGGGCTGGAGAACCTGTGGTCCTTCCAGCTGCTGCTGGATTATGATGAACATCATCCTTAGCCATTGGCTGGCTGAGACTGATGGGAGTTGGAGTCAAAAAGCAGCTGGACAGACCCACAAGGTTCCCCACCACTGCCTTTAAAGGATGCAAGTCGAGTATCACAAAGAGCACAAAAGGCCTGGAGTACCCAAGACGTTTCAAAAGAAAAACTCATCTCATCAACAACAGCAACAAAATAATTTCTATTTGAGGGATGGCCTTGACATACTTACATATTACCAGACTCTTCTGAAACAGGTTCTACCCACAATGTGGACAAGGAAAAAATATGATGAGTTGAAAACTGCAAAGAAAAGCAAAAGAGGAAAAGCATCAACCTTCCTATTAGGATTAGATTCACTCTGTGTGTGTGTTCCTTCTTCAGTGTTTCTTCCCCTTTGGAAACAGAATGACGATAAGCCACACTGCTGAAATGCAACTGCTATATCTCCTAACGAGTTCCCACCCACCCCCAATTTGAGAAGTTCAAATTGCACAGCTTGCAAAGCTGCAACCATATTTATGCCAAATAGCGGGCTCTATGAACCAGAGCTCAGTGCATAGGATACCCTGTTCCTACTGTTTGTTTAAGGGGCAGCAAATGATAGTGCTGCTGTATGCTAGTGATGGAAGATATTTTCCAGTCTCGCCAGAAGACAGGGAGAAACTGTGCACAACTATTTTTTGTCTTTCAACTTTTTTTTGCAAGTGAGAGGCAATGCTGTTCAAAGACCCAAAACATAATGTTCCAAAACCTAATGCCGGCAATATCAATGGCACTAATGAGGTGGTGGCTGGGTAAGTGGAATAGACCCAATTCTGAACTGTGTTTCAGAACCCCAATAGAGAGAGGTGGGGAGTGATCTACGTTGCATGGAAGACAGAACAGGCTTGGTATCCAAGGCTCTTGTCACCCATACGTGACCCAGTCGCGGAGGAAGGGGCTTCGGTACCTGGGGTCGTGGGGGCGTGGCACGTCGCCTGTGGGGGTGTGGCACCCAGGGGCCTGGTACGTCGCCCGTGCGAGTGTCCCAAAGGGGGAGGCACCTGCCCGCGGCGATGTCACCCCTCCAGGCTGGCACCCAGGGTGACCTGCTCCCTTCCTCCGCCACTGACTAGACCTAGCGACAACCCATATGAACCTCAGGTCGTCTTTGTGTGTGTTCTTCTGAAGAGCGTGGGGAGAGAGATCTGACTGCTACAGAACTCTGAAAATATCCTTTTACTGTGAGGTGCCCCATCCATTCAGGTATAACAGGAACAATTCAGCTCTAATCCCCAGTATGTGCTTACCTGAGCATGGACCAAGGCATCGTTAAAGAGGATGAACCAGTTTACTGAGAATCTCCCAGCATGCTGCAGTGACAGTCCCCGATTGCTGCTCTCACAGATTAGTCGCCGTTCGGGTTTCCTCAAGGAATCCTAGAATTGAGGAGTGAGGCAGGCACACAAATTAGGTCGACTATGCCTATTATCACCCCTGTGTCATTAACAGTAGTGCGCACTTGTCACAGATGGAGTCTGAATTTGCATGCATCTCAGCCGTAACGGGAAATTAGGATTACCGTATTTTTCGCCCTATAGGACGCACTTTTTCCCCTCCAAAAATGAAGGGGAAATGTGTGTGCATCCTATGGGGCGAATGCAGGCTTTCTCTGAAGCCTGCAGAGCGTGAGGGGTCGGGGCGTACCGACCCCTCTCGCTCTCCAGGCTTCAGGAAGCTATCCGCAAGACTTGGGAGTCCGGCGCGACTTCCCGCCAGGCTCCCAAGGCTTGCGGACAGCAGCCTGCAGTCCGAAACCCGGGGAGCGCAGCGGAGCGCGCCCCGGGCTTCGGGCAGATATCCGCAAGCCTGGGGAGACCGGCGGGAGTTTCTGCCGGTCTCCCCAGGCTTGCGGATAGCAGCCTGCTTCCCGAAGCCTGGGGAACGCCGCGGAGCGCTTCGGGCAGATATCCCAAGGCTTGCGGATAGCAGCCTGTTCTGGGGGTTGGGGTCGGGGGGAGCTCGGGCTTTCCCCGCCCCAGCCCTGCACCTGGGGGGGGAATTTTTTTTTTCTTTATCCCCCCCCCAAAAAAAAAACTAGGTGCGCCCTATGGGCTGGTGCGCCCTATAGGGCGAAAAATAGGGTATTTGCTAAATACAATAGTTTCTGAAATTGGAAGCACCGCAGCCATGAAGAGAGAGGAAGGGAAGAGAAGGAAACTACGGTGACATCACTGTGGGAAAAATGGAATCCTACAGTGGAAGAGTTGTGCTAGCAGAGATTACGGCAATGCCCACGTACTGTCATTTTGCCAGGAAAGGTCTTCCAGAAGCCCAGCGTGTATTCAGCTTCTTTCCTTTTCCTGTTAAGATGGACAGCAAGGGTTTCATAACAAGAACTGGCATCCTGAAGGCTCTGGTATTCTGGAGATGCCTACAGAGAAGGAACAAACAAAACAAGGTTAGCAACTAACACTTGTTTCCAGAGACCTATTGCAATATTTCATTACAGTAATTGCAGTTTCTCAAAGTGTTTTATTTAAATCAACTGAAACAACTTCTCCTGCGATTGAATAATATTTAAGTAACTAAAAAGAACACTAATACAATGAAGAATAAACCATTTAGTTATTATAACAAATGCAACTGCATTTGCACTTTTTTTTGAACTGATTAAAAATATTACGCCACCTGGAATGATTATGTTAGCAATGAGATCAAAAAAACAAACACAAAATGTCTCCTGCTTAGTGAAACTTTCTTATCCAACAACTTACCACTTCAAAACACGTAGCAAGCTTTAGTAAAGTTCTAGCGTAATTATGAAGTCGTCGGATTGGCAAGAAAAACAGAGTATTTAACACGTCTACCAATGGGAGAGCCTCCTCATTTGTCTCTGACAGATCCTGAAGCAATGCCTGGCTTTTAGTTAAGAAATCCCTACAGTATAAAGACAGATGTGTGTTAATGTTTTGACAATGCTTTCAGTGCAACACTTACTATACTTATGTCTGACTCTTCTTCTGTGGAACTCAGAACATATTTATATATGGTTTCCAGGTGTCCTTCCACCCAGGCAGCTTGCAAACTGGTTTGGATCTGCTTAGCTTCAGCTGCAGAACACCACCATGTGACTTTGGACCCAGATATACATGGTTACCTGCCCTTTCACTGATACAGAGGTCAGGCAGTATGAGTTAGACCAGGCTTCCTCAACCTCGGCCCTCCAGATGTTTTGAGACTACAATTCCCATCATTCCTGACCACTGGTCCTGCTAGCTAGGGATCATGGGAATTGTAGGCCAAAAACATCGGGGGGGGGCGAGGTTGAGGAAGCCAGAGTTAGACCTACCCCAGGTCTACTGCACTTAAAAAATACTCAAGGCTAATGTTTTGCATTAATTTCAAGGAGTCCTTAGAGCATCAAGCTTCACTTGTATAAAATCCTACAGTTGCATTCACGCATAAAAGGTAAGCCAAGAAGCTTGGCTTAATAAACTATACTGTGCAAAAGCTGCATTCTTTGTGCAACAAACTAGCAAGAGGATGACTTAAGTGCTAGGTTCCAACCCAAAACTGTGGTTTGTTTCTCTCTAAAACAGGCTATGATCCGTATGTAAACAGCAAGCCATGACTTACGGCAGGGCTACGGATCATAGCCTGTTTAGGGAGCAGCAAACCACATACCTGAGTTCAAATGTAACCCTAAGCTATCACTTTCCTGGCTTGTTTCCTGCTTGCACACAGTTCATGCACAGTGTGGTTTATTACACCAAGCTTCTTGGTTTATCTTGAGAATGCAGCCTGTGTATTTTGCTATCTCTTGTTAGAAGTGATACGGATTTACTAGGAATCAAATACATAAATTACTACTTATTAACAATACTAGTTTCTTTATTTAAACTAGAGGTATCTAACCTGTGGACCATACACCACCCCCGCAATACGTTCTGGGTGTTCCCTGCCCCACCCTGTGGCATGTCTTTGAAATTTATTTTTTATTTAGATTTAAGCCATTTATATCCCTCCCTTCATCCAAAGATCGCAGAGCGGTAACAGCAAAAGTCAATAAAATTTTATATCCATACATAAATATCATAGTGTCATCATAAGCAAAGCCTCTACTATGGACATATGAATAAGTATCAGTAACAATACCCAAAAGCCTACGTCAAAAGCCATGATTGAGTTGGCATCTGAATACCATCAGAGACCATGCTCAACAAAATTCAGTGGGCAGAGAGTTCCAGAGCTGACTGCTGCTGACCACTAGCCAAGTATATTTCCTGCATCACCGAAGGAAGTTGATACGCTCTTTGCCTATCAGCTGTATAAGGTAAAGGGACCCCGACCATTAGGTCCAGTCGTGACCGACACTGGGGTTGCGGCGCTCATCTCGCTTTATTGGCCGAGGGAGCCGGCGTACAGCTTCCGGGTCATGTGGCCAGCATGACTAAGCTGCTTCTGGCGAACCAGAGCAGCGCACGGAAACGCTGTTTACCTTCCCGCCTGAGCGGTACCTATTTATCTACTTGCACTTTGACGTGCTTTCGAACTGCTAGGTTGGCAGGAGCAGGGACCAAGCAACGGGAGCTCACCCCGTCGCGGGGATTCGAACCACTGACCTTCTGATCGGCAAGTCCTAGGCTCTGTGGTTTAACCCACAGCGCCACCCGCGTCCCTTATCAGCTGAATAGTGCCTCCAAAAATAGAGCCTTTCAAGTTTTCCAATGCAAATTTTAAGTGCTAAATTAAAAGTGGTGGAAAATCTACTCAAATATTACACGAGTCTGCGTTGGTGAACGCAACCATTTACTGCTTTTGACTTCTTCTGTGTTGCTGTCTGCAATGAAACATCGAACTTGCAATGAATTTGTACAGCTACGAAATAAGTTAAGGTGGAAATTTGGAAAAGAAGGCTTGCAAGGCAGAGAAGAGCGACACATCAAAGCTTTGGGAACAAAGGAGTAGCTTAGTGAACTAAACAGCAGGGCCACTCTACATGATTAACGAGGTGCTGCCACAGAAGCATCAAACGCATCTACCTTGCCTAGTTCCACGACTTCTCATTTTCGAACGAGCTTCAAGGGGGGGGGGAGTGCTCTCTCTCTCTTTTTTAATCAGGAAGCTCTTTTTCTCAGCCACCAGACTAACCATCTGGATGGTTTGCATTTTTAAAGTGCTTTGAGAGCAACACTTGGAAGTCACAATACACAAGCATCAAGGAGTATCAGAACTATCGTAAGACCAAGTCTCGGCTAATGTCTCAAAGGAAACGCTGCTAAGTTGCCTGACAATGAGGAGTCCTGGTGAGCTGCTGCTTCCCTTTTATGATGAATTACTTAAAAGGCTGTACAAAGGAATAGTCACAGAAGACCATCTCATATCATTAGCCACTGACATTGGTATCTTGCTGCAAAGATCTCATTTCCTGAATCAGTCATTCTAAGCATATAACCGTTATCTGGAGAGACACAGTCCTACATCCTTTGATACCCATAATGGAAGAAATGACTAATGCTTCAATGGTTTTCAACACAGATAATAAGAATAGAGCTACCTAATAGATTCTGACCACCATATAAGGCCCTTATTACTCCACACAATACCTGACATTAGGATCCAAATGTTATATATGCTTATTACAGGCTGGCTGTTTGGGCCAGAATTTGGGATGAAACTTGGACTTCTATTAAATTTGTCTCATTTCACCTGTTAAGGGGCAGGATCCTTTCCTGTGAGCAAAGCACTGATAGCTCACAATGACATCCTCAAAGGGTTTTCATTATTCTAAAGCGTAAGAAACTTTATTTCAGGGATTCATCTGACAAAGGGAAGGTAAGCAAGCAACTTTCATAATAATGAAAAAAACTAGGAAGCTGGGAAGGTATTATTATAATTTGTTTCCCGTCCTTCACCTTATGATTCCAGGGTGTGTTATAACAATTAAAACATAACATTAACATTAAAATGCAATATTGGGTAAAGGTAAAGGTAAAGGGACCCCTGACCATAAGGTCCAGTCGTGGCCGACTCTGGGGTTGCGGCGCTCATCTCGCTTTATTGGCCAAGGGAGCCAGCGTACAGCTTCCGGGTCATGTGGCCAGCATGACTAAGCCGCTTCTGGCAAACCAGAGCAGCGCACGGAAACGCTGTTTACCTTCCCACCGGAGCTGTACCTATTTATCTATTTGCACTCTGACGTGCTTTCGAACTGCTAGGTTCGCAGGAGCTGGGACCGAGCAACAAGAGCTCACCCCGTCGCGGGGATTCGAACCGCTGACCTTCTGATCGGCAAGTCCTAGGCTCTGTGGTTTAACCCACAGCGCCACCCGCATCCCTAAAATGCAATATTACACAATACGAAACACAGTCTAAAACAACTTAAAATTGCAAAACTAAGGTGGGTCTTAAAAAATATACACCTCAAGAGCCAAAAGTGTGTGAACAGGTGCATTTTCAGGTACTGCAAGAGACACCAACTTCAGACACTAACAGACCACACCTACCTACCTATCTTCCTTTCTCTCTCTCTCTTTCTGTAGAACCCCTGCTAAGGATTGTACAAGATTCTATGCAGCTGCACTACTAACCATTATCTTAGCACTCACAGTAAGCAGAGCTACTAGATTCACACATGGATACATTGGTAATACACCAGGATTTGCAGACATTACCGTAACATCAAATCACCAGACTCAACATCCAGAAGGACTAACTTACATTGCTGGTTTGGAGAGAAGTGTAAATCCTCCCATCACCAGAAAGTTTGTCAAGGAAGTGCAGTACCTAAATCAGAGACATTGATGAAGAAAAGTGAGAAAGCCTAGGCATTTCAAATGGAAATCAGCCTGATGAATTTGCTGGATGAAGAACCTAAGGAGCGAGTGTGAACAACCTCTTTTTGACTAATGAAAAACTTACATCACCACCCTACAGTCTCACATTGTGTTTGCAGAATGATCTTTCTCTGCAGAATAGTTGCTTCAATAACCATTAACACCTTGTCCGCACTGCAGCTTCCTCCCACACTAGTATTGCCACACACACCACAAAAAATGGGTGAAAATCTATTATAGGAAGACTCACAATGTGGGACTACAAGGGTAACACAAGAACACACAATGTGCCCCCTTTGAAATAATGGTGTTAGCTTATAGGATGCAGCCTTCGAAGAACTTTTTGCACAATGCCCATTTCAACAGGGCTTGCACAGTGAGCATCTGCCACAATGCATCAAAATGAACAGCAATTTCACACCACGAGTTTTGGTGGACTTCACCTTAAAGATTAAATGACTGGCAGCTTTAGCATTCCATTATATCCACAATAGTACATCAATGATGCCTGGGCATTTCAAATGCCCAATCGTTCCATTTCAGTGTCAACTCAGTCACAAATGTGGCTGTGTGACTTTTCTCTTGAAATTTTACATGAGGGAGAATTCAAGGAGGCTTGCAGTCTGAAGCGGTACAGTCCAGAACAAACACTTGCCAACTTTACTGAATGCGTAAAGTTCAGCCCTACAGTACAAGTCAATATTTCAGGTGATAGCAAGTGTGCTGTTTCAAGTCTTTCTTTCTTTGTTTCATCTTAGTTTTTCCTTGTAACGCGTTGTGCCTGAAACAATAAATCTCCAGAGAATAAAAATGAGATACTTGCTCAGTGTAACTTTCCAAAAAGAGGCTTGAATGCTTCAAGACAGCCAAGTTCTTTGCCTCTTTTGACCCTTGAATAAAGCTTGTCAAAGAGGCTCCATGCTGACCGATTAGGTAACACAGCTTGCTGAACGTACTAGCCATTTCCTGCAACAGCTGCACTGTCGATGAAGCACCTAAATTATCTGCAAAGGAGATGAGCAAACAATATGCAGTGAGCTATTTGAGGCCGGGGTGTGCACTAAGGAGTGGAAACTTTTGTTAGTTCAACACATCATGAACAAGAATTAATCCAGGCTATCAAAACATGCAGTCATTTTAAAGGAGATGCCAACAAATGTCATTAACAATTTTCCCACTCTCCTTGCAAAACAAAACCACACAACTTTCAAGGCTGCAATTCCTAACCCCCTTTACCTGAAATTAAGCCTTACTAAATTCAATAGGACTTGCTTCTGAGCAGACATGGTTAGGACTGTGCTGTTGTCAATTAGGATTAGAATTACAGGCAGCGACAATTTTGTGCACGACCAGCTGACGCATGGCCGTCGATGCATGGGTACTTTTGGACCTGGAAGAGGTCAGACCGGGGTGTAATGGGGCATAGAAGGCTTGTGCATGCTCTGCCAACGCGAATGGGGAACAGAATCCCTGCACAAAATGGTGACCACCAGTACTGATAATCATTGCACTACTTGTACAAGGCTCAACATCAAGCAGCCACAACATTGTGTCCAGTCTTCCCTCTAAGTTGGCCAAATGTTGGTCTGACATTAGGCAAGTTTTTTCCACTATGGAATCATGGGTTTATGAATGTGTAATAGAGAGATCTATTACAGTTCTGAGTAATGCATCCAGTGTACTATGTCCACGTTGTTCCATTTCTTCTCTAATGTTATTACAGGATATTTCTGACATAAGATCCATTTTGCTGAAATGGACATTGTATTCTCCATATATTCAAAGTTATCTGACCATAAAAGGACTACTTGTGGAAATTAACCTCCCCCACCCCATTATACGAGCATTTACGCAGCTTAATGTTCAAACTACACCCACCAAATATGTGACTTGAATTTTTTTTAAAGAAGCCAACAAACGATTGCCTTTGTAAATGTGGATCAGACCAGATCAAAGACATTGTGCATTGTATCATGTTTTAAATCTTGCGCAAGCTTGCTAGGGCAGGTGTGCTCAGCTGGTGGATGAGTGAATGCCCATTATTCAACTTGCTTAGGAATAGATTCCTCTATTCATTTCAGAATTTTCTAGAAGGCCAATTGGATGATGTCAAAATTAGAGGCAGACAAGCCTGGCCTGAGGCAAGGGTGGGTGGGCGGCAACGGCAAGATGATGGAAGGCAGTCAAAAGATAGGACTGCTGCTTTATAGATACTATGGCACCTCTAGATGTGAACGGGATCCGTTCCTGAGCCCTGTTCGCACCTAGAAGCAAACGTAACCCGTGTCTGCGCATGCCACGTTTCAGCGCTTCTGCGCATGATGTCATTTTGAGTGTCTGCGCATGCACAAACAGCGAAACCCGGAAGTACAGTGGTACCTCAGGTTACATAAGCTTCAGTTTACAGACTCCGCTAACCCAGAAATAGTGCTTCAGGTTAAGAACTCTGCTTCAGGATGAGAACAGAAATTGTGCTCCAGTGGCGCGGCGGCAGCAGGAGGCCCTATTAGCTAAAGTGGTGCTTCAAGTTAAGAACAGTTTCAGATTAAGTACGGACCTCCAGAATGAATTAAGTACTTAACCTGAGGTACCACTGTAACTCGCTCCATTACTTCCGGGTTGCCGCGGAGCGCAAGTCGAACCTGCTCATCCCAAAGCACATTCAACCCGAGGTATGACTGTACAGTCAGGGCTGCCGGCTGAGGCTCACCTGGAAGGGGGCTTGTGGTGTATTAAGTATTAAAAGAGCAGTGCTATGTCTTGAGAAACAGCAGGAGATTCATTTTAGCACAAAGACAGCTTGCAGTGTTTTCCTTATCTGAACCTCTCAGCAAAACATCATGCATATGGGCAGAGAGGGGAGAGATATCTGATTACAGAGGTTTGGGTGCATAATGAAGCAGAAGACAAGATTATGGCAGGTACTGCCTTCCAGGAACATACAAACATCAAGAGGTTGTGTTTCTAAAGAAGTCACAATCAGAAAAGCGATGCTGTGGATAGACTGCTTACCTAATCCCAAGAGGGGTCTGAGAACTTGAGATTTTATAGCACTCAGTTTGGAATAGAACTGTCTCTCCATCGAAGCCAACTCATGCAGACTTGCAATGTAGCCCATAATGTTTTTGTCCACTAAAGCCAAACAGTTATTCCCACCAGCCATCACACTGCTAATGTACCCTAGCTGGAGGGAAGACAGACTGTATTAAAAATCCCCTAGATAAGGGGTTTACAAATAACCATGACTTAATATAGAAATCAAGCTCTTCTGTGTTACACACCTTACACAATGGAACACTCACAAAATGCAGATAGGTTTCATTAACATGGGATATGTATACATTCTGCTGTCTAATCGGAAACCTTGTTGTATAGCCAGAAATCAAGATATAAAAATATAACAGTCAAATGACTTATTAGATTGGCCCAATTCATAAAAAATGCTTTATCAGTCCAAGAACAAGCTGATGTCTCTGCCTAAACACTCTTCCCCCACCCCTGCAACACATACTCAGTTTGGGCACCAATATCCTGACTCGTTATACCACAGTTTCCTGTGATATCCAGTGTGATCACATCAGCTCCTTCAAATTGCTGCCCTCCTTTTCTTATTGCATGCTTGAAGCAGCCTCCTAGAACACCTTTATGAAGTCTCCTCTTTTACTGTACTATAACATGAAGGTAAAGGTAAAGGTAAAGGGACCCCTGACCATTAGGTCCAGTCGTGGCCGACTCTGGGGTTGCGGTGCTCATCTCGCTTTATTGGCCGAGGGAGCCAGCATACAGCTTCTGGGTCATGTGGCCAGCATGACTAAGCCACTTCTGGCGAACCAGAGCAGCGCACAGAAACGGCGTTTACTTTCCTGCTGGAGCGGTACCTATTTATCTACTTGCACTTTTGATGTGCTTTCGAACTACTAGGTTGGCAGGAGCAGGGACCGAACAACGGGAGCTCACCCCGTTGCAGGGATTGAACCGCCAACCTTCTGATTGGCAAGTCCTAGGCTCTGTGGTTTAACCCACAGCGCTACCCGCATCCCTGTACTATAACATAGCCTGTAACTAAGCCTAAAACTTGACTAGTGATGGACAACACCTGTTCCTCAGCATCATGTTATCCCAGCTAATTTCAAAGTTTGCCATGCCATGGTCTCACTGACAAGACCAGGAGTTCAGCAAAAGTCCACAGACTTCATCACCTTTCTTTTTTAATTTTAAAACCCCCATACCTATTAAAAGGAACAGGAAGGCCAGTAGCAGCACCCCAGGTGCAAGGAACTATGGAAAATGCAATTTCCATAATTTGTTGTGCCTGGCATATTGCTGCAGCAGGGTTGAGGGGCTAACAAGAGCCCCTTCTCAAGGCCTTCCTGCTGCTGTAAGGTTGGTTTAAGCAGGAGAGAGAAGGGAGCAGAGAGGACTTTTGCAGGAGAATTTGAATTTTTGGGGGGAAAGGGGCTTGGGCTCACTGGGGAGATGAGCGCCAGCTTACACTTTTCCAAACCCTACCATTCTGCATCTTGGCACTATCATGGCACTGCCAGGCCCTAAAGTTTTCTAGGACACAGAACTTAATTCATACCTTACTACAATTTAGTAACAGTGTTGAATTTTTAAAGCAGCTATTTTCAGATGAAACATCACTCTCTTTCTTTTCTTCTCGACCACTATAGTATAACAAAGGTTGAAACTCTTCTCCATCTACTAGGAATAATGAATAATCTGGACCAGCTGCTATGCTCCAGATGCTTTTGTCATCGCACACCTAGAAGCAAGTAAAATAAATAAATAGACATAATAATAAAAAAGGGAAATCCTTGTTGACAATCGAGAATGGGCTTCTAAGGGGCTTTCATCAAAGGACTTTAGTGTTTTACATGCGGAAATTTGACACCTGCTTAAAGCAGCAGGGGCAGGTTTCAATCAATTAAGATGCTCTTGGCTGTGCCAGAATTTGGGAATAATTTAAAATGTAACCCTGTACAGTTTCAATAGTTAAGTGCTATGAAATGGGATTTTAACAGCCTGTATGATTTCAGTTTTCAGGCTTATTTTGCCTATATCCAGCCTTCCAACATTTTCCCCGGTCATGGTGAGTGCACCACCATCGTCTGATAAGCATGATGATGGAATTCCAGCCTTCTTCCCAACTTTGGGAGCTCCAAAGGTGTCTGGAGATCATCACCTCAGTTGCACAGACTTTTTGAGGCTCTCAGAAGCTCAGAGCAACTATGGGGATGATCCATAGTTTTGGGTAGGAGGAAATCTGGGGGTTATTTGGCTGCTGCGAAGGTATAGGGTCAAAACCACAAAAGCTTCTCCTTTCTGGCTCAGGGATTAGAAAGAGTGGTAAAGACTTGTTTGGCTGCTGCGTTTCTCAGACACGCAAATACCTGGCAAATGCTGAACCCAAACAAACCCCAGCCTTTCTTTTTTAGAGCTTAAGAGGGCTGGGGCTTATTTTTAGTGCTGTGCTTCAAGTCCCAGCTTGTTTCAAAACCAAAGCTGCAGCGGGAGGGCAAGGATCATCCCCACATTTGCCTTGCACTTCCAAGGCCCTCTGAACTGCAATGCAACTGCAGGGTCATTTCAAACTCACTATAGCTGCAAGCTGGCAGAAGCTGTAGGGAAGATTCTGCACCTTCTTCTGCTCAGCTTGCTGCTTGAAGTTGGGGGTTGTTCCCGATTTGCACTGTTTGGGAGCAGGGAAAACCACAATCCCTATCAAGAGAAACACAGGGTCCTAGAGCCTACAATTTTTTCTGTCCACAAAGATGAGCCAACCTCCCTACCAATATACACGATGCAAAGAGGAATAACTGCTAGTTAAGATTGAAGTCCACATAAATAACCACAAATGTCACAAATAGTACTGATTTTTTATATATAAAAAAGACACATATAGTACCTTTGCAAGGCGAGGGACTGTGGTTGGAGAACTTAAGTGACTAAGCTGCCCAAAGGTATTGCTGCCCCATGAATATACCTGTGTAAAAAGATCAAGGGGAAGGGGTGGTGGGAAAGGATAGTCATTTTCAAATAATTAAGATTACAGTATGTTAGGAGACTACAGTATTATATGAATTAACAGAAGTCCATCCAGATATTATTTCCTACCTTTTGCAGAAGCAAACCTCCTTTTAGGAGCAGGATAGTAAATGCATGAAGCTGTACAGTTCAGCACCCTATAGATCAGAGGCCAGTTCATTTTAAGTACCGTATTTTTCGCCCCATAGGGCACCCGGCCCCATAGGGCGCACCTAGGTTTTTTTGGGGGGGGAAATAAAGAAAAAAAAATTATTTCCCCCCCAGGTGCGGGGCTGGCGCGGGGGAAGCCCGAGCTTACCCCGACCCCAGCCCCCAGAACAGCCTGCTATCCGCAAGCCTAGGGAGCCTGGCGGGAAGTCGCGCCGGGCTCCCTAGGGTTGCGCAGAGCTGCGAGAAGCCCGGGACTGCAGGCAGCTCTGTGCAACACTTGGGAGACTGGCACGAAGTCGCGCCGGTCTCCCAAGGGTTGCGCAGAGCTTCCTGAAGCCTGGAGAGCGAGAGGGGTCGGTGCGCACCGACCCCTCTCGCTCTCCAGGCTTCAGCGAAAGCCTGCATTCGCCCCATAGGACGCACACACATTTCCCCTTCATTTTTGGAGGGGAAAAAGTGTGTCCTATAGGGCGAAAAATACGGTACCTATTGCCCACAGGAGCCATGGACAGAATGTCCTTCCCTCACCATCCAATACTGTAACCTCAACCAGTGCTTCACAGTGGCAGGACTGAGTTCTGGAGCCCCCATTTTTGGAAGAAGAAGAAGAAGAAAGGACACTAAAACTGTCTGGCTTGGTTCAGATGCAATAGGAAACCATTAGCTTCTCATTAATAAACATGTGCAAACCTCAGCAAGTTGTGGGCTCATCTTTCCACTTTTGATTTTGACCCAAAGCTTCCACTTTTGATTTTGATTTTAAAGCAAACCACGGTCACATCAGGGCTGAGAAACCTGAACCTTCCAGATGCTATTGAACTCGCAACTTCCAAGCCAGCATGGCTAACGGACAGGGATTGGGGACACTGCAGCATCTGGTGGGTCACAAGTTTCCCATCCCTGGTTTAAACCTCTAGTTAGCGGGAGCAAAGTAGGATCAGATTCCTTAGTCTCTCCCGCCAGATATATTGCACATGTTTGACTTTCTGTCTCCATCTCTTCCCACTCTGCCCTTCATTATTATAGGTGTTGGGGGAAATTCTTGTTCATGTCCAGCCTCTCTCTTATTATCCCCTTTCTCCCTCTCCTTCTCTTCCTCCCCCTCCTTTAAACTACTGCCACTCTATTTCCTGGCATTTCTGCCACTGTTCCTTATCTGCCAGTCATTTCCAAGTTCCTTGCTGCTGCGCATTCATACAGGGGAAGAATTATACCAGCGCTGATCCCAAAAAACATTGAGGCATGAGGACAAGCCAGAACAAATGTCATCTGGTAGTTCATATCTTATACACAATTCACTAGCTAGTTACCTCTGCTTTTGAAGAGGTGTACACCAATCTTTTTCTACATTTCAGGAGAAGTATTGAAATAGATGTGCATGCTTTTTTAAAAAAGTTTAAGCTCAGATGCACACATTCATACAAAATATATACACCTATGTAAAAAGGCCCCGAAGTCCATTATGCGTGCTGCTCAAGTTTCTTTTTCCGAAAAGTGAAATGAGAGTTTGACCCAGGAAAAACAAGCAGATCCCACTATAACCCCTTGGAAAAGAAGCAAACAGTATTTCACCCTCATACCTGCGATTTGGCAGTGAGTGCCAAGGAATGGTGGCCACCAGCAGACAAATGAATTACTTCCTTCCCATCAAGACTTTTTACACAAAGTGGCTGGAGCCTATGAACCCACAAAACAGAATCAGGACCCACAAGGTAAGCACACAGGAAATCTACACACAACAAATGATATATTCCATAGGCTTAATAAGGAGAAATATTTCAATGCATCTAACGTATTGGTAGCATTATAGATGAAAATATCAAGCAAATCTTGATCCCAAGTTATTGTTTGTCATCTAATGATTGCAGAGGGTTGGACTAGATGGCCCCATGGGGTCCCTTCCAGCTCTATGATTCTATGATATAATGAAGCATTCAACAGAACATAGTCAAACAGCTATAGAAGATCAACCCCAAATATCACTGCCTATTGGCATGGAGCAGATTTCCTCAGTGAAACCTTACCTTGGCAGGGTATCACCATGTCCTAGCTGCCCTTCTTTTCCTTTACCCCAGCTCCACACCTCTGTTCGCAGAGATGGGAGAAGGGCGTCAGCTTCACCACTGTAGGTTGGTGTGAGGGCCACGGTCCTCATCTTGGCTCGTCCAACTTTCCTCAAGAGCCTTGGAGAAACTTTTAACACGGGAAACAAAAAGTGTACAGACACTAAAATAAAATATTTCAGTCAAACAAAGAGGGCTGATTCACAAAGTCATTTGGGAACATCAGGATGTTATGAAGATCTTGACTAAGCAATATGCAACAAGTATGGCTTGGTCAAACAGTGTTGTTTCATTTTAAACTGAAAAGGCAATATGTCACCTTGCAGTACCTTCAAGTTGTCACCCTGTCAATCCAGGTCAACAAATCCAAAATAAACTCCAAGATTAACACAGACACATACACTTAAGGGCAACTCACACCTGTAGCTCAGAGCGCACGGGGTAGTTAATTTGAATGAGATCTGTCATTTTGTTCTCAGAGAATGGAATGTGATTGTGAGGATAGAAGATGCACCATACTTCCTAAGTGCCACATAAGGAGGAGGAAACTGCAGCTTAACAACAATCTAGTCTTCTACAAATTTCAGGGAAGATGACGGCTGGTCATTTTCCATGGTAGTTAGCTCTGTGTCTGAAAAAGAATTCTAACCTAGATAATCCCTTAAGGCAGGGTTTCTCAAACCCGGGTCTCCAGCTGTTTTTGGACTACAATTCTCATCATCCCTGACCACTGGATGATGGGAGTTCTAGTCCAACAGCAGCTGGAGCCAAGTATGAGAAACCTTGCCTTAGGTTATCCTAGGTTTGAAATGCCACTCCTCGTTTGCAGAAACAGAATTCAGAGACAAGCGTCAGGGCAGTAGTGTATTATTAGACCTCTTGTTTACCTACTACATGCTTAAGACTAAAGGGAAACATTAAGGAACGTTGCAAACACAGGAGACTGCATCAATACTTTTACAGCAACCTCTGCTTTACATAAAAACTTGCTTTAGGTAGGAAAGGGATAATGTTAAGTAGCTTTCTTCCTTCCTCTTTCACTTCCGGCACAAGATGGATTACCAAATTGATTGTCAACCTGCCTTAGCAATTCATAACGCAAGGCTTGGGTAAATATTTTAAAGCACTCTGCAAATTAAAAGTGCTGCATAAATGAATAATCGTGTGCAGAATACAAGAGGGCAGTTCCTGGCCCCCTGCCCTTAGACTGCACTTGTCCCAAGAGTTCCTTAAGTTAGGAAGCTCCACTTTAGGGGTGCAAGTGAAAAAAACTCTTACTGTTAAGGCAACTGCTGATCTAAAAAATTCATGCACTGCTGTTATTAGTGCACCACATTTTTGAGATCAACAGTTGTCTTAGCAGTGGCAGTATTTGCACTTGCAGCCCCTAAAGAGGAGCTTTTGTGATTTTTCTACAGCTATATGAAAGATGTCCAGGTTGCAGCAGTTGGTGTTTTGTGTGTGTTTATGTATCTTTTGGAGCTCAACGTGGTGATTAGACCTATTGCAGGGGATGGATGAGTTGTTTATATGATTTTATTACCTTGCATTGTGCTTTGCTTTTAATTATTTTGGCTTTTACATACTGCACTGTGTATTTTACTATATTTGTGAACCGCTTTGAGGTGCTTGTGTAAAAATGAGTAACAAGCTTAATAAACAAGAACAAAGTAACACTATGCATTTTTTTAAAAATGATGGACAATCAATGTAAGGAAAAATATGTGTGCCCTGTCACACACAGAAATTACACATCAAGAAAGAACCAAAATCCCCAAGATGTACAACGCTGCAACCACCTGTGAGCATCTCACCTTGGGAGAGCAAACCAGGTAAGGAAAGCCTTCGACAGACTCCTTCGGATTCCTCTTCTCGAATATCCACCAAGCTGGAACTCTTCTTTCCCTGCATTGACTCCTGCCTGACCTGCTCCTCTCGGCTGTCCTTCACCCCATCCAGGCTTGGAGACCCAGCGCTAGGTGGGGATACTGTGTCACCTGGAACTGTGCCATAGAAGTTCATTACCTTCTTCAGGGACAAGGCCCCAGCTTCACACGTAGCAGCAACTCTTACGCCAACTGCTGATGCACAAGAAACTACCAGGCTGTTAAGGGCAGATGTGCCCGGACCTGGTGGACTGGGTAGGCAAGCAGTGAGGTCCTCTTCTTGAGAGTGCTGGAAATACAGTAACAGAAACCCCATAAAATCTAATTAGAACAAGCAAACCCAGAGTAAGGAAGCTTTAAAATAAGATCACAACCTCTACTCCTCTGCTTGATTACCATCCAAACCTGGTTTGCATGACCAGGTAAACCAAACTATGGCTTACAGGGACTGTACAAACATGAGGGCTCTTGGGAAGTAGTTTGCTTCGCTCCTCCCTGGTTCTTTTTGGTCCCACACTGAAAGGAGCTAAGACAAGGTTTTGGCCAAAAGGCTACAGCTCATAGTGAGGAGGGACTTGGGTTCAGTGTGGGAGCAAGTAGAACCAGGAAGAGCAAAATGCAAGCAAGCTCCTTTCTAAGAGCTTGCATGTTCGCGCAGTTCCAGTAAGTCTTTTTTTGGCTGACTGTGCAATGCAAACCAGGCCAAAATCATATTGAGCATGTGTACTTTTCATAATTTTATTCAAGCCTGAATTGAGGATTGGTTATTCGACTTACATTGTTTATAACACTACATATTTGGTTAGAGTAAAGGTCTGTTCGCTGGAGATATGGTCGCCCCCCACATTAAATTTTTTGACCTCAGTTTAAGACAGCTTTTCCTTCAGGCCTATGGAAGTGATCAGCTGAAAGAATCTGTTTCTCTGCTGCTGAATTAGTGCTTTGGGGTGTCTAATGGTTTTATTTTATATTTTTTATGAAATGCTGTGCACCACACTGAAAGCCTTGTGGCTGAAGGGCAGGTTATAAATATAATAAATGCAATTATATTAGAAAGCCAGCTATTGCAGTCACTAGCTTATTTAAAACATTAATAACAACAATAATGAAGTGAGTTAGCCAAGGATCAATACTTCAAGGGCTGTACAAGATTCAGACCCAGGTTAGAAGAAAATATGGCATAAGTTTAATTAGGAAAAAACAACAACTGTGAAATTATGTCTCTGAATTCGTTTCAGAGCAATTGTGCAATTGTGAAGCATTCTTCCACACTCTCCAAAGAGTAGCATTACTTTTGTATGCAGTTCTTCACTCACTGCAGGGCTCCTATTTCTCAGTACTCACACACTATGCTTGTTTACCTCATTTGTTTTGGACAGTGTGTGTGTTAATATGACGTGTTAGGAGTCTAAGGATGCTGTATCTTATGTTTCAAGGGAGACTAGGTCAGAAAACAACTAGGTTTCCTAACAACTGGGTTAGGAAATATATCTTCCAAGGATATTCTAGATAAAGTGGGTTATTTCCTCATAACTAATCTGAGACAGGGGGAAAGGCCATCTAATGCTTATTTTCATGAGATTGCACTCCCTGATAGCTCCCCATTTAAAAGTCTTGGGCTGCTTGTAGGAATGTAGTTTTAGAGCTTTCTCTAGAACGGGGCTGCCTAAAGATCTTTTGCTGCCTGAGGCAGAGCAGTAAACATCCCCTCTCCCTAAGTCAAGGTGTGCAGCATCCAAGATCAAGTAAGCTATTCTGGCACCCAAGGCAAAAAGTCTCAGAAGCACTCCTCCGCCCCTTTGGCATTAAAAATACAATGATGCATTAACTAAGATTTGGCTGTCCCTTCCATTGCTCTATCAATCAGCTGCCTGAGGCAGCCACTTCACTATGCCTAATGGTAGGGTCAGCCCAGTTCCAGGAGTATATACTACACGTAGAAGGTAACCATGGCTGGACTATGACTGGGCTTAGCTTGGGATTTTGAGAGGTTTTTCAAGGCTTGGCACTCAGGCCAAGCCTGACATGGACACATGTACATCCTATCCTGAAAGATTTTTCCTTTTTCTAATAGAGAAATGTTTTAGATGTGTTTTCAAGGTTTTTAGATACAGCTGGTGTGTGGAACCTTTGGCCCTCCAGATGTTGCTGAACTCCAACTCCCATCAGCCCCAGAAAACCTGACCCATGGCCAGGGAATGATGGGAGTTGTAGTCCAGCAACATCTGGAGGGCCAAAGGCTCCCTACATCTAGGTTACAGGATAAAAATCACAAACAATTTCTGGTGGTTGATTCAAGTGATTATAAAAGTAGTCCTGCTTAAACAAAACAACAACCACTCAACAATTTCTGAAGTACACGTGTGCAATTCCAACCCCCCACCCCACCCAGAAGAAAGTGCTAAGGAACACTGAGCTCTAAATTCTCAGCTGGATGCCAAAGCTGAAAAACAAGAACTGCTGGGAACTAAACTTCAGTGCCCTTTATATGTAGTCAACTGCACATGTGCAGCCCTGACCGGAAAAAGCTCTCAACTGCACACAGAACAGCAGTTCAAGACTCTGTAGTATGAACTGAAAAAGGGGTAAATGCCTTGTTCACAAAGCAGGGCTGTTTTGACCATAGTCACAGGAAAAGTCAGCATAATTTTATTTGTTACAGCCAAACGGGAAATATTTAGACACAGACTGCTTGGACAGTGATCTTTTCATTACAGAAAAATCAAGATTGGCACGCCACCTAACACTGCAGCACAAAAGTATCCAGAATACAAAAAAAAAACTAGTTTTGAGCATTACTACTGAACTCCTGGGTTTTTGTTGATTATCAAGAAAGGAAACAACCAGACATCATCTTAACCTCCCATGATACAGAGTAGCAACCAAATGACACAGGCCAATTTAGATGAGGAATCGATTCTGCTTCTCCCACTTTTGGCACTAAATGAACTCCTGGTGATTCCACTACCCTTACGAGAGTGGAAGAGAACTTTCTGTGGAAGCTGCTAAATGGGGGAATTGCCTCCCCACAGAGGTGCAGCTTCATGGTACTGCTTAAACAGTGGACTGAAGATGCACAGTATCTTTATGGTGCTGCTTACACAGTGGACTTTATTGTGAGACTAACCTCCTTTGTTAAATTTATACAATTATTTCCATTTGGAATGACTTTACTTGTTTTATTATAGTAAAGGTTGCATCTGTTTTTATAATTGTATATGAAATTGTTGTAACCGGCACTGGGACCTTATGGTAAAGAAGTAAGAACTCTTGTAAACAAATACACCTTAATGCTTACAGAACAGGCAATTACTTCCCATTAGTAGGAATCCTGTAAATATTACAAAATGTCCTGTAAAGATTATACAGTGGTACCTCTGGTTATGAACATAATTCGTTCCAGAGGTCCGTTCTTAACATGAAACCATTCTTAACCTAAGGTGCGCTTTCGCTAATGGGGCCTTCCGCTGCGCACGACTTCCGCTCGCATCCCAGGGCAAAGTTCGCTTCCAGGAGACCTACTTCCAGGTTAGCGGAGCTCGTTACCTGAAGCGTTCGCAAGGAGGACGGTACGTAACCAGAGGTATTACTGAAAAATGCTGAATAAATGTGCAGCATATATAGATCTTCTTTGATACTGGGCAGTTTCTTTAATAAAAAGACATGGGGGAAGTGTCTACAACAAATGCTTCTTTGGTATAAACTATCCACAGAACAGAAGTTGCCCGACACTGAAAACAATGCTAATATACAAAGAATGAATTAAATCTTTGCTTCACATCCACAGAACAATCTGTCTCTCTTGGTAGACACAAAGCATGTGTTAAGCATATGCAAGATTCACTGCTTAGTCTTGCATAGAGTTCAGCAGCATTCAAAATACAAAGCAAGAGAAAAGAAACTACAGTATGTTTCACAGTCTATGTTTAATTTATAACATGAAGCCATTTCCCCTTAGAGGTGAGGGAAAGGCACTCCCCATTTCCCCAGAATTCAGTCACAGTACTGAGAACAGGTTCTGCCATTAAACCTCTGTAAAGCCCACGTTAAGTTGTGGGGAACTTTGTCCTTTATTTTCCTGCTTTACACCAAACAACCAGAGTTAAAAATTCCGCACAAATCTATAGAACACATCCATAACGCTAACTGCTGTCAATCAGATCATAATAAAAGAACCAATACCAAACGCTGCATGAATCTCCCTTGTCTACTAAGATGTTTCTGGGAGACCCCTCTCCAAGTCTGCCTCTGGAAGTGAGTTTGATGAAAACAAATAACAGGGTCTTCTCAGTTGTGGCACCTTGACTCTGGAATGCACTTACCCAAAAGGCTCATTTGACACCAAGTCTACATTTTGAGTGCCAGGTGAAGGACCTTTTGATTTAATAAACAAAACAATAATCCCCAAACCCCACACAGTTTAAAAGGCCATATATTGTTTAATTTGTCAAAAGCCTGGGAGAAGAGGAATTTATTTTTCTGCTACTCTTGCTTTTCTTTTGTATTTTTTCTACTGTTTAAATTGTGCGGGCTTTTGACCGCAGCTTAAGGGGAAGATGGAAGCTATGCCTCCTTCAGAATCATAGCTCCCATTTAAAGTCACATTCTCAAGAATCATCAGAACTTTGCAGGACAGCATGATCATACAGCAATGAAAGCACAGCCTAGTGACTGTGGGTACCTGCTCAGGTTGCTGATCCATAGGCTTCTCATTTAACGGATGATCCGGAAGACTTGCCAAGTGCTGCTTTGTTGTCACCTTGTCCATTATCAAGAGATTTCCTGGACTAGAAATGCCACTGTCTTCCTGGGCATCGCTGTTTGAAAACACACTTGCTGCATCATACTCTGCGGCAGCGAGTGCCTGGTCTTCTGTAAGCGTTTTCTGACAATCGTCACCTTGACTGCTTGTTATACTCTTCCTCTCTAGAGTTTCTAGCGAGGAGCAAGAGATGTGGCATTCCGAGTGGGAGTTAGCTAGAACCACCCCTAATGGACAGCAATGGCTATCAGAGATAATGACATGGTCTTCTTTGTCGGTCATGGTGATCAGGAGTTGGCTGCAGTGATTGCATCTCTCTGGAATAGGCTTTATGTCTTGAGTAGGGAGACACTGCACAAGAGCCAGGCTGTGAGAGGCTCCGCATGCAATCTGAAGCACAACGCGGCCTGCCAGGTACTCGACCTTCTGTGGTTTGGTAACTGGGAAAGTGTTGGTTATGAGCCCCAGCTGACAGCCACTTCCCCATGCCCATATCTCCCTGCTTAGGGAGAGCGCCAGGGTGTGCTCCTCTCCACATGCCAGCTGCAAAATCCGTATTGGCAAGGGATGGCTAGCTTCAGAGTCAGAAATACTGATGGGTTTGGGTTCCGGCACAAAGGCCTGGTTGGCCACTGCACACTGGCCGGCAGAATTTCCACCCCACATGTACACGTCGCCACCTTCAGTCACTGCTCCACAATGGAAGCTGCCAGCTGCCACTGTAACAACATGTTGTCCATTCAAAGCCTTTTCCAAGATGGGACAGCTGATATAAGCATCTTCCAACTCAACCCTCCAGGGAAGCTTTCCAAAACTGTAAACCTCACCATCTGAAACAAATACACACACACACTGAAAATACAGTACAATTACTAGGCTATTACTAGGCTAGTTTTCATTGGTTCTAAAGGCAAATTTACAGAGAAATCTGCCCACGAAGCAAGGTCCTACATATGAAAGAATTCATCTAGGACAAAAATCTTGAATAAAATTTTTAAGAGTTTTGACATCATCTTTCTTCACAAGAACATGCATGGCTCAGTTCTTGCCTTTCTTTGGCTATACCAAATTCATTAAGAAGAGGTACAAAGGTATAATCCAAATGTGCAATTATAAATACATTTTTTTAAATACTGAAAACCACCGCGTTTCCATCCTCATAAAATGCAATTGTGGAAAATCAATAACTCTGAAATTTCATTTTACAAAAACTATTATTATCTTAAATATTAAATAATGCTCTTCGGACAATACCTTCTGAGAGAAGCACACCATGGTTTATGCCAACTGCTGCCTGCAACACTATCTTTCCACTCCAACCTGGAAGTCTTTCAGGATCTGGACAACAGCAACCAGCCTGCCACGTATAGACCAGGCCTCTCTCTCGCGCTCCCTCTTGGTCTGCTGAACTATGTGGCAAAATAAATAAAATGCTGATAATGTAAGATTAATTTAAAGTCTACACAAGTTTAATTCAGAGGAAATTGTTTTGCACATATGCATGATACATCAGCTGCCCTTATTCTCAGAATGCAGGTTTTATCCATATGTAATATCAAGGAGGGCAACTCATTGTTAAATACCAAACACCAGTAGAAGGAAATCTTAAGTGCATGTTTGCACACCCTCAATATCGGTCTGCGTAAGTTTAAAGCATGCCTATTCTCAGTATCCCTTGTACAGATAAGACAGGGAAGCACTGCAGTGCGAATTATATGATAGTGACTGGACAATGACCAGGGAGACATAGGTTCAAACTCCCACTCAACCATTAAGCTCAATGGATGGCTTTGGGCCAGTATCTCTGTCTGTCTGTTCACTACTGGGAACAATTAGAAGCAAACTTTTATACTTTAAAATGCTGTGAACCAAAAATGGCTATTTGTTCTCCTTTTTACCTATCCTCTGGTTCCAAGGAAGAGTCAGAGTTTAAATAGGTGTGCTGGAATACCATCAATTATTATTTCCTTAGCTTAATATGTTATACAGGTTTAAAAGCATATTAAATCAGATTTTTGAGTAAGTTCAGAAATCTTACTAGCCTGCAAAAGGCTTTTACTCTGCCTGCCTATATACAGGTAGCCATTTTTGCCACCTCAACAGTCTGAAATATTCACTTGTTTCCAATTTGTAAGATGCCCCATACCTACTGGACTAAGGGCGATTCTTCCTTGTCACAGATAAGTGGATATCTACAAGCTGGCATCCAACATTCTATTAGTTTGAATTTTTTTGCACCACCTGTCTAGATGTAGCATCAAATACAAATAGGCTTACCTTTCTTCTTTAGGGTCCATCAGTCAGCAAGAACAGGCCATTACCAAATCATTCCTCTTTGAGATCGGAACTGTTAAGACGAAAGCAAAACACACGTTTAGCAGTACATGTGGAAAAGCATTTCCTACATCAGGCATGTCCAAAGTCCGTTTCAGGGGCCTAATCCGGCCCACCGGTCGGTTTAATCTGGACCCTGTGGCAGTTTATTTCCTGGGTTAAAATCATAAAAAAGCTTAACAACTTCAATCCTAAAAAAAGGTTAACCACTTTGGTTGGCCCTCAACTTCATCAAATTTGGCCTTCTTTGAAAAATGTTTGGACACTACTGTCCCACATGGTGCAAGAAAGCACAAAAAAAAAGAGGTCACCTCAGCTTTGAACATCTACAGAAGACTGGAATGCGTAAAAGTTTCTATGCTATGCCATAAAAAAAATAGAAACAAAAGCTCAACAGAATTACTCTGCCCACAGATTTCATGAAAGGCCTTTTCACTGCAAGTTTTTTAAAAGAACGCTCCTTCAAAACAGACCTTTTCAGCTAGCACCACTCTTATGACCAGCTGTTAAAGTGTCCAATTAGGACAGTCATAGCCCTCAGGAAAAAGATGTGATTATTCAACACTTTCTTTCCTTAGGAAAAGCAAGTTTTTAACATACGTTTTCAGTTTCAAGAGCTCTCTTGTATACACAGTTGCAGAACAACATCCATGGCTGCTTCTCACACTTCCATATACAGGACTATACTTACAAAGCTGGAACTGTGCGTGCATTGTACGAACCCCCTCCCCAGCTCCTTGCCATGATAAAAGTAAGAAAACCATACAAGTGTTACCTCTTCCCTCATGATACACATATCCTGCTGCTGTGCAGCCATAAACACATGCCATGGCAAGAAGCAACAGAATTTCCCTATAATTCAGCGTCTCTGTTTCCTTACTTGTGAGAACACTAACATTTAGAAAAATCTGATATGAGAAACAATTCTACTGGATGGTTAAAAACAAAAAAAACTATTTACTAATGATCTCACATTGCCTTGCATGTATACTTTAGCTGCTTAAGTATATATTACCCAAAACAAAGACTCTTGTAGCACCATAAAGACTAACAAATTTAGTATGGCATAAAGCAGGCATGGCCAAACTCGGCCCTCCAGCTGTTTTGGGACTACAGCTCCCATCATCCCTAGCTAACAGGACCAGTGGTCAGGGATGATGGGAATTGTAGTCCCCAAACAGCTGGAGGGCCGAGTTTGGCCATGCCTGGTACAAAGCTTTTGTAGATTAGTCTACTTTATCAAATGCTTGGATTTTAATCCTAAATATTGCTGCTCTGTGTCACTGTAGTGTTTGCACAGTGAGGTCAGCCCAGCCTATTCCCAGTACTTCTATATTCTGCTGCCTCTGGCAAGATACACACTAGTGATCATCATTACGTTTGTGAAGCTGTATTTTAAACCCAATTTTAGTTTTGTTTTGTAAGAGAATGTCTGCTTATTTTCTTTCATGTTGGCTTACTGCTTCGATGATAAAAGAAGTGTTGCACACAGAACCATCACCTGAACATTGAAATTGTGTCATATTCCCCTAAGGCCTTTTTAAAACTTCCAGTACCACATTATAAAAAGAATAAAGACAACAAGCAGGAACCAACTAGCATATCTAATAAGTGCACAGTGCACCAGTTCAATTACTTGTGACTCTCAGGAAAAACTAAAGGATTCTCACAGCAGCTTTACTCCACTCCTCCTAGCTCTCATAGGTGCTTAATCTAGTTCAAGTGCCCGCACTTGCTTCACTTCCTCCCAAGTAGCTAGCTCTGGGCTTCCAATTTCACACACCACTCTTGGGGAAGTTGTGGGAGAATCCAGAAGGAGGCTGCAGAATCATCCAATATTTCCACTTCCTCAAACGGGGTGCCATTCGAGGCTACTAGCACAAGTTTTGTTGGCTCCAGGGGTTCCCACTTGTGTTCATGGCCACCACAAGCTCTTGTTCCTCTCCCACAGAAGAGATTTCCTTGGGACGAATGCCCAGCTGGACTCCTGAAGTACACATTTTAAAAGTTAAGCCCCGCTGAACCCATAGATGAGTAAATTTGATTGATGTTGCATTGACATTGGAGAATGCAAAACCCATGGCGAATGAAAGTAGGCAAACTGCATTCAGGATTAAAGAAACAATTAATGCAATTTTTTAAAAAAGTTATAGAAAATGTAACCAAACATTAGAACAAGTAGAGCAAGACATGTAAACTACTGGAAGATCTTCAAATGTTGCAGTTGTGTAACACTATTCCAGAATTAAAGATGCAAGACTTCACCATTTCCTGGCCACTTCCCTATACACTTTTTTAAAATGCTGCGCAAGGAAATTGCCTCCCATCCCTGTCTTCAGACCGAAATAAAAACTAAGCAAAAACTGCTGACTGGTCATTTAACCATGTCTTTATTCCCATGAACATCTCATTCAGCAATATAAAAGAAAACAGGATACAACATGAAGGTGCCACTAGCCTCCCTTAAATAAAGAAGGTGTCACATTCTCCATTATGGGAGCCAATCTTGAAAATCAGAACTCTTATTCTTAAGGCAATTCGATGTCAACTGCAGACAATTTAAGGAGCTTGTACTGTAAACACTTCCAATCCCAGTTTTCATTCCCTTGAAGGTAAGACTGGATATTACTTGATGTTTAGTTTTAATGGCTCCCAGGTCTGTATGGCATTCATTCCCAAAACAATATGGCTGCCCTTGAAGAGAATGGCATCAGTCAAGACATCAGACCAGCAAATGCTTCCATGGGGAGTGGGAAGGAATCACAGTTTCTCCAGTAGCTGCAGTTGCAGAAAAATGCTTCTTTCCCAGGACTATTACACCCATGGCGCTGCAGGAATGCCTCTGGAACAGTGTACTGTTCTTATTGTATGTGAGGCAGGACTGAAGCAACTTTCGAACGTAACCCTGTGAGATCTGCATCAAAATGTTGCAGCATAGTAGGCTCCTGTTCAGGGTTCCATGCGTTCTTCAGGGATCCTCCATTCCATTTTTAAATAATTGCAAATCTTTGTCCCTGTCCTTCAAAACACAGTTGTCCCGTGGGACAACTGCTCAGTGCTAGCTTCCACATCTTTGCAAAAATATATTTGAAGGGGGGGGGGGGAGAGACTATCCCTTAGCAGCAAAGCTGGCCTTGTTCCATTTAATAAAGCAGGAACAGAGATATCACTAGCCGCGACAACGGAGAGCAAAGCAGTAGCAGCAGCAAACTGCAAACAATCTCCCCCTGGAAAAGCAAGCTCTGTTTGGAAAGGCCCTAAGCCACAGCTGGTAAGAGAGACCAATGCCATCACACATTGATACCTTGCCAGATAGTTGTTTTTCCACACACACACACAAAAGACCTGCGCAAGGCACAGAATGAAACATTATCTAGCTCTTCTAAGAGGCAGGCAAAAGCTGTATTCTGAGTGGCGGAGGGGAAAAGGACAGAACTCCAAAATTCAACAGGTTCACACTTGATGCTAGTTTTCAGTCTCTTCACGTTTATGGAGGAAGGAAGGGAGTGGAAACAACATCCCCTTCCCTTCACGACGGGAAAAGGCCACAGTGCTTACGAGGCGAGGGACTATATATAAATATATATATACATAGTCCCTCACCTCACCTCGTAAGTATATATATATATGACGAACGCATATATATATATGCAAATATATATATATTTGTGGAAACGAAAACAGATAGATGGAGGTGCCTTGCCCCCCCCCCACTACAGAAAAAAGAAAATAAATTTCATGCTGCTTTATTAAAGGGCTGGCAGCCCACAGCAACGGTGCCAATGAGAGCAATGACGACAGGCAGGTGAGGCGGGTTCCAAATGTGAGGCGGGCGACGTCCGTTTTCTCTCATCGCTCTCTCCCCCCCCCCGCGCGCGCTAAGCACGTGACTTAAGTTTCACTCACCCCTCGCGCGCTGAGGGGTGGGGTAGAGGAGGGAAAGGGGGCTAAAGCGGCGGTTGGGAGTTGGCGCGCGCGAGCGAGCGAGCCGCTCGGAACCCGGCGTCGTCGTCGTCGTCGTCGTCCTCCTTTACTAACCACCCCTCTCTCCCCCCCCCAGCGTGCGTGCGTGCGTGTGTGGCGTCCGACCCCCCCCCCCCCGCTTCTCACCTGCAACCGCGCGCCTTACGCTGTAAGCCGCCGAGCTCCCCGCCGGCTTCTAGGGACGCTCAAACCAGCTGATTCACGTAAAGAGCGGGCGGGCGGGAGGGGCGGGGCCTGGTGGGCCCTGGGGGCGGGGCCAGCCTTTCGGCCTCTGCTGAGGGAAGATTAGGGAAAGAGGCTGGGAAAGGGAAGGCGGGGGCGGGAGGCCGGGCGGAGAGCGCGCGCGGGAACGGGGCCTCGAGTGGGACAAACTAGTGCGAGGGGCGCTAAGAAAGCGAACTTCGGCCAACCTGGGCACCGTCCCCTCACTCCACACACGCGCGCGCGCGCGCGCGCGCACACACACACACACACACACACACACACACACAGAGAGATATTTTATACGCACATGTGAGGTGAATGCTTTAGCTGAGATTCCTGCATTGCAGGGGGTTGAGATAGATGACCCTTGGGCGTAGCTGTCAACTTTTCCCTTTTCTTGCGAGGAATCCTATTCGGAATAAGGGAATTTCCCTTAAAAAAAGGGAAATGTTGACAGCTATGCCCTTGGGGTCCCTCCCAACTCGACCATTCTGTTATCCAGTTGTGGACCACAGGTATGAAGTTTATGGCATGTAATGCTTTAAGAGAGAATATTATGAAAATGATATACAGGTGGTACATGACCCCAGTCAAGCTTGCAAAAATCTACCATTTGCCCGATAACAAATGTTGGAAATGTAAAGAAACTGAAGGTACATTCTTTCACCTTTGGTGGACGTGCCCAAGGATTAAGGTTTTCTGGGAGATGATTTATAATGAATTAAAAAAGGTATTTAAATATACCTTCTTGAAGAAACCAGAGGCCTTCCTCCTGGGCATAGTCGGCCAATCGGTGTTAAAGAAGGATAGAACTTTCTTTATGTATGCTACAACAGCAGCAAGAATACTTATTGCAAATCATTGGAAGACACAAGATTTACCCACACTGGAGGAATGGCAGATGAAAATGATGGACTACATGGAATTGGCGGAAATGACTGGCAGAATCCGAGACCAGGGAGAAGAGTCGGTGGAAGAAGATTGGAAGAAATTTAAAGACTACTTACAGAAATATTGTAAAATTAATGAATGTTAGAATGATGTTGGATTGAAGTTAAGTGGTTTCTAGCTTTAATGGTATAAAAGAATATGGAAAAATTAGATTTTCAATACGTAAAAACCTAATGCTATAATATATTAAGATTAAAGATCAGGATTAAAAAGGAGGGAAAGGAATTGCGGGACTAAATAAATTGAACTGGAATACAAAAAAGGGGGGTATGAGGAGGTCCGGGAAACATGTAAATGAAAGAGAAGTGATGAAAAGATGGAATTGTTTTTAATTGTTTTTTTTTGTATTTTGTATTTTTCTTTTTTCTATTTTTCTCTTATTTATGTATCCTTCTTTTGAAACTTTAATAAATATCATTTAAAAAAAGAAAAAGAAAAGACCATTCTATTATCCAGTGCCGGATTTACGTAAAAGTTTAACAAGGTATAGTTTAGGGCCCCCCCAAAAAAATTAAAGGAAAAAAACAACAACTGGATGTACATTTCCAAAATATAAGATAGAAAACAAATAAAATAAAACATATACAGAAACAGTGTTTTGTGTTGTGTAGGTTCCTATGATGTAAGTAATGCCTGCTAGCTTGCTCCCTAAAATATCACTCATTTCTATATATATATAGGGTGCCTACACTACATGGACTGGTTGCATGGCAACATGTGCAAATGGCTTTAGATACCTATTAGGTCCATAAATTACCATATAGCATATATTCAACACACACAAAAAATGACAATTTGTTGTTGACAAAGGACAGCTGGACATATAAAGGGCTCCATTACCTTCAGTAGCTTAGGGCCTGGTCAAACCTAAATCCGGCCCTGCTATTATCTCTGGTACGGAGGAGAGAGCTGACTGGAGCGCCCTAAGTGTCCCCTCAGATACCTGTCAATGTGTATAATAATAATAATAATAATAATAATTTATTATTTGTACCCAGCCCATCTGGCTGGGTTTCTGTATTATTCTGCCTTTTCTCTCTGCTGTGGGAAGATTAGCGCATGAAACAGCATGACAAGAAATTTAATATTCTCTGTGGACTCTCAGCGTAGAATTGTAGGGTTTCAATGCAATGCAAGGGTCTCAGCTAAAGCAACCAGGGCAAATGGCCACCCAACCTCTGCTTTAAAACCTCCAAGGAAGGAAGAGTCCACCACCTCTCGGAGTCTAACCACTCTTAGAGTCAGAAGGTCCTTCCTGATGTTACTTGAAGGCATTGGGTTCGAATCCTACCCTCCAGATGTAGGGAGCGGGTGGCGCTGTGGTCTAAACCACTGAGCCTCTTGGGCTTTCCGATCGGAAGGTCGGCGGTTCAAATCCCAGCGATGGAATGAGCTCCCATTGCTCTGTCCCAGCTCCTGCCAACCTAGAAGTTTGAAAGCACACCAGTGCAAGTAGATAAATAGGTACCGCTGCGGTGGGAAGGTAAATGGCGTTTCCGTGTGCTCTGGTTTCCGTCACAGTGTTCCGTTGCGCCAGAAGCGGTTTAGACAGGAAAGCTGTGTGTGGACAAATGCCGGCTCCCTCGACCTGAAAGCGAGATGAGCGCCGCAACCCCATAGTCGCCTTTGACTGGGCTTAATCGTCCAGAGATCCTTTACCTTAACCAACCCCCTGAAGCAGGAGAAAGAAAGCTGGCCGCAGACCCACCTGGGCACTGTGCTGAACACCAAAGAGTCCCGAGTTCAGAGTTGAAAACCATTGAAGCAGTCAGAGTTGAGGCACTGCTTTGAAGAAGCCCAGATTTAAAATTAACTTTAAACAAAGGGTGCAGTAAGCCAGGAGTGTGAAGCTGGCACTCACTCAGAAACCGAGTTTGGGGAATGCCGGCAGCAGGTGACTGACTTTTAAAAACACCACCTGCTCCACCAACTCAGCGTCTTAAGTGGCTGTGATAAGTGAAATTATAACTACCCATCTTCAAAAACACCCTCTCACTTGGGATTTTGGTCAGTATGCAAGACAGCAGCTTGTGGGTAACCTAACCTAGGTCCTAGCACATGTGGCTTCAGGCTGTCCAGTAAGCCAAAGGATTGTTCACTGTCTCTGACAGGTAGTGCACCACAATAAATTCAAGTGCTATCCTGGGTGGAATCTACATACAATTAAAAAAAGGTTCTGAATTTTTTTAAAAAAAAAAGTTTTAAAAAATACATTGAATTTTCCATAAGGTTCACCATCACTATTTGGTGTCACCTTGTATATTATTATTATTATTATTATTAATAATAATAATAATAATTTATTTATACCCCGCCCATCTGGCTGAGTTTCCCCAGCCACTCTGGGCGGCTTCCAATCAAGTGTTAAAAACAATACAGCATTAAATATTAAAAACTTCCCTAAACAGGGCTGCCTTCAGATGTCTTTTAAAAAGAAGATAGCTGCTTATTTCCTTCACATCTGAAGGGAGGGCGTTCCAGAGGGCGGGCGCCACTACCGAGAAGGCCCTCTGTCTGGTTCCCTATAACCTCACTTCTCGCAATGAGGGAACCGCCAGAAGGCCCTCGGTGCTGGATCTCAGTGTCTGGGCTGAACGATGGGGGTGGAGACGCTCCTTCAGGTATACAGGACCGAGGCGGTTTAGGGCTTTAAAGGTCAGCACCAACACTTTGAATTGTGCTTGGAAACGTACTGGGAGCCAATGCAGATCTCTCAGGACCAGTGTTATGTGGTCCCAGCGGCCACTCCCAGTCACCAGTCTAGCTGCTGCATTCTGGATTAATTGCAGTTTCCGGGTCACCTTCAAAGGTAGCCCCATGTAGAGCGCATTGCAGTAGTTCAAGCGGGAGATAACTAGAGCATGCACCACTCTGGTGAGACAGTCAGCTGGTAGATAGGGTCTCAGCCTGTGTACCAGGTGGAGCTGGTAAATAGCTGCCCTGGATACGGAATTGACCTGTGCCTCCATGAACAGCTGTGAGTCCAAAATGACTCCCAGGCTGCACACCTGGTCCTTCAGGGGCACAGTTACCCCATTCAGGACCAGGGAATCCCCCACACCGGCCCAGCCCCTGTCCCCCCAAAAACAGTACTTCTGTCTTGTCAGGATTCAACCTCAATCTGTTAGCCACCATCCATCCTCTTTAAGTGCAATATTGCACTTAAAACATTTTATTTGCAGCTGTATAGCTGAGTCCCGGGTTGGGGACTTCTAAGTGCAACCACAGACCCCCAAAGCCCACATTCCCTTTTTTTTTTTTTTTTTGCAAATAATTTTTATTAATTTTCCAACATACAATTAAACAAAATTTAACATTCCATTTTTACTAATTACTTCTTTTGGACTTCCATCAGCATGATTGGCAATTCTCCGTATTATCACTTTTTCTCACATTTCTTAGTTTAATATTGCACTCTATCATTATTGACCTTATCATATTTTTTAAGCAATATTTCTATCAGTAATTCTCACAGAGCTTCTTGAAAACTTACAAATGTTAACTGCTCATCACATACATTTTTCATATATTCTGTAAATTTATTCCAGTCCTCAGTGAATCTTTGGTCTCGTCGGTTCCGAATTCTTCCTGTTAATTTGTCCATTTCTGCGTATTCCATCAGTTTCATTCTCCATTCTTCTCTCGTAGGCATTTCTTCCTGTTTCCACTTCTGGGCCAACAAAATTCTAGCTGCTGTTACTGCATACAAGAATAACTTCACATCCTTCTTTTTAATTTCATACACTAATATTCCCAATAAAAATGTTTCTGGTTTCTTAACAAAAGTATATTTCAACATTTTCTTTAACTCATTATAAATCATTTCCCAAAAACACAAAGCCCACATTCCCAGTCCACTAATGCTGTACAGTTTCTTCCTTTTCCAATTTACAGTTCAGTTCTCCACATATCTGCATCTGTTTCCTTTTTTAAAAAAAAAAAAAAGCTTTGTGAAAATTCATCAGCATTTTAGTATGTCTCTCCTAAAATACATATTTTTTGTATGAAATTCTACCCAAAATACACATTGTTGCAAAATGGTTCCCCCCAATTAAAAAGTGCATTATGTGTTGTTTTCACAAATATATGCATTTTTATGCACCCCAGTGTATGCATTTTTGTACACATTTGTACACTGCAGCATCTGAAAGACTACAGATTTCAAAAAATAGCTTTATTTCAGTTCATGTATTCTTTTGGAAAGTGTGAATTAGGTAGATTTGCCTTTAAATGCAAACGACATTGAATGTAAATATCTCTGCTATCCCTAGAAGAGAAGAGCTGTCTCTTCTCCTGTCTTGGCAGACCGCAGACTTTATTCCAGCCCATTGCAATTTTCCAAGTGGAATTCAGTCACATGACAGAGAATTCAGGTAGCTCTGTAAAAATTGGTTTGGAAGGCTTGCACAACATTTCCCCAAAAGAACAGTCTTTTTCTGATCATGCAAGTAACAGGAAAATGCAATAGAAAATGTGGGACAACACTTGCTTTGACATGTTGTCTAACCCAACAAACACAAATGCTTAATGAATAGCTGGTGTTTAATTTTGTTGCAAACAGATCAATAATAAGTAAATCACCTGGAAATTACCTGAGCATGTTCGCTTTCAGAAGCCATGTTTATTAAATCAAGAGAGCTGCACAAAGAATGAATTTGACAAACTGGGTGGTAGGTGGGAGAAAAAAGGTTTCTGAAGTCATGAGACCAATTGTGGCGGAGACCTTATGCAAGTCATATGAACATTCATGCCTTTCCAAGCTCTGGCAAACTGAAGGGGAAACAGATAACAAGAGAAAGGAATAAAATCAAACCGTCAGAAGACAGGAGAACATGGGAGAGGTACTATGCGGAAACGCTTTCAAGTCTAATTGCAGATGTTGCCATGAAGAGATCGAAGACTCATCACAAGACACTATTCAGGCTAATAGAGCAGATTGTGTTTTGAAGGTAAGTGGTATTCCAGTCAGACTTTGGGAGAAGGGAAAGGGGTCATATTTTCCATGGGATGTATACGGAAATCTCTGGAGTAGAGTCTCAGGGTACACCCATTAAAATTAATTGATCCAGGTTTATTTATTTCACATTTTAAAAATACCATCTGTTTATATATAAAAACCCCTCAAAGGTGTTAGGGTTAGTAATTATTTTTAATGGCTCTACTCTGAGTAGGACTCTCAATAGCAATAATCCTACAAAACAAGCATGAGAGAAAGCAAAATGATGCAAATTCATTGGCTCGACTAATAATGGTCAACTTACGTGCATTCTACTCAACACAACCACGTATGCACACAGCACCAGTGTAAGAATGTGTGAAGAAATGAAAGATGTGGGCAGGAATATTTATATTTGGGTGCCTTCTCTTTTGCCCTTTTGCCCTGGCCAGGCGAGAGAGCCAAACAAGATGCCAAAGCCAATGGATTCAATGCAGCCACAGTGGTTCCAGACACTTCCAGTCCAAAAAGCTGGAAGACGACGGCAACGCCGTCTCAGCGATCCTTCTCAGGAGCTGGATTTTGCTGCGAGGTTCCAGTGGGTAAGCTTGCACTGCGTAAAGTGATTAATAAAAGGCATTTATCGTCATGTATGCGTTGGTGCTGTGGGTTAAACCACAGAGCCTAGGACTTGCCGATCATAAGGTCGGCGGTTTGAATCCCTGCGACGGGGTGAGCTCCTGTTGCTCGGTCCCTGCTCCTGCCAACCTAGCAGTTCGAAAGCACGTCAAAGTGCAAGTAGATAAATAGGTACCACTCTGGTGGGAAGGTAAACGGCATTTCCGTGCCCTGCTCTGGTTCGCCAGAAGCGGCTTAGTCATGCTGGCCACAGGACCCGGAAGCTGTATGCCGGCTCCCTCGGCCAATAAAGCGAGACGAGTGCCGCAACCCCAGAGTCGGCCACGACTGGACCTAATGGTCAGGGGTCCCTTTACCTTTACTTTATGTGTTTAAAGGTAAGGGACGCGGGTGGTGCTGTGGCTTAAACCACATAGCCTAGGGCTTGCAGATCAGAAGGTCAGTGGTTTGAATACCCACAATGGGGTGAGCTCCCGTTGCTCGGTCCCTGCTCCTAGCCAACCTAGCAGTTCGAAAGCATGTCAAAGTGCAAGTAGATAAATAGGTACTGCTCTGGCGGGAAGGTAAACAGCGTTTCCGTGCGCTGCTCTGGTTCACCAGAAGCGGCATAGTCATGCTGGCCGCATGACCCGGAAGCTGTATGCCGGCTCCCTTGGCCAATAAACGAGATGAGCGCCGTAACCCCAGAGTTTAAATGTGCAGTCCAACCCATTGTAAATAAATTTGACAACAAATGTAATAGATGAGCCAATGATGATCACAGAATCATAGAAATGTGGAATTGGATGGGAACCCAAAGGTCATCCAGTCCAACCCCCTGCAATGCAGGGATCTCAACTAAAGCATCCATGGAAAATGGCCATACAGCCTCTGCTAAAAACCTCCAAGAAAGGACAGTCCACAACCTCCCGAGGGAGACCATTCCGCTGTCAAACAGCTCTTACTGTCACTTGTTGGTGACATTCAAGTCAGCCTGTGTTCGTTCCCGGCCATCTTGAATCCCATCACCTCTCTTTTTGGCAATGAACAGCTGCGGATTGTTCCACATCATGTAATCAGCTGAAGATCAGCTGCTTATCCAGTTTGTCCGATGAATAATTTTGGGTAACTTCAAAAGCGTGTTCACTTCAATACCATACCAAATCAATCCAGTAATAAGTATCATCCGTTTTCCATTCATTGACAATATAGCCTGTGTTTCTGCTGGGTTTGAAACTCCTTTGTTAAATCTAGTACTGAATACAGGCTTTCTCTGTCCTCACCCTCATCTAAGCAAAGAAGAGGTCTCCCGTTTGGAAATGCTTCATCCTACCTGAATTTGGAGAAGCTGGGTGGCAGTTCTCATTCCACAGTATACAAAGGAATCAGCAGGTGAGTGATATTACAGGGGAAACCTTGGCTACTCTTGCATTAGTTGAACCTATAATGATTAAAATGTATCAGATTAATTGAGCACCATCAACTTAAGCATCACATCATAGATGAAGTATTACAAGAAACATTCCAGAATGCAAAGAAAATGTTTGCAGAGGAAATGAAAAGTCTGATATTTGTGCATTTGTTCTAGGCTATAAAAAAAAGGTAGCTTGAAATAGTCTTACTGAAGATAAGTAGTTTTGGGTCTAATTTTAGGCATTTGTAAACATTTGACGTGGGTGGTGCTGTGGGTTAAACCACAAAGCCTAGGACTTGCTGATCAGAAGGTTGGCGGTTCGAATCCCTGCGACAGGGTGAGCTCCCGTTGCTCGGTCCCAGCTCCTGCCCACCTAGCAGTTTGAAAGCACATCAAAGTGCAAGTAGATAAATAGGGACCGCTCTGGCGGGAAGGTAAACAACGTTTCCGTGCACTGCTCTGGTTCGCCAGAAGCGGCTTAGTCATGCTGGCCACATGACCCGGAAGCTGTATGTTGGCTCCCTCGGCCAATAAAGCGAGATGAGCGCCACAACCCCAGAGTCAGCCACGACTGGACCTAATGGTCAGGGGTCCCTTTACCTTTTCAAACATTTGCAAAATGTTTTCTGAATGTTTATTTTATTTTTGTAATATTTTTTTAAAAAGTTTTCTTACACAATTATCTAAATATGATGCATACAGCAAAGTTTGCCTGACCTGGATTCGAGGACGTTTCACCTGCAGACACTGGGAGGGAAGATTTGTTTGTGAGTTGAAGATGGCACATAGACAAAGGTGTACCAGCTGGGCCATCAGGGCAGAGCTTTGGAGCAAAAGTCCACACACACACACACACACACACACACACACACACGGCAATTTCAGCAGGGCTGATGACATATATTTTGAATTAAGGGAAGAAATGCACATGACCATATGAAGAATTCTCATCCTCTACAAATAAGACTCTACAAATAATAATACTAATAATAAAGTAGAGACATCACCTTGCCAACAAAGGTCCGTATAGTAAAAGCTATGGTTTTCCCAGTAGTGATGTATGGAAGTGAAAGCTGGACCATAAAGAAGGCTGATCGCCGAAGAATGGATGCTTTTGAATTATGGTGCTGGAGGAGACTCTTGAGAGTCCCATGGACTGCAAGAAGATGAAACCGATCCATTCTGAAGGAAATCAGCCCTGAGTGCTCACTGGAAGGACAGACCCTGAAGCTGAGGCTCCAATACTGTGGCCACCTCATGAGAAGAGAAGACTCCCTGGAAAAGACCCTGATGTTGGGAAAGATGGAGGGCACAAGGAGAAGGGGACGACAGAGGACGAGATGGTTGGGCAGTGTTCTCGAAGCTACCAGCATGAGTTTGACCAAACTGAAGGAAGGCAGTGGAAGATAGGAGTGCCTGGCGTGCTCTGGTCCATGGGGTCACGAAGAGTCGGAAAACTGTGGATGTATGTTATTAAAGCACATATAAATATATTGGGCAACCATTAAAAGCAGTGGGTGCTCCATGCAGGTACTGTTTTCATGTGTCTGTAAAACTACATGTCATATAATACTATATGACCACAATGTGGAGAACAGGGGAAAGTTTTTTATCCTGTATTCTAAAACTCGCAGAACATTGGATTGCGATTCAATTCGCATTTAAAGGCCAACCAACCTAAATCACACTTTCTGAAATAATACACAAACCAAAATGCAGCCGTCCTTCAAAATTTGCACTTTCAATGCATCTATCAGTAGAAGTAGCTTGCAAAAATGAAGAATATTAAACAAAATTGCTTTGCAGAAAAATGTGTGTTAGAAGAAATTTGCACTATAATGTTGTTGAGTTTCCATTATTTCTGTTCCAATAATAATTGGAAACTGGTGTGAGAAATGTGGACCTCCTGCAAAACTCTACAAATAAGTAAAACAACTTTTAATTTATGGCAACACAACAGCATAATATTTCCCTGACACAGTAGTCATTGATTGATCTTTTTCTTTTCTCTTTCTATTATTTTAAATTTTATTCATTGTTTTTTGGTTACAGGTATACCAAATACACCGTTCTGTTTACGTAAAATTAAATAAAAATAATTTTTAAAAAATGTTACACGCATTAGTATGTAATGCACAACTTGCTTCGTCAATGGTACTAAATCAGTTGACTGAACTAAACCAGTGGTTGAACTAGGTTGAAGCAGTTTTGTGTGTGCCTTAAATTGTGGATCCAGTTGTTATGACCAGGGTTTCATCAGCTGTGCTCTGTCCCTTTAGGATATATGGACAGCTAGTAGCTTTGAAAGTCATCAGCCTGAAGACTGAGGAAGGAGTCCCTTGTACAACCATAAGAGAAGGTAAGATATTCAAAGTGGACACCATCTCTGGCAGCAGGGCTCAGTTCCTGAATCCACTTTCTGTACCAGGGCCGAGCCCTACAATATAGGAACTAATAAAAGTGTGTCTACATACATGCAGAGTACCAGTTCCTTGCCTCCAAACTATCTCATCTAGCAGGGCCAGGCTGCCTCAGGCATTTGATTTGGGGGTGGGGTGGGGGAAAAGAGAGATGCATGTGGGATTTTCTGCCTCAGGTGCCTAAACAACCTCATCAGCAGTACTATGCACCTTGACTTTAGGAGAGGAAACAATTTCCTGCTATCTCTCAGGCAGCAAATTATATCTGGCAATTCCTGGCACATACATACAATTAAGGAGGGCTCCTAGCATAAATGGGATGCGGGTGGCGCTGTGTTTTGTTTACAACAGGTTAAACCACAGAGCCTAGAACTTGCTGATCAGAAGATCGGTGCTTCGAATCCCCACGACGAGCATTTCGAAAGCACGTCAAAGTGCAAGTAGATAAATAGGTACTGCTCTGGCGGAAAGGTAAACGGCGTTTCCGTGCGCTGCTCTGGTTCGCCAGAAGTGGCTTAGTCATGGTGGCCACATGACCCGGAAGCTGTACGCTGGCTCCCTCGGCCAGTAAAGCGAGATGAGCGCCGCAACCCCAGAGTCGTCCGTGACTGGACCTAATGGTCAGGGGTCCCTTTACCTTTACCTAGCATAAATGAAAATAGTATATTCCAGGGACATCCAACTTCCAAGAGACTGCGATCTACTCACACGATTCATATCTGTTTCAGGTCAATGTTGTGACGTCACGTTTTAGGGAGGAACAACCTGATTTTTGGGGGTGGGGGTTCAGGTCATAGGGAATATCTGTTTATTTTGGGGTTTTGGGTAAAATAAAATAAAAAAACTGCTCACAAACAGATTGATAATGACAGTCTGGCATGCACAGGAAACTCCAGCTTCCGCTCTAGCAATCTAGGGGGGAGGGGGCAGGGCTGGGCTGGATGGAGGAGCCAGCGATCTACCGTGATCTACATTAACCTACTGGGAATCGATCAATCGATCCCGATTGACCTGTTGGACATCCCTGGTATATTCTCACTAGAAGTGACTGGAGCTGCTTGGGAATTCTAAGAAACCAAAGAAATTGCAAGTTAAAAGGTAAAGGTAAAGGACCCCTGACAGTTCAGTACAGTCACGAACGACTCTGGGGTTGTGGCGCTCATCTCGCTTTACTGGCTGAGGGAGCCAGCGTTTGTCTGCAGACAGTTTTTACGGGCAATGGGGCCAGCATGACTATGCCACTTCTGGCGAAACCAGAGCAGCGCACGGAAACGCTATTTACCTTCCTGCAGGAGTGGTACCTATTTATCTACTTGGACTTTGACGTGCTTTCGTACTGCTAGGTTGGCAGGTACTGGGACTGAACAACGGGAGCTCACCCCATCACGGGGATTCGAACCACCAAAATTGCAAGTTGTTGTTGTTTAGTCGTTTAGTCGTGTCCGACTCTTTGTGACCCCATGGACCAGAGCACGCCAGGCACTCCTGTCTTTCACTGCCTCCCGCAGTTTGGTCAGACTCATGTTTGTAGCTTCGAGAACACTGTCCAACCATCTCGTCCTGTGTCGTCCCCTTCTCCTTGTGCCCTCCATCTTTCCCAGCATCAGGGTCTTTTCCAGGGAGTCTTCTCTTCTCATGAGGTGGCCAAAGTCTTGGAGCCTCAGCTTCACGATCTGTCCTTCCAGTGAGCACTCAGGGCTGATTTCCTTAAGAATGGATACGTTTGATCTTCTTGCAGTCCATGGGACTCTCAAGAGTCTCCTCCAGCACCATAATTCAAAAGCATCAATTCTTCGACGATCAGCCTTCTTTATATTCCAGTTCTCACTTCCATACATCACTACTGGGAAAACCATGGCTTTAACTATGCGGACCTTTGTTGGTAAGGTGATGTCTCTGCTTTTTAAGATGCTGTCTAGGTTTGCCATCGCCTTTCTCCCAAGGAGCAGGCGTCTTTTAATTTCGCGACTGCTGTCATCATCTTCAGTGATCATGGAGCCCAAGAAAGTAAAATCTCTCACTGCCTCCATTTCTTCCCCTTCTATTTGCCAGGAGGTGATGGAACCAGTGGCCATGATCTTCGTTTTTTTGATGTTGAGCTTCAGACCATATTTTGCGCTCTCCTCTTTTACTCTCATTAAAAGGTTCTTTAATTCCTCCTCACTTTCTGCCATCAAGGTTGTGTCATCTGCATATCTGAGGTTGTTGATGTTGCTTCCGGTGATCTTAATTCCGGCTTGGGAATCATCCAGCCCAGCCTTTCGCATGATGAATTCTGCATATAAGTTAAATAAGCAGGGGGACAATATACAGCCTTGCCGTACTCCTTTCCCAATTTTGAACCAATCAGTTGTTCCATATCCAGTTCTAACTGTAGCTTCTTGTCCCACATAGAGATTTCTCAGGAGACAGATGAGGTGATCAGACACTCCCATTTCTTTAAGAACTTGCCATAGTTTGCTGTGGTCGACACAGTCAAAGGCTTTTGCATAGTCAATGAAGCAGAAGTAGATGTCTTTCTGGAACTCTCTAGCTTTCTCCATAATCCAGAGCATGTTTGCAATTTGGTCTTTGGTTCCTCTGCCTCTTCTAAATCCAGCTTGCACTTCTGGGAGTTCTCGGTCCACATACTGCTTAAGCCTGCCTTGTAGAATTTTAAGCACAACCTTGCTAGTGTGTGAAATGAGTGCAATTGTGCGGTAGTTGGAGCATTCTTTGGCACTTCCTTTCTTTGGGATTGGGCTGTAGACTGATCTTCTCCAATCCTCTGGCCACTGCTGAGTTTTCCAAATTTGCTGGCATATTGAGTGTAGCACCTTAACAGCATCATCTTTTAAAATTTTAAATAGTTCAGCTGGAATATCATCACTTCCACTGGCCTTGTTATTAGCAATGCTTTCTAAGGCCCATTTGACTTCACTCTCCAGGATGTCTGGCTCAAGGTCAGCAACCACACTACCTGGGGTATACGAGACATCCATTGCAAGTTACTCAAGGGCAAAAAGTTACTCTTTTTGTTGGTGTGGTACCAATACCTATTTTGAGAGTGTTCTCCCACCATCATTGTTTTCGTTGATCTTGTACTGGGCAAAATGTCCAGAGTTTTCTTGGTGTCTCTGATTTGATGCATTAGATTAAGATTTTAATTATTGCCTTCAGGCCTTTAGATGCTCCCACTGATATAACATCCAAAAGCAGCTTGTTTAATTTTCCATTAAGACTGTTGCTTTAGTCTGCCTCTGAGTCCCAGTGGAAACATATTATTTTCCCCAGCTAAGGGGTAGATAAACAATTTAATACCAGCCTCTAGAAAGAGCAAGGGCTGAAGAAATAATTTCTCATGGTGCTCCTAATTATTTGCTCTTTCTCCCACTCACCTCTGCATTTCCTAAAAGGGGTGAGCAAAAAATAAATAAATGATCAAGACTGACAGTTAGATCTCTGGGGGATTTAACAATAGTCACAATTGAAAAAGGTTTTCTTTTTCTTTTCTACATTTAGTTACTGTGATTTTAAAAGTTTGCAGGGAAGGAGAAAGGACTTACAGTGGGGTTTTTTGTGAACTGTGGAAGGGTTATCTGTTCAGTTGAAGTTCTGAACATATATTTTTGGCATATACTATGAGCATATACTAAGAGGCACTCAGTTTCTTATATCTAGGTATATGACACCTAATCACTGTTTTGCACCTGTCTCCATTTGTAGATCTTGAGGTGCTAGTGAAAAAGCAAGGTATAGAGATCCCACAACAAGTCTGAAGTCTGCCCACCCCCGTCCTAACTCATCCTGAATGAAACTGTGCATTGGGATAAATGAAAAAGACTAGATTTTGTCCAGCTAAGTCAGTGTTTTCCAAACTTGGGTTTCCAGCTGTTTTGGATCACAACTCCCATCATCCCTTGCTAGCAAGACCAGTGGTCAGGGATGATGGGAGTTGTAGTCCAAAAACAGCTGGAGACCCAAATTTGGGAATCACTGAGCTAAGTCATACTCAGAATAGAGGCAGTGCAATCAACAGACTTTTAAGTCATGATGATTAACAATTTAATTGCTTTTAGTGGCTCTTCCTTGAGTATGACTTAGGTATGTTCACATTAGTGCTGGCATGGCCAAACTTGGCCCTCCAGCTTTTTTTGGGACTACAACTCCCATCATCCCTAGCTAGCATGACCAGTGGTCAGGGATGATGGGAATTGTAGTCCCAAAACAGCTGGAGGGCCAAGTTTGGCCATACCTGCATTAGTGGCTTGAAACGCTGTGTTTCATGACAAATTTTTAGAGTTGTTCACATCAGAGAGGGGGCAGTGATGCCTTCACCCAGTGTACATGTCCTTTACGGTTTCTGTCATCTGTGCTTGCACGAGGACTGTCAATGTATGCTCACATTATGCTCTTACTCTCATGGGATTGAAATGTGTCTGAGAAAAAAAACCCCACATTTGTCAAGAAACTACAGGACTGATACGGATTGTTGCTGACATCGTGTGAGTGAGGCTTCAAAAATTACTGCATTTACTCAAATGTAATGCGCACCTTTATTGGCCAAATTACATCGCAAAAATTAGGGTGCGCATTAGATTTGATGGCACATTTACATTCGCCAGCAAAAGCTTTCTGGGTTTCAAGGTTTTGAAAATCAAGGTGCGCATTAGATTCGATGGTGCATTTGTTGTTGTTTAGTCATTTAATCGTGTCCGACTCTTCGTGACCCCATGGACCAGAGCACGCCAGGCACTCCTGACTTCCACTGCCTCCCGCATTTTGGTCAAACTCATGTTCATAGCTTCGAAAACACTGTCCAACCATCTCGTCCTCTGTCGTCCCCTTCTCCTTGTGCCCTCCATCTTTCCCAACATCAGGGTCTTTTCCAGGGAGTCTTCTCTTCTCATGAGGTGGCCAAAGTATTGGAGCCTCAGCTTCAGGGTCTGTCCTTCCAGTAAGCACTCAGGGCTGATTTCCTTCAGAATGGATAGGTTTGATCTTCTTGCAGTCCATGGGACTCTCAAGAGTCTCCTCCAGCACCATAATTCAAAAGCACCAATTCTTCGTAGATTCGCATAAATATGGTAGGAGTGGGAATGTACTAGATGTGGAATAAGCAGTAATGTGAACATATCCAGAGTCGCATACAACCCTAAATTAGTAGGAGAGGGTAGTGTTCTATTATGCCAGCATCTGGGGCTTTGCCCTATGCTATCCTTGAGAGAGACCAATATCTAGGCTGTTTTGGCATCTTGGTTCACCTCTAATGAGAAAAGCATGGTGGGAAAGGTTTCTAATTTTAACTGTTCTATCACTTCTGAGGCATTCCTTAAGAAGAACACAAAACGGGACCAGCCAGTGTGATGTAGTGGTTAAGAGTGGTAGACTCGTAATCTGGGGAACCGGGTTCGCGTCTCCGCTCCTCCACATGCAGCTGCTGGGTGACCTTGGGCCAGTCACACTTCTCTGAAGTCTCTCAGCCCCACTCACCTCACAAAGTGTTTGTTGTGGGGGAGGAAGGGAAAAGAGAATGTTAGCTGCTTTGAGACTCCTTCAGGTAGTGATAAAGCGGGATATCAAATCCAAACTCTTCTTCTTCCTGCTCAAAATTCCAGGTGTGGAAATGATGGGCAGTTGAATTTGACAAGGCAGCCTTGCCTTGCTTTCTGTGCTGTTAAATTGTTTCCCTCTCTCGCAGACAGCATGCTGACCCCTATTTATGTGTCCTCCTTTAGCGTCTCTCCTCAAGAGCTTGAAGCATGCCAATATTGTGCTCCTTCATGACATCATCCAGACCAAGGAGACCCTGACGTTAGTCTTTGAGTATTTGGTGAGTTGATTTTCTCCGGTTTATTTAGGGTTTGTGAGCTTTCTCACGAGCCGGTAAACAAACACTGGGTCCTATTTTTGCATTGCTACAAAGCGTTTTATAGCAATGTGTAAGATTCCATCATGGTGACATATGTTTCTTGCTTGCTTTCCCTAATTGCCTTTGAGAGCTATCTTCTCAGATCCCTAACTTCTCTTAAGTAACAGCTGCGTTTTTAAAACATGCTTCATTTGCAGAAAAGCTGGTAGGAACTGATTACTCTTGCAACTGCCATGACAACAGACTCGTAAAACCACTGGTTTGTTCGTTCACAAGCACACATGCAAAAACCTTTACCTCCCTCACCATTTGAGTAATGATCCTTGTAAAAGCAACATAACCAGAGAAATACAGTGGTACCTCGGGTTACGGATGCTTCAGGTTACAGACGCTTCAGGTAACAGGTTCCAGAAATAGTACCTTGGGTTAAGAACTTTGCTTCAGGATGAGAACAGAAATCGTGTAGTAGTGGCGCGGCGGCAGCAGGAAGCCCCATTAGCTAAAGTGGTATCTCAGGTGGTAATAATAATAATAATAATAATAATAATAATAATTTCTTTGTACTCCACCCATCTGGCTGGGTTTTCCTAGCCACTCTGGGCGGCTTCCAACAAAGACAAAAAATACACTAAAATGTCACACATTAAAAACTTCCCTGAAAAGGGCTGCCTTCAGATGTCTTCTGAATGTCAGGTAGTTGTTTATCTCTTTGACATCTGATGGGAGGGAGGTTAAGAACAGTTTCAGGTTAAAAACAGACCTCCAGAACGAATTAAGTTCTTAACCCGAGGTACCACTGTAAAGTGGTCAAGCTGAGGTACGGTGGTACCTTGGGTTAAGTACTTAACTCGTTCCGGAGGTCCGTTCTTAACCTGAAACTGTTCTTAACCTGAAGCACCACTTTAGCTAATGGGGCCTCCCGCTGCTGTCGCGCGATTTCTGTTCTCATCCTGAAGCAAAATTCTTAACCCAAGGTACTATTTCTGGGTTAGCGGAGTCTGTAACCTGAAGCGTATGTAACCTGAAGCGTATGTAACCCGAGGTACCACTGTATAATCTTCTGATGATACTCTGAGAAACCTTTTGCGGGATTAAATCAGGCATGGTGTGGGGACCCTGAATTCTTCAGATGTTGTTGGCTAATTCTCTCTTCAGCCCCAGCCAGCAAGGCCAATAGTCAAGGATGATGAGAATTGTTGTCCAGGAACATAGGTAATACCACAGGTTTCCCATTCTTGCATTAATTCTACAGAAGGAAGTGCAACCTCCATTAAGAACAGGCCAAACAAACGGCAAGACTTTTATATGCCCAAAGATGGAAAAACTCATTATTACCAACAGTGGAGGAATGCTTGCTAAAATTAATGGACTTAGCTGAGGTGGCAAAATTGACATGCTTAATCAGAGAAAAGTCACTGTTAACATTTACTAAGGATTGGAAACCTCTCATAGACTTTTTGCATGAAAAAGAAAAAGAAAAAGAAATAAAGACATTTGGATTTGAGGATTGAAGAGAACGATCAATAGAAAGTGGCTTTACTAGGTGTTATACTGGAGTGGATGACGTGAGTAATGCTTACATATAGCAGTGTGACAAAGAATCGGAAGTTCTTTAGTTCTTAACTTTCTTCCTCTCTTGATTCTGGATTGTTTTATTGATGTTTAAATATGCTGTAAACCGCTTTGAGATTTTTCTTAAAAATATAAAGCGGTATAAAAATGAAATTAATAATAATAATAAATCTTTTTCTCTCCCTTTTTTTCTATATCTATCTCTTTCTTTTCACTTTTCTCCTCTTTTCTTTCTCCTTTTTGCCTTTAAATTAACATTTTAGTTTGGACAAAAAAAGGATATTTGATAATAATCTTTGTATTTTTATTTCTAAACACTAATAAAAACGTATTTTAAAAAGAAGAAGAAGGAAAACAGGCCAAACAACACCTCCACAGCCAGAAGGGCCACCTACCAGCAGCCTCCATAGTGTCTGGATTCTGCCTCAATTTCTTAGCTCTCATCTTAATCTTCTATTGACTCCAGGCATAGCTTTTAATTATCAAAATTGCAGAAGGCAGAGAAGGGAAATGTTCCTTCCCCTGCTGAGATCCTGTAGAAACATCTCGTCTGAAGCTAATATTTGTACTGGGGCGACATGTACACATACACTGGCTCAGAGGAGGGATTTTCCTCAGGACCTCAGCAGGGGTGGAAAGGGTTAAATGACCCCTCCCTGGTTGTTCTCATTCCACTGATTGTCAGCCGCTCTCCAGCAGATGCAATTTGCCCTTTTAAAAGACTCCTACATCATGAAAGTATTGCAGCCCATGTTAATGTACTTTATATATTGTGACGCGGGTGGCACTGTGACGCGGGTGGCACTGTGGGTTAAACCACAGAGCCTAGGACTTGCTGATCTGAAGGTTGGCGGTTCGAATCCCCATTACGGGGTGAGTTCCCATTGCTCGGTCCCTGCTCTTGCCAACCTAGCAGTTCGAAAGCATGTCAAAGTGCAAGTAGATAAATAGGTGCTGCTCCGGCGGGAAGGTAAACGGCGTTTCCGTGCGCTGCTCTGGTTCACCAGAAGCGGCTTAGTCATGCTGGCCACATGACCTGGAAGCTGTACACTGGCTCCCTCGGCCAATAAAGCGAGATGAGCGCTGCAACCCCAGAGTTGGCCACAACTGGACCTAATGGTCAGGGGTCCCTTTATCTTTTTATATTGTGATATCTTGCTCGCATGGTTGACACACTTTTAAATGGCTGTGTGTTGAAAGTAAAGATGGATTCAGATCATGCTCTTTCGGCTCAGCATAGTACAAGTAACTGGCATTGATTGGTGTAGTACCATATTTTGCGCTCTATAAGACGCACCAGACCATAAGACGCACCTAGTTTTTGGAGGAGGAAAACAAGAAAAAAAATATTCTGAAACCCAGAAGCCAGAACAGCAAGAGGGATCTGGCTTCTAGGATAGCCTCTGGCTGTTCTGGCTTCTGGAATAGCCACGCAAAGCCTCTTCAGGGCAGCAGGATGAAGGCTCCCCCTGCCCGGAAGAGGCTGCCACGGCTAAGGCAGAGGCCAGGAGAGGCGCTTCGCTGAAGGGGCACTGCGCAGAAAGGGAGAGCTGCTCAGCGCCCCTTCCGCAAAGCGGAAGGAGGAACAGAAGGGGCTCCGTTCCTCCTCCCGCTTCGCTGAAGGGCCGCTGCACAGCTCTCCCTCTCTGTGCAGCGCCATTCGCTCCATTAGAGGCACTCACATTTCCCCTTACTTTTTAGGAGGAAAAAGGTGCGTCTTATGTAGCGAAAAATACGGTATTTGTATGTCCCCAAGGCACACACAAAGCTCCAGGAGGAGAGTTTCCATCTCCCCATACAATGCCCTACTAGTTTCATCAACAAGGGGCTGGCGGGAGGCTTGTGCAAAGCACACAACAGGTGGTTGCAGAAAGTATCTAAGAAAAGTGGGTTCACCGCCCTCAATTCCATTTCCTGTCTATTTATTTAGCACACAGACTTGGCACAGTACATGTTCCAGCATCCTGGTGGGCTTCGTCTTTATAATGTTAAGGTAAGTTCTTGAAGAAAAATGTACTGTTCTTAAGTGTGCAACAGTTCAATCCTATGCATGTCTACTCAGAAGTAAGTCCCATTGGGTTCGATAGGAGGCGCTCCCAAGTGAGTGGACATGGGATTATAGCCTAAAGCTCATATGCCAAGAGCAGCTCTGGTTATTGGATAGATTGTTTCACTGAACTGAGGAGACTTGGGACACAGCTACACAGGTCAATTATAACATTAAAAATGTGACACCAGACGGCACTGTAAACCAGCAATCCGAAGTCAATGGTAAATTGCATTGTGAGCTATATATATTTTCATAGCGTTTTTTTATATCTGTGTAGATCCAGCCTTGGTTCAAATCTCTGGTTGGTTGGTTGCTTAGTTAGTTAGTTGGCTATATATATTTTTTACAGTTTCTGTCCCGCTTCTAAGCCCAGGCATGGGTGCTCAAAAATTATCAGTTGCAATAAAAAGAGGTTTGGGTCCCCCCCCTTCTTTTTCAAAGAAATCAGTTCCATCCATACATAAATACAACTACGAATCTCATTTAGCAAGTCTCTCTCTTGCAGCTATACCTATCTTGCAGAGGTCTTGCAATAAGTGAGACCTTGAAATGGTTTTTTTGAAGCTGTAGACAGGTATGTCCATTGGTGCCAAACGTAAATAATTTGATTTGCTCTGAAGCAATGCACCCCATAATAGTCTACTGCCTCAGCCTGTGCTGTTGATTATAAGCGGCTTTCAAGGGTTACCGTATTTTTCGCTCCATAAGGCGCACCGGACCATAGGGCACACCTAGTTTTTTGGGGGGGGGGAAATCAAGAAAAAAAATCTTATTCCCTCCCTCCCAGCCCCACAGAGCAAAGAAGCCAAGACAGCGAGCGGGATCCATCCTGCTGGCTGTCTTGGCTTCCTCTTTAGCCGCGTGCAACCTCTCCAGCCGGGAAAGCTTTGCGCAGCCATCCCCCAAGCTAGAGCAGTGCTCCGTCTCGCTGTTCTGGCTTCGGGGACAGCCTTTCTAGCCTCTGCAGGGCAGCGGGGTGCCTTCACCCCGCTGCACTGCAGAGGCTTTGCGCAGCCAACCCCAGGCTAGAAGAGCGAGACGGAGCGCTGCGCAGCGCTTCGTCTCCCTGTTCTGGCTTTGGGCTTAGCCGCGCAGCCTGCATTCGCTCTATAGGATGCACACACATTTCCCCTTAATTTTTGGAGGGGAAAAAGTGCGTCCTATAGAGCGAACAATACGGTATATGTATTTGCTTACTTTTCTATCAAGGGTTTATTCTTTTGCTTGAAATGCAGCAGTAAAACTGATCAGGCATTAACGAATTATGTCCTGTTTCTGTCTGCCAGCTCTTTATGTTCCAGCTTCTGCGAGCCTTGGCTTTCATCCATGAACACCGCATCCTTCACCGGGACCTGAAACCTCAGAACCTCCTCCTCAGTTGCCTTGGAGAGCTTAAGCTAGCTGATTTTGGTAAGCCATCATAGTCAGACTGCTGGACAATAGCCAGACCTTCTGGCAAAGGCCAGCTTTCCCATCTTTATGAATCCCAAATTGACAGGTTTTTTTTGCTTTCACTGATCTTTTGGAGGAGCACATTGCTGTACAATGTCTTTTGTCATCATCCCTCTCCTACGTATAACATAAAATAAACAAAGAATTTAGAAAATATCCCTGGATGAAACCAATTGACTTCAAATGAGAATTCTCTCCAGCTCCATAGGGAACGCATGCCTGCCAACAGTTGAAAATTAAAAGTAAGGGGCAGAGATCCATAGTTCATTGGCAGGGCATATTGTACAGCCGTCAGCATTGCATTTAATACTAAGGTTAAAAATTGCCTCTTTGTATGTATGGAATAGCCCTCAGTGAAAACAGTTGACTTTAACCCACACAGACATGACACATCTTGTGTGCATGTTCTTGCAACTGCTTGTTTCAGTTATTGCCATTACCGTATTTTTCGCTCTATAAGACGCACCAGACGCCAAGACGCACCTAGTTTTTGGAGGAGGAAAACAAGAAAAAAAATATTCTGAATCTCAGAAGCCAGAACAGCAAGAGGGATTGCTGCGCAGTGAAAGCAGCAATCCCTTTTGCTGTTCTAGCTTTTGTGATAGCTGCGCAGCCTGCATTCGCTCCATAAGACGCACACACATTTCCCCTTACTTTTTAGGAGGGGAAAAGTGAGTCTTATAGAGCAAAAAATTAAGGTATTTATTTCATTGGCATCTGTTTGGCTGCATTTTCATAGCTGGCCTTGTATCTTGGGTTTCCATCTTTGCACAGGGACAAGTCCATTTCTGGAGAGGGCATTAATGTAAAATCTACACTTGTAGGAAAGTAGCATAAAATAAATGTAATAAATTTAGTTCCCTAACTAATAAGAGTTAAATGAGTCTGCTGCTCCATGTACAAAGGCCCTTGGGCTCTTTGTACTGCTGTGGCAATTATGTACACTTTAAGGCCCCTTCATGTAATGTCCTTGTCTATTAAAATGGCTCAGAGACATCCAGAATGTTCAAACTGAACCATAACATTGGGCACTAAAACTCCCGGTAATGAAGCAATTAAGTGGCAGCACTCGGAAATAATCTAGTTTAATGCCCATGAAGCTGCTGGGGGAAATTATCTTAAATCCAAGTGCTTTGACTTAAGCTGAATTGAGGAGTTGGGGTTGGCTGCTCACTTTATATTGACACTAGTGGGAAGTGCCCACTGCTGCCCAGGAATTTGTAGAACCCCCCCACAAAACCCAGTGATTTTAAAACAGATGTTGTAATTTGTAAGCTTGGACCCACCACGCTAACAATTGGATGAAGTCGCACCAAAGTCATGTTTTGGTTCGCCATTTTAATTCAAAATGGCGCCTTGTATCCAAACGTTGATGAAGGCTGCCACCCCCATTTTGGGAACCCATTGGCGATGATATCTCAAGAGGCGGCTGAACGCCTAGTGATCGAACAGACAAACCACTTTCTTTCCAAAATACACAGTAGATGAGTTAGCTGTTGGAGCCTCCGTACGACCAAGCTGAAATGGCTCTCCTCCTCGTCGTATCTTCGGAATCCATCTAGGCTCTCCTCCGATGGTGATTAACAACCTAAGCCGTTGAATGAGGCTTCAGGCACGCTCCCCATTACGCAGAGTACCCAGATAGCAGAAGGAGCCAGAAATATGTGCTACATTGCTGCTTTTATTTCTAACTATGCAGGACAGAAAATAACATGTGTCTGCTCTCTGTGAGAGACAGAGAACAACAGGGAACAAAAGAAACAGGAAACCAGTAACTTCAACATCCATCTCCCATCTCCAATGAGACTTCCAACGGTCTGGAATGTCAACAGAGTCTTGTGACTCCAAAAACTGCACAGTGGTGTTTACAGAAATCTAACATCCTCCCCCTTTCTGTGAGCACCACTGGGCAGTGTGTCAGTACAATCTCAGTACAAACCCAGTTTCTGTACATAGGTACTGTGCTGGTCCCGGGGGGGGGTTACCATGCGGCGTGGTCTGAGTCCGGTCCTAGGTCGAGGGTATGGAGGCTGTCCGTCAGGGGCGAAGTGAGGTCCAAAGCGAGGAGTCGGGCGTGGTCAGGAACTCTGGCAGGAGAGCAGGTCAGGGTGCCGGCAGGAACAGGTTACCAATGATGTTGCTCCCACACCCTGGGACTGGGCTGGCTGGCCTTTATCTCCTCTGAGGCATAGGGCGGCCCCGGTCCACAGGTGACTCGCCTCTCCTGGCCTGAAGGTGAGCACTCCTCCTGCGAGAACTTAGTTCCCTCTGCCTCTCTGCCCTGAGCCTCTGCAGCTCTGAGAGGCTGGAGGGTTACTGGACCCAGAGGCAACCTCACCTTCCCCTGACAGGGCTGAGAGAGGTGCCTGCGCAAGGGGTCCTCAATCACCTCCAGAGCCAGAGCGGATTCCACTGGTGTCTGCTCCTGAGGATCCGGCACAGGTGAGGGCCCTTCAGGTTCAAGCCCCAGCCCCGGCTCAGCTGGCCCTGGAGGCAGGGACTCCTGTGCAGGCTGGGATTCCTCAGGTTCAGCCTCTGAATCCGATTCCCAGGCCATCACAGGTACAGTGTTGATCCCTTGGAACAACCTTGGACAATAAATCAGCAGGAATTAGGCTTATGCTCAAATTTGCTGCAGAGGAGAATCTACAGGTTTCTCATCACGATGTGAATACAGTGTTGACTTCGGCCAATAAGTGTAAGATACTGAGAGTTTAGTTATTTGGGCCTCTAGGTTATTCAGAAACTGAAAAGCCGCGAAAAAGTGGCTGTATGTTCAAGGCTATCCATACTGAGAACTCATTTGATATCATTCACATCAAAAAGATGTGAAATAATAGTAATGGGTTGATGTTGCAGTTAACTGTAAAAGAAAACTTCATAAAGGCGAAAATCCTAATCTTGTCTATTAAGAAGTAACAAAGTGTTGTAGTTGTTTTTTAATTTACTGGGGCTTATCTCCAGGTAGGAATGCAGGAGAAATTTGGCTCTATTTGCATTTAAAGGCTAACCTACCTAATTTTCACTTTCTGAAAAAATGTGTGAACCAAAACAGTCATCCTTCAGAATTCACATTTCTCTGAATTTTGCAATGCAATTCTCCCACTAAGTGACGTCCATAAAAAGGCATGTACTGGGGTAAAGTGTGCATTAAATGTATATATGAGTGAAAATAACATACAGAAATGCATTGCATTAGGGAAAATCACACTATTAAATGTGTTTATTAGGCAAAATCACATGGTAAAACATTAGAAGTTAGTACTAAATTGCTGATGAATGATTTTTCAAAAATTCTGCAAGCTGATGTGGAACTGAATTTGAAATTTGAATAATTAGAAACTGAGAGAAACCAAAATTGTCAGGATTGCATATCGCTTAGGATTGCAGCCTAACCTTGATAGAAATGGCTGTGATATTTATGCTATAGAGAGTGGATTGGAATTATAATTTCATGCATGGTTTTAAATGACTTGTTTCTTGGCAGGTCTTGCTCGTGCCAAGTCCCTTCCCAGTCAAACGTACTCTGCTGAAGTGGTGACATTGGGGTACCGACCACCTGATGTGCTGCTGGGAGCCACTGACTATTCTGCTGATGTGGATATCTGGTGAGAGCCAGCTGTGGAGATGCTGTAAATCACACTGAGCGTAGCAATCTTCCCCTTTCAAGCATATACAGAACGTTGGCAGGGTGCAATAAGAGCACTTTTTGAGACCATCATTATAAATCACTTGAACTACATAAAAATTAAATTTGCAAGCATAATAAAAGGAAGAACTTTCCTTGACTTTCAAGGCTGACACAGAAGTGCGGTGTGTGGAACCTAGATTCCTACCCCCAAGCCAACTGATACCACCAATTTCTAGACTTGAATTGGACTTGAGCCCCTATCAGAGTAGATAGGGAGATTCTTCCCTCTTTCTTACTGAGACAGGTCCAGAAGAACATAGAAGCAGAAGTGAGATATTTTACCATGCCCTTGTGTTCGTGGTGAGGAGCACCACACATGCCAATACCCAATCTCAGCATGGTAAATGCACACCTGACAGTATGCTGAGAGGAGTTTTTATCTCTCTTCAACTAATATACAAAGTCCCTTTAGCAATGACGGCAGGAGGGCTAGACATTACATCCATTTCTAGGCAATCGCACATCCACGTTAGCATTTTATTTCTGAATTATTTTTGACATTGCTGCTGCTTTTCTTCTTGTGAGGCAAAGAGAGAGACAAACTTAACATACTTGAAACAGTGCAGGTGATCACTTCTGCTCATGATTAGTTCCTGTCCATTTTAGTTATTTAAGACCTGTCAGTGCTATTTTTTCTAGGAAAAGAGGTGCGGAACTCACCATTAACACCTTGTTCTCTTATAATGGCAATGGCACCTGAGAGGTGCCAGAAACTGAGTTTCGGCAAGTTCTGGCTGAAAAGAACCCCTGAGACCTGTAATTATTATCTGTAATTTTTATTTTATTTTATTTTATTTTATATTTTATTTTATTTATACCCTGCCCATACAGGGCTGCCTTCAGGTGTCTTCTAAAAGTTGTTATCTCCTTGACCTCTGATGGCAGGTCCTTTCTTGCATTATGCTGACTGAGTGGGAGCCATTGCAGAGTAGCTCCTGCCCAGGTCACCACTGAAACGTGACACGGCTGGGGGCATATGGGGAAACCTGTACCACAGCCTCGGCCAGTGCCATCCCAGAAACTGGGATGCATGAAGGAGGTGCCATTTTCTGGACTGACACCACCCCCTCCCTATTTCCAGAAGCTGCTCATATACCGTATTTTTCGCTCCATAAAAGGCACTTTTTTCCTCCTAAAAAGTAAGGGGAAATGTCTGTGAGTCTTATGGAGCGAATGTGTGGTCCATCGCTGGCTCCCTTTCTGGCCCCACCCCCTTGCCCAGGCCTCCATTGTTGAATGTTCTTCAGAATGAATGTTCTTCAGAATGTTCCCCAGTGACATGTGACTGGCTGATTAGATTATCTGTCTGGAAACTGTAGGCTACATTATTACATGAGCACTGTTCCACAGCATTTGATATTTTCATTTACATACATTCATTCGAAATAAGATGGGTTTGGGTTTATGAAGCAATTCTATATCCTCCCACCATGCTGACGAAGAATTCTACGAAACAGTAGTCAATATCTGGAATCACTGTTCAGTGTTGGACATCATCTTTGCTAAATATACAAAGCTTCACATCGTACAAAGTCTGGTACCTCGCTTCATTTAAAGATTTTCATAGACTTTGAGACTAAAGATTTCATTTTGTACTTGTTATGGTTTGAAGGAATTCTATAAAGATTGTCTATTGCGTATGTACATGGGCATTGTGTTGCCTAGACATTGCTGATGGAAACTGTAGAAAGGGCTCCCTTTCCTTTCCTAAAGAAGCTGCAGAACTGTGAGTTGAACCCCATAAAAACAGGATTTTTCCCCTTTGCAAAGTAAGCTCAAAAGTGGTACCTTGGGTTAAGTACTTAATTCGTTCCGGAGGTCCGTTCTTAACCTGAAATTGTTCTTAACCTGAAGCACCACTTTGGCTAATGGGGCCTCCTGCTGCTGCCGTGCCGCTGGAGCAAAATTTCTGTTCTCATCCTGAAACAAAGCTCTTAACCCGAGGTACTATTTCTGGGTTAGCAGAGTCTGTAACCTGAAGTGCATGTAACCTGAAGCATATGTAACCCGAGGTACCACTGTAGTTGCACTGCACCTGTCTCCCTCCTGCCCACCCCAATGACCAATATAGCAGCTTTGTAGAAGTGATTCTGATTAGCAGCTCAATGTGGTGCGTGTGTTGGGAGCAGCGAAGAGCTGGGCACCCCACTGCTCAAACCATATTGAGCAATCCTATTTAGCAACGGTCTTTAATTGGGAGATCCATTGACTGTCCAAATCAGGCCAGAGGGTTTGATGCTTTTGGGAAACACTTTACTTCTTACTTTGAATAGAAAGTGTAACTGAGGATGTAGTGCATGTGGTTTTCTTCCACCTAGATCTGGACTTGGGCATATTTATCTGTGTATTTAATATCCGCGGTGTGAGGCTGAGTGAGTGAAGAGAATGTATGCCTTTTCTCCAGGGGTGCAGGCTGCATATTTGCTGAGATGCTTCAGGGTCAGCCTCTGTTTCCAGGGGTTTGCAACACCTTTGAACAGTTGGAGAAGATCTGGGTGGTAAGTATAATGATACATCTGGGAAACTGGAACAAAGATCATTAGCATCTCAAAAGGGTCAGCTTCTATCCGTCTATCTATCTAGTCCCAATGATGGATGCAACAGGAAAAAAGGCAATTTGATTGAAAGTCTCACTCACTCCCAGTGTGTTAAGTTTGGGGTTGTATCCAATAGGCTGGTCTATATTTGGCAATTTCCCCACAAACACTAAGATAAATCAAAGTGACTTCCCTTTGATGCCTCTCTTGTCTCATCAAAAATTTAAAGCCAATTAAACGGATAGCAGGTTGAAGGAGGCACACAAAAATGGAGTTGCTGCACTTTCTGCTCCCTCTTGTTAAACTCTTGTATTTCTTTGTGTCGTGTAAAACAGCATTCTTGTGTGTGTGTGTTTTGGGGTTGTTTTGGGAAAGATTATCCAAAGCTGCAGCCCTATGTTGGGAATAGGAACAGTGCTTTTTTGTGATGGTACTCAATGGTATGGCATACCGCAGGCATAGGCAAACTCGGCCCTCCAAATGTTTTGGGACTACAGCTCCCATCATCCCTAGCTCACAGGACCAGTGGTCAGGGATGATGGGAGTTGTAGTCCTAAAACATCTGGAGGGCTGAGTTTGCCTATGCTTGGTATAAATGCTCAAAAGAAACTGATAGGATAAATATAAATTTTAAAAATTCTTAGCATTTGCTAAGCAAACTCTTCAAAGTATTGGTCTGAATCACAAGTTTTGAATCAGTTTGAGCTTTGCTTGTGAATCTGTTCAAGTTTGGAACCACAAATTCACCACAAAGGGGAAGGGGGAAATCTATACATTTGGGGTTTGTTGTTTTTTTGTGAACTCGAAATTTCAAAAGATACCAGGCGAAAAGAGAAAGTGTGATAGGATGAATATTCATTTCATTATTAGCATTTTCTGATGCTTTTAAAACAGAGCTATGTAGCTGCTCCAATTGCAAAGGCAAATTGGAAGCATCGCTCGCTCAGCCAGTAACAAAAAGCTTGCTTTGGTGGGGAGGACGCATCACATTTTCATTGGCACAGATTTGTTTGCTTGCGGGCAGAATCCTAAGGTCGACTCAGACCACCTCATCAAGATACAGCGTACTTGAGGCCCAGAATGTCTTTGAATTGTGCCCCGGATGGGTTTTTTGAACACCTGTCAGAAGATTCGTTTGCTATCTATTCCTTTTCATCTCAAAGCAGCAGGGATCTCCATCGCAGCCAGTGTACGGCTTCTGAATGCCTATCATTTGGGGGGAGCTACTACCATCAGGAGTCGCTCATCAATGCAATCCTGGTCTCTAGGGGAGCACCTTGGGTGTAAAAAAAAGACTGTACCATGATCCTGACTGCTGCTGATATATTTGAAATGGCACCTGTCTTTGCAGTCGCTAAAGCACATTTGTATTCCCGGCTACATCCTCGTAAGAAAACCTTGCTGGGCACCCTTTTCCAGGAGCAAAACCGAGAGTAGAATCTAGTCTGCATACATGTATTTGGAAAAGACATTGGGTGACTGCTGAGTTCTTTTGTTATTGGTTTGTCTCTTGCTTTATGCAGGTACTGGGAGTCCCAACCGAAGGAACATGGTCAGGGGTTTCAAAGCTTCCCCTTTATAAGCCAGGTATGATCTCTCTTCAGATGGCAAATATGCCACAAATGCTATTTGAAGCGGCTTTTCATATGAGCAAAATCCATGGTTGCATCCTGAAGGTAAAGGTTAAAAGGACCCCTGACCGTTAGGTCCAGTCATGACCGACTCTGGGGTTGCGGCGCTCATCTCGCTTTACTGGCCGAGGGAGCCGGCGTACAACTTCCGGGTCATGTGGCCAGCATGACCAAGCCGCTTCTGGCAAACCAGAGCAGCTCATGGAAACGCCATTTACCTTCCCACCGGAGCGGTACCTATTTATCTACTTGCACTTTGACGTGCTTTCGAACTGCTAGGTTGGCAGGAGCAGGGACCGAGCAACGGGAGCTCACCCCGTCACGGGGATTTGAACTGCCGACCTTCTGATCAGCAAGTCCTAGGCTCTGTGGTTTAACCCACAGCGCCACCCACGTCCCACAATCCTGAAGGTAGCAACACTTTTAAGAGCTTTTGGCTCATCCATAAAACAGTTCAGTGTTAAACAAGAACCAGAGAAAGATTGATAATACTATGACTGATGAATAACGCTATGGAATGTATAGGCTTTCTCCCTTCTGGCTATTCTCTCTGGTTATAATAATATAATAATAATAATAATTTATACCCCGCCCATCTGGCTGGGTTTCCCCAGCCACTCCGGGCGGCTTCCAACAAAGATTAAAAATACATTAAAATGTCACACATTAAAAACTTCCCTGAACAGGGCTGCCTTCAGATGTCTTCTAAATGTCAGGTAGTTGTTAATCTCTTTGACATCTGATGGGAAGGCG